CAACGTTTACAAAATGCATGAACACATACGGCACACAATTTTGAGTGTTCACTCGTTGTTATTGTTAGTCTGTTAGTTAATTAGTAAGAGTTGTAAGTACGGGCTGTAGTTGGTCCCTGTCCCTGGAGCCCAGACACCCCCCTGTTCTGGAATGAAATATTCGAATGAAAACGAAAAAAATGGGAAACACACGAGCAAAATCCTCCGGTAATATTGACACGCCCCCCCCCCCCCCCCCGCCCCTGAATTAACAACGGTATAAACGTGGAGAATCGGATAAACGGACAGGAAAAAGAACCCAAAGGGAAATAGAGAGAGAGAGAGAGAGAAGTGGAATACCGAAGGAAAGAATACAACGTTGTAAATCCGGTTAGAACCGAGGCGACTGCATATCACCTATAATTTACATCATTTGGTGCGCGAAGCGTGTCCAAGAAGAAAAAGAAAAAGTTTTTTTTTCCCCCCCCCCCCCCCAATTGAGAGATCCATTGCGCGTCAATAAAGATTCAGAAAAAAAAAACACGCAATTACGAACCTGACGGAAGGAAAGAAAAGCAACAACAATTAAACGTAAAAAAAAAATTATAAACGCATTAGCCAACCCAACATAACGGTTTCTCAAACGATGAAAGGCGCGAGTCAATCGATTGGAATCAGACACAGAGAGAGAGAGAGAGAGAGAGAGAGAGAGAGAGAGAGAGAGAGAGAGTGTCTCTATATCCACGCGGAATATCGATTATTCGCGGACTTTCGTATTTTGTGAACACTTTTGTTACATTTTATTCGCATTTTACTTAAGTCTAATTCTTTTTTTTTTTTTTCCCCCCCCCCCCAGTAACACGCGATCATTGTTTAAAGAGGAACGGCGACGAAAAGCTTTAGAATAGAAAGGAAAGCAAAAGTGACAAGGGGTGAGAGATAGGGAATGAAAGAGAAAAAATATATATACAGAGGAAACGAGAGAGATGACAGTGGTTAAAGGAGGAGGAGAAGGAGGAGGTGATACAGTGTGTATGGCTGTCCTAAATGGATCTGTGCAAGTGTGTGTTTAGCGCCTATAAGAGGGTGGGTGCTCGAGATAGATGGACAGAGAAAGAGAGGGAGTATGCGTGTGTCATAAAGATGAAAGAGGGAAAGAACGAGGGAGAGCAACCGAAAAGGGAGAGAGAAAGCCACACAGTCGAAAAAGGAAATTATTATCTTATCTGTACCAATTTCAATCACTTATTATCTTTCATTCCTTTACTCCCCTTTACCCGTAAAAACTCATTATTCACTTACCGTATTTTATACCTACCTACTCTACTTACCTACACAACCCTATTTATAAAAATCATAATATCGAGGATATAGTAATAATAGTAATAATAAATAATAATAATTAATGTTAATGATACGATAAGATTGAATATTGCTAATCAATACTGAGTGGGTTTTTTGCGACAGAATAACGGTTTCAACATATAAATTCTGGTTTTTCTTTTTTTTTTTCCATTTTTTTTTGTTTAAACTTTTGTAATAAGAAAACACACATGCTACATAATATTTAAAAAAAAGAGAAAACGAAACAGCAGGTAGGCAGGCAGGGCAGGCAAGCAAGCAAAACAAAAATGTAACCGCGGAACACGGCGATGGAAAGAGAAACGGCGTCGTAGGATAGTAGAAGAAAACGATATAAGGAGATATGTGAGAGGGGGAGAGAGAGAGAATGAAAAAAAAAAGAAAATAAGTTGAGCTTGCGGGGGCAAGGAAGCATTATAAATGGCAAAAGCAAAGGCAGTTCACGGTGACGAGACTTTAGACTGATCTAGGTACTAGCATTGCGGATATTGGCCCAGCCCCAGTATCGAGGTGCCCCAACACAATTTTATTATATCCACTTACCCTCTCGCTATTTTATACTTTGACCGCGGCGTGGCAGCTGGGGTGCCTGGGGAAGGGTTATTTATCGGGTCGCATTTAGGATAATGCACTACTACTGTGGCTGACCAATGCTTGAGCCGGCCAAGCAAGAGAAGCGCGCGCGCCCTTTTATAAATATATATTATATTCCTGCGGATACGCATTTTTGTGACGTGATGTTATTTAGCACTAACGAAGAAAAGAAATTACAAAAAATTACGGTACGGAGAAGAAAAACGAAAAAAAAAAGATAAGAGAACATAAGGATAATTGTAATAACACTTATTTCCACGCAGATATATACAGTTTATATACGTTTCTCTCGCGCCACAATTGCCACATGTCAGCTCCATGGCTAAAAAAAAACGAACGATATAACGAAAATTCTTCACACAAACCCCCGGGATATCCTTCTATCGTTGATAATTGCGTTTTCAGAATACTTTTTTCTCTTATTATTCACCTTCCAATTGCTTTGCTTTCTTCTTCTTTATTTCTTTTTTTTTTAATTCCCGCAATTTTGAACGTTGCCTCTAATTTTAGTGTGAACATAGTTGAAAGTAATTGATTATTGATGAATTTAAAACAATGTTAAAAATGGTTCCTTTTTCGGGCTAGGAGCTTGATTTAAAGTGTCAAAGATTTTTGTGTATGACCAGATGTATTCTACATGTCTCAATAAACAGTTGTATGTGAATTACCTTTCTTAATCGGTTCTATGTGTTTATTTTTTTAATACCTTCAACGGAGCAGTGTACCTCGTGTGCCTCCCAATTCGACAAACCGTTACGCCTCGTAAACGGGAATGTACAGCGGAATGCACGTTATTTCATTTCGACCCAGGAACGAGTGACATACAAAAATAATTTATCCAGAATTTTAGTCTCCAAAAATTGTGCCTGTAATGACGGAGGCAGCGACAACAAGTCGTTCACACGGTAAGTTACACTTGTAATCACAGTTTTAAATTTTATTTCGACAATAATCGAAGATAATCAATTATATATATCGTTTATTAACATGTTTTATGTCTAATATAGCTGACCCAGAGTCAAGAAAGTTTTTCACCCCCTGTGAATCATGTTTCCCCACCTCTTCGCGATGAGAACCAACCCAGGCGACCTCTGTGTGCAAATAGACAGGGCGTGTTGCGATTGTAGCCACAGTACCTTCGTAGAAACTGAAACAGATTAGAGGTCAGTTAACTTTGCGCCCGTCATACCGCTGGTGTCACCCTTTCCTCCTTTTCTGTCTTTTTCTATCAGTCTCTTATTCTCTTTTACTCTTCCCCTCGTTTTTTTTTACGTGTATGTGTGTGCACATTACACACGCACACACACGCAGCGTATCCGCTGCGAGTAGACGACTCGTTTGTGTTGTTTCATCCCTTTCCACGTATCGACCGAGCTCCGATAAACCAGTAACGTTTCGTCAATTTACACGGAAATATATACATATGCACGGGATGTAAACGGTTCCCTTTACTGGTGAATAATACGCGAATCCTGTGTTCCAACATCGAACGAGAGTGACGAACTCGAGGATCACGCGGGGCGGTCTGCGCCCACTTTGCAACAGATATAATACACGTTAGATAACGTTGATCGGATCTCATGTTTCTGTTACTCGAGCGTACACGATTCGACGAGTAATTACGGTGTGCATTGTTAGGGTAAAGTGTGTTGTATTGTCATCGCCAGTTCACTTCGAGTGCGTCTACCCATTGTGGGCCACGTACTTTCAAGGAGAGGTATTTTGACAGATCGGATATGCGTATTTACTCGATTTCGACAGATTGACGGTTTGAAGGTACGTATTCACGGCACGTATCTATATCGTGTGGATACATATATATTTGTTAAGAGAAAGCAGACGATATTCAGCTGGGTAGTTAGTCCATTTGACGCAGCTCGTGGGGGTGGTGATTCTGTCAGTGCTCGCGCTATTTTGTGCTGTGTTCCAAGGAATACTCTCCTTCAGCCTTTTTGCTGAATTGTGCAGTGAAAAGTGTGCCGGAGAAAAAGATCTGATAAACGATGTTTTATTAATTCGCGAATGAGACGTAAATCATTGCAAATCAATCCTAGACATCTCTGTACAATTCTCCGTCTTGACTAAACAAAGTATTTACTGTTTTTTCTTTGTTATATTCCCCCACAAAGAAGACTCCGTTGATTGTCGAATTTTCGGTGTATAACGCGACTATCGCGAAAAACAGCGTGTTAAAATTGCATGAGAAACAGTGGGAGGTTAGTCGATGAGGACTCTTTAGTGCGAAAACTGACATTTAACCCAGGGGGCGCTGCCTATCGGTCTGTCTGTTTCAAACAAGATCATCAGACGTGTTTTCAAATTCGGCCGAATACAGTAGTCCTGTTTCATATTGTAGTGATACTTTGCGTTATTTATCGCGTTCTTTGTAAACTACGGGCTTATTCGTTGAGAAGACGAAGATTTGGATTTAAAGTCAAGAGGAACTCTGTGTGAAATGACACGGGTCGCGTAACGTTGGCCGAGTTGTGGGCGTGGCAAAGTACGAGGGGACGGGGACACGCGGCTCGTCGATGCGGATAAACGATTTTTCTTGGAGGTTCACGCGCGTTCCATGCTTTTTTCTTCGATCCAATCTGTGCGTGAGATTTTAAGCGGATTCGTTTGGCAAAAGCGCACGCGTTGTTGTCGTCTCGTGTTTCCACGGGACGAGGGTTTAGCGTCCCCACCGGTACCGAGCCGTTGTAGTTACTGACGCAGTATTGTCCATTCGGCGGCAACCGTGCTGATTATTTGTCGACCGACCAATGTGTTCAGTGATCATGTATTTAACGTTCGAATAACTAATTTGATCTAATCGACGACAAGTGATCGGGGGGAAATGCGATCAAAATGATTTAACGAATGGAACGTCTGTGATTACAGATGATCTTTGGGATCGATTTCTCGTGTTCTTCCTGCGCGTGGAACCGAGATTGACGAGATATGGTAAAGTCCCCGCCAGTCGCTATAACCGCGTTGCTTGCGATTCTTGTCGTAAGACATGTTTTGTCTGTTTCGATGGACGAGGAACGGAACGGAATCTAAACGAAATATTGTATTCTTAGGATGCAGTATGGCTTCGGTACTCTGGCCTGCTTTTGGGAACAGTATTGTTTCGCCTGCCTTTATCTTGTTCTTGCTGCTTTGTCCCCGCGACAGTACAGGTTAGTGACAAAACCATCGACACGTTTTTACTGTTGACAAGTAGAAACACGACGACACGGGTTTTTTCGAGAGGATAGGATTATTCTGTTCCCGGTTTCGTTCACGGTGATTGTTTTTCACACCCACCGGTAACGTAATAACCGCGAAAAGCAATTGATAAGGCGCATGCGCAGGTGACTAAGATCTTCTGTCCGTCAGAAGGATCTTACTGTGGTTTGCCTTGTACAAGTTTCGTGGATGGAGAATAATGGACAACGAAAATTTCTCTTATCAGATTAATATTCGATCGAAAGTTCGCGTAACCGATGTAAATATATTTTGCGAGTTATATGTCACGCTCGGCCAGTCAGCTGCTCCTTGGAAGCGTTTCCTGCGCGAACATAATGTGTACGCTTGTGTGTTTTCACAGAGTGCGATCAAAAGTTTGTAAGCACACCAGACGGTCCGCTAAATGGAACTTTCCATGCCCCAAATTTGTTTAATCCCGAGGGGGAGCCATGGCAATGTGTGTACACGTTTTTCGCCGGTCCCCAGCAACGGGTCGAATTGGTTTTCAGGTCGTTTGGACTCCGAGGGACTCCGCCCGGGTGAGTTTCTTTATTATCTCGATGAAACCGTTCGTCACAAGGACGAACGATCGGATCCCACATATAATCCTACGATACTCGACGATTTATCTCTCCTTGTCTCGTGCATTTATCGGTTAATTCGTGTTTTGACAGTGGAGCTGCGGTCGGAGAATTACCTGCGTAAGTGTATAATAAACCCAAGGAGGGCCCGATCAGGAGCTATGACGAAGAACAAGAAATCACGGAATATTCTCTATTTTTTTCAGTTGCGTTCACGAGTTCATGGACTTGTACGCGGAAATACGAACGGAAAACACCACCAAGTTGATAGAGACGCCTTTCGGCGGTCGTTATTGCGGCCCGATTCCGCCACGCAGGCGAATCTCCCTTTACCAGGGTATCGCTCTCAGTTTCTTCACGGATAGAAATGTCACGTTGCCCAGCTTGTTCGGCGGTACATTCACGTTCATCAACGCCTGTACGTTTTCGATCCGTTTCGTTTCACCTTTCGGTGAATTTCGTTTCCCTACGATCTCTGCTCGGAAACGTTTTTAACGGTGTTTTCCTTCGAGCGTCGATAAAACAGAGATCGGTTTTTCCAGCCGAGTACGAAGTTGGCACGCCGGTTCCCGGCACACCGTGCTCTTTCACGGTGAACTCGGAGAACAGACGTAGCGGGAATATATTGTCTCCGACGTATCCGGGCACGTATCCGAAAGACCTTAATTGTACCTATCAATTTATCGGGAAACGAAGCCAACGCGTCCGTCTGGAATTTCGAGACTTCGACTTGTTTTTTGGTGGTCCACAGTATGTATTAACCGTGTGTATGTAATTGAGTCGATTGGAAACGTTTTTGTTACAATAACACCTCGTGTTGCAGTTGCCCGTTGGATTACGTGAAAGTGCACGACGGTTTGAATAAAACCGCCGGCGTTATCGGCACGTATTGCGGCCAGCAGAGAAATTTGGTGTTGTACTCGTCCGAGTCCAGTTTATTCGTGTCGTTCGTTACGCTTCAACGTACCGCGAACACACAGAATCGAGGGTTCAAGGGAATCTTCGAGTTCTCGGAGAGCTTCGTCAAGTTGGGTGAGTCGACAGCGGTTTCGAAACGGAAACGGGCGGTCGGAACCGTTTCCAATAATGTAAATGTAATGTGTAGACACATCCATGTGTAAATATTATTCTAAAACCGTAGACGTGAATCAACACATACACGCGCATACATACACACACGCCATACACAATTAGATACGTAGTTTCGCTTGTTACACTGTACATTGTAGTAACACACCTGTGTTCATTCATATATTTACGCGTGCGTACGTTGTACGTGTACACGGTCGTCTTTGTCTACTCAGACTTCATAACCGATAACAAGGGTGAGCACATCCGTGGATCGGAATGCGATCAGAAGATATTAAGTGAAAAGGAGTCCTCCGGATACGTCGTTAGCCCGAACTTTCCATATCCGTACATACCGAAAGTCGTGTGTCGGTATTTCATTTATGGGATGCAGGATGCGCAACATCTGGAGCGCGTCCGATTAGAGTTCATGACGTTTAAGATACCAAAAAATAAGACGACAGGAGAGTAAGTGTGGGTCAGAATTTTTTATATACGTTCTGCTAGACCAGAATATTTATGTCACGATTGAAGTATATACATACATATGTAAATGCAAGTTAACCGAGTAACGCGTTGCCCGCGACAGAACTCTACGTGATTCTCTTTGTCCCCTTGCCCGTCTAGCTCGTCGTGCACAGATGGATATCTGAAGATGTATTTGAAAGGGCAGGAGGCAACCGATTCTTACGATAAATTCGATTACGAGTTGTGCGGACTAAAGAGCAATCCGAGTCAAGTAGTTAGCGATGGCCCAAGGCTCGTTATGGTGTTTAGCAGTGGTGAATCTCAAGGGCAAGGTTTCAAAGCGCGGTAAGAACGTTTTGTTTGGTACAAGACAATCCCCTACTCTTCTAAACGATCGATGAATGATAAAGATCGTTTGTTTACAGATACAGTTTCGAAACGGAATACAAAATACCGGGTACAGCGGCCCCCGATGGGAGCTGCACGTTCACATATCGTAGCTCATCCCGTAAAAAGGGAGATTTCAATTCCCCGCGGCATCCGAGCAATTATCCGAGCGACACGAATTGCACGTATTATTTCTTGGCGACGCCGAACGAACAGGTCACCTTAATATTCGATTACTTTAAGGTCCGTACGACAAACACGAACGTGACGGACGGCCATTACGGGTAAGCAGAGATTCCGGAACCACCGGTGTACAGACTCCTTTCGATTATCGTCTGGCTTGTCCTACAGGATTATTGTTCGCTAGGTATTAATCGTTCGTTACGGTTTTCTTGGCAGTTTCGATGCGTGCCAGGACGACTGGTTAGAGATCTACAACATGTACCGGGACAGTACGGAGAAATTGATCGGCCGATATTGCGGCAGCACCGCTCCGGGCCCGGTTGAATCGAATCTTGGCGCGTTAGGCTTAAGGGTGATTCTGCACTCGGACTCGGAGTTGGTTTATAGCGGTTTCAAAGCACGGTACACGTTCGAGGTGGCAAAGCCTATATTCGGAGGTAGAGTTCGTGAATAAACAAAACAGTCTACCACCGGTCTCTCATTATTTCATTCGTTACTTTTTCTTTCTGTTGCAGATTGCGGCTCGAATATAAGCAGTTTAAATTACGGTATCATCGCCAGCCCGAACTTCCCGAACAAATACGACGGGCCAGCGCGAAATCACGCAAGCAAGACCTGCAATTGGTTCATTAGAGTCGGACAGAATCAGCGGGTACTGTTGAACTTTGAACTGTTCTCGGTGGAGGGTGATCAGACAGGTATACTACCCTGTGTTTATCTGTTTTTATTGATCCAAGAATTCGATTGCGTGTCTACAACCGTATCGTTTTATCGTTTTCCCTTAGTTCGTGGCTGTCCCGCGGCGGTTCTACGAATGTGGTATTCCGCGTCGTCGACGCCCGTCGAGCTGTGCGGTGTTAAAACGCCGGAAGCCGAGTGGACGTACCTGTCGGAGGATAATAATATGCGTCTTAGGTTGGTTCTTCGTTTTCTCCGAACCCCTTTACCTTCACACTTACCCTTTTGCCCCCCCCCCCTACCTTTGGCCGTTCTAAACATCCGCGTAGTTCAAGACCGGGGCGACATCGCCCGATCGAGGTGAACGTAACAAAAATCACGATTCTATTTCTTTGTCTCTTGATCCGTTCTTTCAGCTTTATACTGGCCGATAAGGCGGTAGGGCAGCAGGGATTCAGAGCGACGTGGACCGAAGTAAGCATGAACACTGACTGCCAGAATCAGTTTTTGTGCAGCCAAAGTAAATACTGCATCGCGGAATCGCTACGATGTAATAACATATATAATTGCGGCCTGGCTGACACTTCGGACGAGGAAAACTGTAAGTTCTTGTGAAACATAAAAAAAAAAAGAAAATACAACACACCCAGAACGACGCCCTGTATAAGTCGTGTGGTTGGTTTTTCTCTTTCTCTCTCTCTCGTACATTTACTATTTCATCTTCTTCTTCTGGTTCGTGTTCTTGTTCTAGTCCTTCTTCTTCTCCTTCTTCTTCTTCTTCTTCGTTTTCCGTTGTTTTACCGGAAATACCCGTTACAGACGATAGACTCCCACACACGTATTATATACATACACACCACATACGCACGCATATACACAATCTATACGTGTACATATACACATGTACATAGACTTATATTCTGACCAACGAATATGTAACTCCATGGGATCGTTCAATAGATGCTATGTTCGAAACTTCTCCAAGCGTATTCTTTTTTTTCCGTAACGATAACCACCTGGAACAATTGATCCCCTGGATTGGTATATGCGTCTGTACTCTGACGTGCAAACTCTGCTCCGCTAGGGAAAAAAGTGACGTAGGGGAAGGGCCTCTTACCACTTGGTATCAGGACTTACTAAAATTTATGTCAAATTAAATTTATCGAGCGGTAGGAGGCCCTAACCCCTACATTGCTTTTTCCCCTACACTCTAGGGGCCTAGAGGAAGCCGAGTTTGCTCGTCGGTGTACATATGTATGTACAAATTAACCGCCAAAAAAAAAACAGAAAAAGAGAAACAGATGGGACGCGATAGAATCGAGCCGAATTCTGTTCTGTACCATGGATATACAGGGTGTTCCGCTTAAAACAGGCCACCTAAATATCTTCTCTATCTGTGATCATACGAAAAATATTTTTTTACGTAACTTAAATGGTTTCAAGAGACGAATCGGATGGTGGACAAAATTGTATAAGTGAATTTAAAATTTTTAGAGTTCAAGTTCACTGTATTAAACAATTTTTTTGGCATCGTGCGAACCCCATTGAATCATTCAACTTTGTCCTTTAGATATTTGACGTATCTTTAAAAAGAACAAAGATATTTGAGCAGCAAACGTTAGGGAATTCACCCTGTATACTATTCGTTGAAAATAACGCCGTCGCACAGTTCCGCCAGGTTCGTTCGCTCGAATCTAGTCGAACGCACCTTTCTTTTTTTTTGTCTTGCGTTCCTTGAGATAACACATACGACCGGTAGACAGGACGATAATAAACATTCGGATTCCATTTCGAGGAAATGGATAAGAAAATATGAAAAAACGATACGAGCCGTCGTAGTACACTATAACGCTCAAAGAGAGAATATGATTTATCGAATTGTAATTTTCTAGGTAAGTAGTTACATGTAGTTGTTCGTAGAGATGGGGGAGGAATGAAAGGGGATCGAGTGGATGAAACGACGGTGTGTGGTGTCGCAGGTGCAGCGTCAGCCCCGTTGTCCCCAGCACTGGCTGGAGTCTCTGCCATGCTTCTTCTCTCTCTGTGCTTTGCGTTCGTGGCCATCTGAGCCCTTCACGAAGCTTCCGACGATCCGGCATGTTATGATCTCCCCTGTCACGTGAGTTCACTCACAGTATTGCACACGTAATCGTATTTAAGTTGTCGAAAAGAAAAAAGAAAAAAAGAACCATCTACGATCAACGAAATCCGTCCGATTATACACTCGCGATATAACGGATTCCGGTATTTATATTATAATATATGTATATACCCCGAGAAAAACTAGTCTTTCGTATGTCTGAGACACGTTTGAAATTTTCCGAAATTTTTCCAATTACGTTTCAACATAAAGAATCCAAAAGAAACGCATGATTCCAAAGGATGCAAGACTTGTTCGCACACAGTATTGTGGCATGTCAATTATCTCTTATCTATTATCTCTGGGTCATTCCACGCCAAATCGATCACTCTTTTCCCCCCCTCGATGTCTGGGATTCTGTTCAAAATGGGGATATGATGTGGTCCCACGGGGAATTCAATTCTAAGACTTTCTTCCTTTCAAATGGCCACATTATTTCAATGAGCTTCAAAAAGGATATCGATAGGGAATCATAAAAATACATCATCGTAAACAAAAATGTTTCAAAATCATAAATATTGCAAGATATACCATAAATAGTTTTGGAGATATGATAAAATGATCAAAAATCGCAAAATCGAATGTTCTGTATCTCCTAAACTTAAAGAATAATGACTTAACTCCCCCATCCCAATTCCACGTGGACTTCATCATATCCCATTTTGAGCAAAACCCCAAACATCAAGGGAAAAAAGTGATCGCGTGGAATGACCCGTCTCTATTTCTAAATCTCTTTCTCTCCCTCCGCCCCATCCCACCCCCTTTCAAACTTGTTCAGTCCTATTAGTCCCCGTCCACTCTCCCTTTGTCGATTCTGTGTTACCTGATACCTTTTTTTTTGAAATCCGACAGCTTTAAACTTTCGAATTTTAAATAATCCGTCGTCAACATTTTTAACGTATCTCCGTTCCCTAAGTGAACTTTATTTAAAAAAAAACACAATTTGCACGTGAAATATATACCTTTTTACCGCGAATCGTGTGTGAAACCGTTGTAAAAGTTTCAACAGCCGTTATGGAAAGGTGAAAGGAGACACGTTGTTCCCCCTCTCCGGTTTCATGGAACGAAGATAGGGATGGAGGGTTGGGGGATAGGGGTGAGGAGTGGTAGAAAAAGATATGTTCCGTGGGCACGTGTGACAGTGATCGATTGCGTTTCAGGTGACATGGAAGTCGCACGGACGGATAGTTACGGTGTTGTCGCGGGTTACGCGGCCGGCGTGATACTGGTCGCGCTGATCGTATGCCTGTTTTATCATCGAAAACTAAAGAGACGGGTACAAACGGTACGCCTAGACGAGCTGCGTGAACGCGTAGACGGCGGCCATGGATGTTACCATCGCGAAAGTCTTCTTCATCGTCATCATCAGCATCACCAATATCAGCACGATCATCATCATCACCATCATCACCATCATTATTCTCAGCATAATCATCATCATCGGTATGAGCAACAGCAGCGACAAGACCCGAAGAACGATTTCAATGGAAGATATCGATCGGCCGAGGCCTTGTCTAGTCCGACTAGCGATTGCGAGGCCGAGCAAGCCTGTGTCGAAGAGGCGAGTAGCCTCGACAGCGTGTGACAACGTCTGCCTGTGTGTGTGAGTGTGTGTGTGTGTGTGTGTGTGTGTATGTAACATACTCGAATCTTTCGTTTCCATAGCTGTTTCCCAAGTGACAGTTGGAACGGTGGTGGATAACAATCGAACGACGCCTTTGTAATGATAAACTTTGCACAGGGAAAATCTTTGAATACGCTTAGATTCGGGGGCAGATTTATCGCCAGGCGTTATCCAACATGATCCGCTCGACAGTACAATAACTGAACGTGCATTTCGGTTACGATGGTTTCTAATTAATTCGTACGGTAAATCGCGTTCTGTTTTTTCTTTGTTTGGTAACGACGGCTCGTTGGTGTTTGCCCGACCATCGACTGAAAATGATACAGTGAATCATCGATGAATGTTCGAATGTTTCTCGCCACTGAGTGTTCTGTTATCCCCAGCATTGGGAGCTTTACTGGATCCACGGAGGATCCCCTAGTGGTGGGAATGTTGCCAGTTTGGGGGTTTCCCCCAGATTTTTCTATCAAAAGAGACTATCTAGAAATCTAGAGACAGAAATTTTTTAGGTAGAAATTAAAAAATTTAAATCAGTTTCCTATTTTCGAAAAGAATTTAACATGTTCAGTCCCCATCTATTGGAAAACTAAAAAACTACGACTCTGAAGACTACATTTTTCATATCACAGAGTACATATTATATACATTATCAAAATGAAAATCAAGTAAAAGTGTTTGGGGGAATTTCTACAAAATGCCTCGAACATTTATCGTGGATTTACTGTAGTTACAAACGGTGGCAGGCGAAGTTTGTATGCAATAGGATTTGCAACTATGTGTTCAGTTCGCGAGAAACTAACCTCTGCTGCCCCGCGATCGTGTTTTACACGCGGGGGGATATACAGCAGACTCTTGCCAAGGAATATTCTCATGACGGACCACCCGTTATACTAGCAATCTATGTAAAATTGTAGATAGATCGTCATCGGTAAAACGTATCTGTTCTCCGTCGATTAGTCCGTTGGAAACAGAAAACCGGTAGGCGTGTCACCGGAATCAATTTAATCCGTAATCTTTGACGTACCAGAAGTTGTTCCTTGAAAAGAACGCGAAATATATTTTTACGACGACCTTCGAGAATGTCGTTGTTATTGTTATTGCCGTTGCGAAGTACCTAAGTTCACAATCTACGTTGTTCCGAGAAGCAAACGTTCCTTTCTTTTGTGTTTCATTAGAATGGTCACTTCGTTTACGCAGTTACGACCCAATCACGTACAACGTTGCCCCGTCGTTTATTGAAAATAATTAAATTTCGTTGTTCTGACGGTGTGAAGCATGAAAGTTTACCCATTAAAATGTGCGTACCAATTCGTCCTTCCCCTCCTTTTGTATCTTTTCTGGGTTCTTCGATGCCCGAACGCATCGAGTATGTTTCTATCTATAATGAAGTGTTACCGAGCTAAAATCGTTGCATGCATTGGTTTTATGGAGAATTGTATACATACCCTCACGAGCAAACTCAACTTCCGCTAGGGAAAGGGCCTTCTACCACTTTGTTGTTTCTGAGATTTATGCTAAATTAACATTTATTTCAGTACTTGAATTAAATTTATCAAGTAGTAGGAGGCCCTTAATCTTACGTCACATTTTCCCCTAGCCCCCTGTCGTTTCGCGATAACGCGGGAAATTCAAATAGGAAATTTAATTCATAATTCCCAGGCAAAGGAGGGGAGGGATCGCGATAAACAACACGAATCTCGAGACTTTTGCTCAAAAAGTAATCCTCGAAAAATCGGCGTTGTTTCTGCACGATATTCTTTACTGTATACAAAAAGGTTTTATTTTACAATGGGATATAAAAAGAATACAAATTGTGGCGGTTAATAAGCACGTTTCGTTGTAAAGAAATTGTTTCTTCGCTTCCTCTTGATTCGACTATGTTGAACGAATGTACGTTGCTACTCGAGGCCCGTACATGCGTACTGTATACGTGTATTATCATTTAACGTCATTGCCATTGCATCGAATGAACGCCAATTTCTTTTTTACCAATTTTTAACAAAATTAATCGGATTTTTAATTAACTATACAGAAATTAACAAGTCAGACGTATACGTATGTATATACATGCGAAACATGCGAATTCGCGTTTTACAAAAAGTTACTCGTCGATCGAACAGGGGGAGGGGGAAGGGAGAGAAACGAATGACAAGAGAAACAGAGAGTAAACGAAAAAGAAGACAAATGATTACATTACTTTGAATAAATAAAGTTTCGTTTATGCGTATTTCTTATGAAGTCTGCGCGCGTTGTATTTAACCGATTACCGACTATTCTCCTTGATTGTATGCGACGAGTAATACGCGACCGCGCGCACGCTATTGAAGCGTAGAAAAAATGTAACCAATAATAAATCGGAAGGTGTCAAGTTTCGAAAGAAAAAACAAAAAGAAGAAACGCTCAGAATGCGTGTACGAAGTTTTCGCGTATAAAAATATGTGGTGAAGTTATCGCAGATATCTTTTATCAGTCTTGAACCGCGATCGTTGCGTGCCGATGAGGAGCGAAGCGGTGAAAACGATGTAAAAAAAAAAAAAAAAAAAAGCAGCAACGAAACGCGATCTTGATTCACCTTGTTCAAAGTGCGAACCGAACGGGGTCCGCTTACCTCACGTATGTGTATACGTTGTATCTCAGAAACCGTTATAAGAACAACTAAAAAAGATTTTAACGAATCGGAAGGAAGGTGTGGTTGGTGATGTTTAAACTTGGACGTACTGTTCGTCGTCCGTGTCCCCGTTACCGATCGGTTCCGCGGAACGATGCTGCAGGTGAATCCTCTCGTAATCGGCGCCGCTGTACAAGCGTTTTTTCACCTGTTCGTATCCGTCCGGATCCGGAACGGATTTAAAGCTATGAACTTGTTCGTACGGTGGTTCGTCCGCCCGGGCAGCGAGGCTCATATATTTGACGCTCTCGTAATTCGGATCCCCGTGACTGACGGATTCGTAATTCGGATCGGTGTCGCTGTCGCCTGGACGACAAACTGACGCGTAATTCGGTTCCCCGGAATCATGCGGCATACTTTCGTAATTTGGCTCCGAATCGGTATCGTGATCCGCCTCGACTCTTCTTCTTAACCTAACTTTCTCGTATCCTGGATCCTCGCTGCTCGCGTTGCTCGTCTGCCTGTGCTTGAACGACGGCGCCACGGTGTACGCGGTCGGCAAGTCAGTGGTGTGCTGTCGCTGCCTTACTGACAGAGAATAGCCGGCAGGCGGTAAGGTGGTTGTGTTGTCCACGAGGGGACGTGATTGCGATCGAACCGGTTCGTAATTAGGATCGCGGGTCGTTGGGTTCTTTTTCGACGGATCTCCAGCAACCACCGCCTCGTAACCGTAATCGAGGGTGAACTTCGGCTCCATAGACGGTTCCGCGATGTTCTCACCGCCAACTGTCGATAACTTGGGCGTTTCGATGACCACGCGAACGTTATTACTGGCGGAACTGTTCGACAGGGAACAGCTTCCGAAATCGAGCTCTTTCCTCTGTACTTCCGTGGACTCGTGACTGGACCAGGAAGTTCGGTTCGGTTCGACGAAACTCGGTTTTCGAGCGAGCGTGACTGCGGCAACTTCGTGATGCAGGGTCGATTGCGGGTCGGTTTGTTGGTCCTCCGTTTGGTCCTTCTTTTTCTTCATCACCTTAGCGTACATGTCCTCCAACGACTTGCCGTTCGATAACGTCGATTTCGAACGGTCCTCCGCGGCCTTGCTCGTTCTCTTCTCGATCAACGCGTACACGTCCGTTAATCCCTCCGGAGGCGGTGGCAACGGCGAATTGGCCTGACGTTTCTCCGGTTTCGGTGAGCCAGGATTCACGATGGAGCTGTTTGCGCTCGAAGACGACGCTACGAACGAGACGGGATCGCGTGAAAAGGTTCAGGGGGCTAGAAATGGTGTATAGAGTACTGTTCGACGTAGTGTCGCGTTTGTGAAACAGAACAGGACACAAAGTTCGATTTCGACAAAACAGTGTGTTTACCTTGTCTGGAGTGTGCGTGCGCCACGTGACGCAAACTGTCGACGCTCGGTGGTTGCGGGGCGGGCTGTGTCTCATCGGAACGTGTCGGATCCCGCGGAAACGTTGTCGGTTCGATTTGCACGGTTCGCTGTACTTCTGTCGCCGTCGGCTGTATTTGAGCGTACGTTTCGCTGCCGCTGGTATACACTTTCTCTTGTTCGTCGATCGCCGCGTACATTTCGTCTGTCGGAAAAAGAACACGAACTCTGTCAATCGAGATATACGCTGCACATAGCCGCTACCGTTGGCCCTGTACTTATTACAAGCATCCAAGTATGTTATTTAAATTTGTGTATACGTGTGTATACCAGAATCATCCGACACGGTCGCGTAATGGGGATCAGTCAACGGTCGTCCGGACTGGGTCTGACGGGTGATCGTCTTTGTTTGCGCGATTATGTTGGCCAGAGGTTCCCTCACGCTTATACTGGTGTATCCTTCTGCGGTAAGACGAAACGGGAAATCAGTTTGACTGAAATCAATCGCTTTCTTCGATCGACACTTACTCGAATCTTGGGAGTCTCCACTAAAGTGTTGCTGCGGGCTAATCGGTTGAGGCTGGCTCGATCGTGCCGACTGCGGTGGCTGCGACGACGGTAACAACATCAAAGGTGCCGGTGGCGTCATGTACGGTAACTCTTCGTTCGCTTGCACGCCACCCGAGATCGCGTTAGCCGCTTGAATATCGGTCGTACGCGGAGCAACCTCATCTGTGAGTAGTGAATTATGAGATGACGAACGGCGTGTTCGTGGCGGAGCGACCGGATTCCCAACAGCCTGACTCGTCGACGTAGACGCTTTCTCGGTGTCGATCGGTGACTGAACGTTTGCTCTGCAACGCACGTGTACGCTTTCAATTACGAAGCAATATTTGAAAAGTGTTTTTGGGACGTTTAATCGTTTACCTGTTGGTCTGACTAGCCTCGGCCTTTTGCACGTTCTGAAGTTGAGCATAGGGATGCTCGACTGAAACAAACGGGGAGAAACGTTTAAATGCGTGAAATACACGGAATCGGTAGCAACTTTTTATCTATACCATTGTCGGCTGCAACGGACGCGAATAATCTCGGGTATTGATGAACGGAGTTCTCCCGAGTCGATGGATTCTGTTGGATAATTTCCTGTGTCTGCTGTTCGGTTACCTCTTCTTCGACTCCTGTATCCAAAGTAACGCTAGTTAACAGAGTTGCGAGTACAACTAAATTCTCACTATCCGTTAAAACGACAGCTTTGTAGCCGTTTTACAGCCGGGGTCACGATACACTTGGACGGGGATTGATTTGTTCTTTTAGACAATATTTCGACAGAGGCTAGAAAACCGATTGTGTAAACGGACAATGAGAACTGATCTCAATGGGAAGGGCAACAGCGAGCAAATCCGTGAATCCATCACGAATCTGCTGCGAGGTTACCTGCGCCCTGCACTGTCGCGTAGAGTTCCGACTGGTCGGCATTCGTTTCTGTGGTTTCATAACTGTCTTGCGATACCGACTCCCCTGCTTCTTCGTGTCTCTTCTCCTTGTCCTTTGGAATATCCGGAAGACTTCTATTAGCGCCGGTCGATCTAGGTAAAAGCGGTAAATGTATTTCAGTGTCCAGAGAATGCTTTTTTTCTCACGAATGCATAGCCTTACAATGATCAACTATCCGATACAATACCTTTTAGCAACGTCCGTAACATCTTGCACAGCTGTGCGAGGAGCGTCTGTTATCGGGGCCCCAGCAAAATCCTCGTTCTCGGTACTGTTCAACGTTACCATACCGGCCAGTCCAAGAAATTCATTTCTGTTGAAAGAAAGGTACGATTACGTGAAACTCCTATCAGCATGTATAGGCTACACCTATAGCACGGTTTGTTCAAATGAGCGGATATAATGTCATAATCACTTTGTCTCATTGCGCCGACAGCTACAAATACATGCAACAATGAATCCAAGAAATGATAACAGAGCTCCAATGGATATGACCCAGTAACACCAGGCACCTTCTTCCAGAAAAGGACGTATCATGTTATACTTTATGTATGCCTCATGTATTCTGTAAAACACGCATGCTAAAACAATTTCTCAAATCTGCCAGTATTAACAATCCAAGATTACCTTTGTCTCAAGTCATCTTTGTAGACTTAGCAGTTTTGCCAGTCACACTTGGACTATGTGACCACTCCTCTGTCTCACCATCGGTAAGGTTATAAATGTATTGAATTTATTACATTAAGACCTTTGACTGCACGTGGAAACAAGGATTTCCTTTAAGTGCCTGTTCTCTTGTTATTTCTTCCGAATCTTGTGGCTTTCCATTATATTTTGAATAAGCGATATATCGCTCATAGAACTACAAATATAGACGATGACAATTGACACAGTGTTTATAGGCTGGCCGTCGTTAAATCAATCGACATCAGCATCTTCCACAGACCAGCGGTTTCCACGCAATACTCGTCGAACAAACACTCCGGAAAAATGTTTGGAGAATTAGAAAGGCTTGTCTCGAGTGTCCACCCAAACGAAACATTACATATTCCTTGCATCGGACGATGTAGCCGAGATTTCATTAAAATCGAATTGTTTTACGATTTCCAAATACGTGTACGTGGTTGCGTCTTGCCGTATAACTACATCGTACATTCGAACGTATGACATATCACGATCGCAAAATAAGGTTATCTATTCATACTTTCTGTACATACGTTTACGTACATATATACTGTTGTGAATCTCGCCCTCATTTTGTAGCGGCGTCTAGCGTGGGGTCACGAAGGCCCCGGTGGAGGCGCCATTGATCACGTGGGGTGAGAGCGTGGGGTCGCGGAGCCCCCGGTGGTGGCGCCATAGAGCCTGCTCGGCGAGAGCGTGGGGTCGCGGAGCCCCCGGTGGAGGCGCCATAGACCTGCGCGGTGAGAGCGTGGGGTCGCGGAGCCCCCGGTGGAGGCGCCATAGATCCTGCGCGGTGAGAGCGTGGGGTCGCGGAGCCCCCGGTGGTGGCGCCATAGAGCCTGCGCGGTGAGAGCGTGGGGTCACGGAGGCCCCGGTGGAGGCGCCATTGATCACGTGGGGTCACGGAGCCCCCGGTGGTGGCGCTATAGACCCTGCACGGAGGTCCCGGTGGAGGCGCCATTGATCACGTGGGGTGAGAGCGTGGGGTCGCGGAGCCCCCGGTGGTAGCGCCTTAGAGCCTGCGCGACGAGAGCATGGGGTCACGGAGGCCCCGGTGGAGGCGCCATTGATCACGCGGGGTGAGAGCGTGGGGTCGCGGAGCCCCCGGTGGAGACACGAGTACTTTTGTTCGATACCTACGTGGTATCGCAACGGCAGTATCGATACCGAAGGTATTCGGTATCGAAACAAAAGTATCGAGTAATGTACTCGTATTTACTTGTATCGATTCATTTCTAATTGGAGGTACAGACGTATTTTACTTGTATTTTTCGAAATGTATTACACGCCGCTATTGAGTATTTAGATATGAGTGTTTATTTCTTTTAAGAGGAAGGGTAAATAGAAGTTTATACGTAAAATCGTATACTTTACAAGTCGTTGATTTACAATAGAAAGTATGTATATATACATACGTGTGTCGTACGAACGTATACGCGTTACAACATATGTATCTATGTATAAACGATCAAGCACCAGGTCTTGTGCACAGCAGTTGTAAATCTGTCGTGATTACACGTTGTTTCCGTCGATAATGAAATTTTACGAATCCGTGGTTCACTGGTTTTATCGACGTCGTATAAAATCTTGACTAATCGCGACACTATTAAAAAAGATAAAAAATTCGATTTCTTGTACGAGCATCAAGATGTCCATTTTCGAGGACCAGTGCTCGTCACACGTGATTGATAATCCGAGACAACACCAGAGAATGTAAAGGTGTGTAACCATTTCTTGCACAACCTTGTATTGTATCACCATACCATACGTTCACGTTGATAGAAAACAACGATACGATACAAGGTTACGCAACAAGTGGAGACGCACCTTAACGTGTGCATATGAAACGATAGAATAATCTCCAGACGAGTCGAGTTGTGCGAACTCTCTCTGTAATGAGTAACGTGTCTATGTGTGCGCGCATTAAGGCGAAACACAGGCGAGTAGCACTGGTGGTAACAGTTATCTGTCGCATTTAGTATCCGCGGAGCAGGTGACGTAAAGAGGCATCGAGGAACCGTCGCAGTATCCGTAAAACTGTTGGGACGGCGGATACGACTGGGGCGGTTGTTGCTGCGCGTTCGGAGTCAGAAGGGTGTGCATCAGGTGCATTGGTTGTACGAACGGCATCATTTGTAAGGGGGGCGACGAGATCGAGGGCGGCAGGGGCGGGGCTGCGGCGTTCCCGCGGTCCAACGTGGATCCGTTGTATGAGCTTATATAGAGGTCGTGGTTAATCTTGCCGGAATAGGCGCTGCCCGGTCTGATCATCGAGGCGTCTTGAATACTACCCGCGGCCATTCTCGCCTCCTCCATCCTATTTGACCATCTGAGCCGACAGATACAAACGACGATCACGATGATCGCTATGAGCGCGACCACACCGCCCACGATACCGATTATGAGAGTGTCGTCTGTTCCAGAACTGTTTCCGATCGTCCCTGACTCGAGGATTCGATCGCGGTCGTAGTGTTTGTTACGATCGTTTCGTGTCGTCGGCGCGATCGTCCATATGATCTCCGGTTCGGTCACCGTCGGCGTCCTCGGGGCGTGAGTGGACGAGGCGGCGGTGGCGTCCGTGCCTAGTAACGTGGTCCTATGATTCGTGTCGTCGATATCGGACGTGTTGCACGACAGACGTTTTTCGTCGAGGGCGATCAGTACCGAGCCGGCCAGACGAGGCGGAGAAATACATCGTACGTGTTTCGTGGACCGTTCGTCCCATGCGGCGGTTCTCAACCATTTCCACAGGTGTCTCGCCTCGCAGCTGCAATCGATGGGATTGCTCTCGAGGCCGCGAAGCCGTGCGGTACCTGTCCTTTCGTCGAGGGCGGCTAGCAAGTGGGACGAGATCGTGGTGAACTTACTGCCCGACAGGTCGATCTCCAACTCGGTGGAACGCGGGACTGGGAAAAACAGCGCGGCCGGTATCGTATCGACGGAGGTGTTCTTTATCCCCACGGTCAGCTTGGGCTCGCGGACGCCGACCAACGAGCTAGACAGAATGTTCCTCAGTCTCTCGCCCCTTAGTGTCAGTTCTCGTAAACGTGGATGCTCGCGTATCGAGAGCTGTTCGTTGCCCACCGACGAGTCCTTGATCTCGATGTCCAACGTCTCCAGGTTACGCATTCCCTTCAGGATACCCTGAACGTCGAAGTAACCGAGTTTCGGGTAGTTGTGCGCGGACAGAACGCGAAGCTTCGACAATGGTTTGAACGCGCCCCTCTCGATTCTCGTGCAGTTCGCCAAATCGGAGACACGTAGCGTCCGAAGGGCGGTCAGTCCGTCGAAACTGGTCTCGTTGACGGTCCTCGCGTCGTTTCCAGATACGTCGAGCCATCGAAGGGTCGGTAATGCGCGAAACGCCACGATTGCCTCCGTGAAATCCGTCAGGTTGTTCCTGGACAAGTCCAGGCTCTCTAGCATCGTGGTGCGCTCGAGGGCGGCGATCTCGACCGCGGGGATGCCGTTCCCGGAGAGATTCAATCGTTTCAGGAACGGCGTCTCGAGCCTGACCAGCGTTTTTGCACCTGTGTTCGCGAGATTCAAGCTACGAAGAATCTTTGCCTCGCCCAGAATCCCGTTGATCGCCGTCTCGCTTAACGGATTGCCCGAGAGATCGAGGTCCTTCAGGTTGCTCGGAATGTCCCGACTGAACGCCTCAATCATATGATTCCGCGCGACGTTCAATCGCGACAGGAACGCGGATTGTCGTTGCAGCGTGCCAGCTGGAATCTCGTTGAAACGATTGCCCGAGAGATCAATGCTCTCCACCGCCCGAACTCGACTCGGATCGAAGATCGTTTCCGGCAGGGTGGCCAGTCGGTTGTCTTGAAGCGCCAGATGACGCACGCGCAGCAGACCCTCCATCGTTCGCTCGCTGAGCGTTTCGATCACGTTGTCGGACAAGTCCAGCATCTGCAGTTGCGTGGAATTATGAAAGGCCAGATCGTCGACCGACTCGATCCCGTTCCCCGCGAGATTCAGAACCCGTAGCCGCGGGATCTGAGAGAAGGCGAACTCGCCAACACGTTTCAACGTGTTTCTGGACAGGTCCAGATGTTCCAAAAACTGCAAGGGTCTCGCGTACTCGCCGGGGAAGTGTAGCAACCGATTGCCCGAAAGATCGAGCCGTTTCAATCGCGGATGTATTGCGAACGCTGTGGCCGACAGACGTTCTATACGATTGTCCGAGAGGTCCAAGATCGCCATCCCGGTACCTGTGTCGAAATACTCTCCGGTGAACCGTGTGAGCCTGTTCCCGCCCAGATTCAAATCGTACAGACTAGTCAGACCCGCGAAAGCCTCGTTCTCGATGGTATCGATTCGATTCTCGGAAAGATCGATCCTCGACAGGTTTTGATGTCGTCGAAACGTACCCGTCTCAATTACCTCCAAATGATTTCCGACGAGTGCAATTCTCTCGAGGGATTCGAGGTTAGACAGTAGAATCGTCGGTAGGATCTTCAGATCGGTTCGCGACACGTCCAGACGCCGAATAGAGGATGGAAAGACCGGTGGAAAGCCTCCGTAAAGAGGATTCAAGCTTAGATTCAGATATTCCAATCTTTCCAGATGCTTGAACGTTTCCGGCGGGACTCGTGTCAATTGGTTACCGGCCAGATCCAAGTGGATCAGACTTCGCAACGGGAGCTCGCCGATAGATGTCAGTTTGTTCCGTGAAACGTCCAGTTTCGCCAACGTGTCTTCCAATCCCTCGAACGTATTCGGTGTGATCGTCAAGAGCAGATTTCCCGATAGATCTATACCGTAGAGATTCTTGAACTCGCGGAACGATCCGGCCGGTATCTCTCGCACCAGATTTCGGGTCAATACGAGCGTCGCGAGACCGAACGCCGTTGCTTTTATCAGCTCGGTGGACAACGCGGCTATGCGATTGTATTCCAGGTGGAGATGGGTCAACGACGGTAGCCTGACCAGAGCGGTGGCCGGCACCAGCAAAATGTTGTTGTCCCGCAGTGACAACCATTTCAGCTTGGTCAAGCCTTCGAACGACGATTCTTCGATCTGAACAAAAAAATTGAATGATTCACATACAGAAAATCATCGATGAGTGTTCGAAAGCTCCTCGATGTTGAGTGTTTAGATCTCATCTCCACCACTGGAGGCTCCCCTCCCTTCGTGGAACCAGTCAAGCGTCCAGTTGTGGGGATGACGTCTGAACACTCAGTGCCAAGGAGCCTTCCAACACTGATCGGGTTCCTTGAGTCGGAGTTGCTAGTTTCATTTTTTATTCGTTGCTTATTGAACATGAATTTCACGGAATTCTATATGGCGAGCATAATTGCATAAATGCGTTAATCACCACCGTTAACCTGTACACCGCAATCAGTTTGACTTTTTTAGTTCTTTCTACACCTTCAGACGTAATATTGTATCAGTACTTTCTCTAACTAACTACTCTCGTTTTCTTTGGTCTTCATTTTATAATTTTGTAATTTCGTTTCCCGTCCTGTATATGTATACCCACGGGCTTATTGCCTGTTAAAGAATTTAATAATATTAATAATAATAATTTTTCGTACCGTGCGTAAAGCGTTCAGGCTCAAATCGAGCCTGGTCAGGCTGGCCAGACCGGCGAACGCATTCACACCGAGTCGACCGATGCTATTCCGACTAAGATCCAACACCTGCAACTCTCTCAGCCCGGTCAGATGCGCTCCATTTATGTTCTGAAAACACGCGTGCAACGAATCAAATCTACACCCGGCCATCCCTCGTATTCGTAAAAAAATAATTGAATGAAAATTCGTTTACTGTTTCCCTTTTGAAATAATTAGAATTCGCACTAAATGTAGAAATAAATTGGACGAAAATGATTAAAATACAACAAAGCATTGTTAAAATGAAAGCCCCCAGAAATCTTAATCGAACCCTGTACTCACCATGATTAAGTTGTTCGAAATGTTAAGAAATCTGAGATCGGTCAACAGCCTAATCGCGTCGGTGGGAAATTCTTGGAGAAAATTTGCCGATAGGTCCAATTGTAGCAAATTGTATGCACCTGCAAGGAAAGCAAGATTGACCACCAATTAGCCCGAAACTCATCACCCGCATATTCCGGAGCGACCGCCCCTGCGGAGTTTCCGTAATTCCGTACCTTCGAATGCGTCGCTGTTGAAACGACCTAGATCGTTGCGGGAAAGATTGAGCAGTAGTAACCGTTCGAGGCCGAGCAATGCACCATCCTCCATGTGCGACAATTCATTTTCGCTCAGATCTAAACGTAGCAACGACTCGCCGATCGACGAAAAGGCAGCACGCGGTAGCGATCCTGAGAACAATCGTTATGAATCGCGTTAATCGTTGCATTCTTGTATTCGTGTTTGAAGTCGGTAGATAACACTGTTTAATGCGTAAAAAAACTCAGAGCCATCAATAGGCGGTTCCGATAGATCTTCGCGAGCTGAAAATGAATCTGCAAACGATTCTTTCCTAGCGCGTCCGGTTTTTGAGAAAAACAATTTTAACGAACTTTACAAATTTTCAACTTTGGGGGTGTATTGTGCTTTTGCAGTGACACTTATTTAGTTCATTTTCTCAATAAAACAACCCCCTAATGGTGGGGATTCAGTGGCGACGTGCCTTCGGACAATGATCGATGATTTCCTGTATTTCGCTTCTCCATCGAAAACAAAACAGATTCCGTAACTTTCCTTGACACTTTGCTTAGCAGGAAGGTCTGCTCTGTCGCAAGCTACGGTTATATTTCCTCCTAGACCGTTAGTTTTCGAAATAAATTGAAGAATACATCAGTAAAAATTGCGTCGACTTCGGTGTCACTTTTGATGGTTATTTCACCATATTCAAATGTCTATAATATAACAATTTACATGATTTCGTTCTGGAGAATCCAGAGAATTATTCCGTGTCAATAGCAACCTAATAACCATCATTGTAAAAGCACCTGCACACATCCAATATTAAAAACTTGCAATTATTTTTTAAGCAGCATTCTTCCAAAAAACTGGACGTCCTTGAAAAGAACGATTTGCAGATTCATATTCAGCTCATAAGAATCTATCATAGGGTAACAAAAAAAAAAATAAAAATTTTTCAGCCACGGTATATACCGATATCGTTGCCAGCCAAGGACAGCAACCTGATGGACGTCGGTCCTTTCAACGACGCGGTCGGCACCGTCGTCAGATCGTTCTCGTCCAAGTACAGTTGCTCGAGGCTCTCGCATCCCTTGAATATCCCCTCCTCGATGCTCCTCAGGCCGTTTCCGCTGAGATCGAGCAATTTCAATTCTTTCATGCCGTGAAACTCGTTGCTCGAGAATATGGGATTCAGACTGTCGCCCAGCAGATTATCGGCGAGCCTGAGCTCCTCCAGACGTGGTTGTTCTTCGAGCAAACGATTCATCAGCTTACGGATCGAATTGCCGGATAGATCGAGCTTCCTTAATCGTAGCCCCGATCCGAGCAAATCTTGCGGCAACTCGCGGTACCCGCTGTTCCGCTGACTGATCGAGACGATCGGTTGTCCACGGAGGATCTCCACTGTGTCCCGCGTGAAAATCGCCCCGTCGCAATTCACGTCTATCGACCGACCGCCAACGTGTTCCCCAACGGTCACAGAACACTCGCATGGGATCTGCAAGTCCCGCTTCAGCTCGACGCACGGCACCCATTCGGTTTGCTTCGACGCTGGTAAGTTTAGAAGCAATAGGACCGATGATAACACGTATGCTCTGAAAAAACGACGACACAAAGAGACGCATAAACGTAGGTTCGATTCGATCGTCTTCGTCATCTAACTTGCATCGATAGATTAGTGATTAATGGCAGATCTACTTTTCGTTTCTCCTCTTTAGAGTTCTGTATACTTGTATATTTAATTTAATTTAATTTATACGGGTGAGGACCCATTTTTACAATATTTCATTCAAAATGTTACGGAACACAAATACAATGGTGTAATAATGAGGTATAATGAGATGTAAGGCCATCAGCCGGACTTGGTGTGTCTAGCCTACTCTAGACTAGGGTTGGCATTACACAGGGTATCTGTTTATCCCGTCTTTCCACCCGATCCAACTTTATTAGACCCTAGCCACTTGGAAGTACCGAGTGTACTTACTCGCGCTAGGAATCGTAGGGAAATACTACGTGGCATGGCGAGGGCGAGGTAAGATGACGCGACGTTTCGACGCACGGGTACATATACATATATCTCTATCGTGTATAACGGTTGTTTCGTCCGATGTACGGACGGATACGCGAGCGCGCTCGCGCGCTCTGTTAAAACCTGTTTCACGCAAATGCTTAAACGACCGCGTTCCCTTCTTTTTCTCATAGACCGAACGGGATTTCTCAACGCCGCGTATGTACGCGAAGACGATTTTCTGCGAATTGAATTTTCCGAAGGATTTTTCGTTTTCCGACGAATCGATACAGACTGGTCGAAACGAGGGGGAGGGGGAAAGCGAGAAGGAAGCGCGGAATCGATTGTCACTTTCACGGTCCATTCCCGATGAATTACACGGAGAACTGGTTAGATCTGTTCCATCGAGACGAACGCACGTTCGATCGATCGTAATATTTCCTTCTCGTCGAACCGAGAAACAGTGGTATCTACGAATAATAATTGTACCGTCCAGAATCGACTTTTTTTCGCACGCTTCTCGCGACATGACACTTTCGAATATATTGCCTCGATTTAACTTACGGTTTTATCATATTTGATTGCTCCGTGCGACGATCGCATTGAATCGACACCGTCTCTCTGTTATCCGTCACCGGTGATCCGCATTACCATCCGCGATCACTCTTCTACGTCGATCGAATTCACGTAGTTTTCCGGTAGCGGCTGAGAGGGGACCGCTAAAAATTTCTCTCCATCGTCTCGTTCCCCTGTGTGCCTCTACCACGAAATAGACGCCGCCGCGACTGGATGCGTATTATACGCTTACTTACGCACTCGCGTGTTGTCTCTTCTTTCCGGCTGACACTCTCTCTTCTCACGCGCTCTTTTCTCTTTTACACGTATTCCCCTTCCCAGACCGACGACAACACCGAATTATTACAGATTCTATTTATCGTGCACGACCCCAGAAACGATATTATAACATCTCCATTTCTCGTTCGATTCTCGTTCGATGATTGATATTTTCGATTTTGCGATTACTCGACCGGTGGGTGTACTGTGGAGAACGCGCGCGCGCGCGCGGTATTCGTTATTCGAAGAGACGAGAAACGACTAAGTGAACGCGCCTGGACATTCGGAAACTGGAAGGAGTTCGAGGCAGCCGTTCCATACGGCGGAGCAATGAAATATCGTAATGGACGGAAAAGAAGGAGGGGACCGGAGAGAGAGACTATAAGGTGTATACCGTGCCCTTCTCCACGGATTCGCAGACTCGACTCACTCGGAGACATAACGGGGATTCACGCGAGTTTACCTACACTCGGCAACCACCGGTGCTTGGTGTTCGCCCGTCGCGTCGCCTGGGTAGGGGAAACACTGCTCGGACAAATCATGTGACTGTATTATTCGCGAGCTTTTCATACGTATATGCATTTATGTTTGCGTGTATGTATGTGGTGCGTACATGCGTTCTGCTGCGTGTTTCTATGCGTTGACATGTATATTTTGTTACACACAGCCTGGGAAAAGAAGGTGAGAGATAGGATCGTGTGGACGCGTAGGAACTTTTGTCGAGTAACCTTTCACTACCACTATCCGTTCGTAACATTCGTTGCGACGAGTTCCTCTGTTTGCTACTTTATCGGCCGTGTCCAGTATCTAACAGCTTTCCACTTATCGCTTGCTATTAACGATTCGATATATCGTTAACTACTTCGATCGTTTTCTATCTTATCGTGTCGTATTCTATCCCATCGCATCGTGTTGTATCCTAACATCTCCTTTTATGTCATTACTCCTCTTTGTTTCACGCGAAATCTAAAAGATGACCGAAAACGAGATGAATAATCTTGAAATAAAGTATCGAACGACAGCCATTAGGGAAATGAAGCGTTCACTTGGACACAAAGATATTTCGAATCTCCGAAAGAGACGATGAGTAACACGACGACGAGACAGACAAGCGTGAAAGGCATAAAATCGAGCCTCGGATTGGCATTCTTCGAATATCCTTTCACTGCTTCTATTCGATGTCGATGCTTGCTGGCTTATCGTTCTTCTCCATGAATAGATCGTCTGGTGCTCGATCTTGTAATTGTTCGTTTGTATTTTGAACGTGAATTCTAAGTGGTGAAGATAAAAGTTGGCTGTGCTTCTTTCGTAATTTCGATAATTTTCGTTTGATTTTCTTCGTTCGTAATCGTAGAATACACGCGCGCATTCTTCGAAAAGCATGGAAACGTAGAGCATGCGCGTGTCAGATACAGACGTGGTGGGTATGCAAGAAGTGACAGTTACGATTTTGGTGAAACTGTGTCGTTCTGTTTTTCGCGCGCCAATAGGTACGATTATGACTGTGTACATGAATTTGCATCGTTGAAACGCCAAGATCTTTCGTTTTCGAAAAATGTCAGCAATGTTAACTGCCGATTGGTCTCCTCTGGGACGGGATGTGTTTTTTAGGTAATGACGTATTAGGTTATACGTTTGTACGATGCAACGAAGCAGCGTTATAATATAACGTAGAACTATTATTTTTCAGAAAATTCGAACTATATCCCCTATCGTTTCAACAAGAGGTTTCGAATAGTAATCTGTTAGTGGCAGCTCCTTATGGAGGTTCAATTGCGATAACCAGAAATCCTAAGAAGTTTGTTAAAGTTCAGGGATCGAATAAACTTATAATATACTTATACACATCTGCTGGAAAACTAACTGCTACATTACAGGTCAAACGTCCTAAATGGAATTCTATAACTTATGAGAATAGTGAAAGCACAATGTATTGTGCGTAAGATTTTTACATAGAACACAATGTTATTGCCCTTTTCAGTGGAGTGGGGGACAGTTGGTTGCTTTAGGATGGTCTCAACAAGAAGAACTGTTATGCGTGCAAGAGGATGGAATGATTCACATATACGATATGTTTGGCACATATCAGCACGCATTTACTATGGGAAATGTAAGTTATTTGTCAGTAGTACTCAGATCCTGCAAAAAATTTGCACAGTATTCGAACAGCGAACTCTCATCTGTATATTCTTGTACTAGGAGGTGAAGGATACGAAAGTTAAGGAAGCAAAATTCTTTGTCACTTCCAGTGGAACAGGTATCGCGGTTCTAACATCTACCAATCATATATTCTTAGTAAATAACACAGCCGAACCAAAAGTTAGACAAATATCCGAAGTACCGAGTAAGTTTCTGAGTCCAAATTAATGTGCTCATTGGTAGAACAAACCTCTGATTAGATCTCTTATAGGATACAGGGGAGCAATAGATTGCTGGTGTTTGGTGCACTTCGATAGGGAGACACGAATCTTTTTATCCAACAGAGATGGAATATTCATAGTACATCAGACACATCAGACTGCGACGCACATACCATTTGTACGACTAGAATTATGAATTATTAAAAGAGTAAGGCAACGTGCATCGAAACGATTCAATGGATACATGTAATTTTTAGGATACTCTATTCACGAGGCATGCCAAAGTATCCAGCGTAATAGCCATGGCTGTGTCAGGAAATAACCGTCATATTGCTCTCTACTCGGACACTGGTCATTTATACATAGGTTCCATAGATTTCAAGGACAAGTATTGCGAACATAATGCTAACACGAATGAAACGTTATCGGACATTGCATGGTTGGTATGTGTGTGTTGTCATGAAACCCAACCATTCTGGTATTTATATACATAATTGTAGGTGTGGAACAGAAGCTGTGGTCTGCAGTTGGAGCAGTACCGTGATGGTAGTAGGACGAACAGCCGAAACGATAGTGTACAGTTACGACGGTCCGGTACATCTTGTTACAGAGATCGATGGTACACGGGTGTTATCCAGCTCCTCCCATGAACTGATACAGAAAGTACCAACCGTTGTTCAAAGAATATTTCAAATTAATTCCATCGATCCTGCGTCCTATCTTTTGGAGGCTTCTAAGCAATTTAAGAAAAGGAGCGACAAGGCCGATAGTTATATAGATTTGGTGAAACCTAACTTAGACGCAGCGATAAAAGCTTGCATCGACGGAGCTAGTCATGAATTCGACTTCAAGACGCAAAAACTTCTGATGACAGTAAGGCAATGCATGCCATATGTTTCCTTGTTTCATTCGAAATAAATCATCATCAGTACAGTCATCGATTATTCCAGGCAGCAAAATTTGGGAAGGGATTTAGTAAGACGATTAATCCAGAATATTACATCGACATGTGTCGAACGCTTCGGGTTCTGAATGCTGTGAGACATCCTGCCATTGGAATTCCAATAACGTACACACAGTATCCTTTCATTTGATCCAAAAGATCTTCAGTGTCATTCGATTATCCTACTTCAGTAGGTACTTTCTGCTCGATTTTATAACTGATAATATTTATAACGGAAAATACTTAACAACGATTTAGATATACTGTTTTAACAAGTCAGGTATTACTGGATAGACTTGTTGCGAGAAGACATTACTATTTGAGTATACAAATAGCACGGCATCTCCAACTGCCGGAAGTTGATGGGGAGAGCCGAATACTAGCTCATTGGGCTTGCTACAAAGTAGCGTATTTCATTTTTCCACCTTGATCTCGTGCGATGTGAATACAAACAGAAAACCAAATGTTTTCTTCTGTGGCAGGTGAAGCAAACTCAATTGGACAAGGAACAGATAGCCGAAGAAATAGCCGATAAATTAGGATACGCACCTGGTGTTTCGTACAGCGAAATCGCGAAAAGAGCAGCCGACTGTGGACGAAAACAGCTAGCTATTAAAGTACCTAGTTTTATTTACTTTATGTTAATCAACGGCTCTTATTCTCTGTTTAATTGAATACTTTGTTGTTAGCTGATTGATTATGAGCCTCGCGCGCACCAACAAGTATTGCTTCTATTAACGCTCGGCGAAGAACAGGCTGCTTTGCGTAAAGCTGTCGAAAGTGGCAATACCGATTTAGTTTATACGGTAATACTACATCTTAGGGAGAACATGACCCTCAGTAACTTTCAGGTGAACAACTTACTGTAGATTGATTTGAACTATTGATAAGGGAAAATACAAATTTGACTAAGATGCTTATCAATTCGACACAGATGGCTATAAAGCACTGTCCCTTAGCGATGTCGCTATACATTAAATATTGCCAGAATCACAATCGAGAAACTCTTCGGGATATTTATAATCAGTACGATCATTTTCATGCACAAGCGATATGGTTTATTACGGAAAGTTATCAAGAAAAGGTTGGCAGTACATTAAACAGTATGCACTAATTACACAGTCGAACACGTTGACGTCCATGTTACACTTATGGTTTCGTAGAATATAATGTCGAGGGAGGCGTTATTACAGTCTGCGCAGGAGAATTTCAAATTTGCCCGCAGCGATACAAACGCGGCTTTAACAGAAGAACAAATAAAACTGTTACGCCATCAAAGATCTCTAGAAGATACGTTGCACGAATCGATCGTTGGAAAATCGCTTCACGACACTGTGAAGATACTGTTGTTGCAGAAAGAACAGAAATTAGCAGATAAACTGAAGTCGGAGTATCGAATATCAGATCGAAGGTGTGGCGTTTTCTATTATAAATAATCACAGCCAATCAATTACAAACATCTGTCCAATATTGCTGGTGTAAAGTTATCTGTTAAGTGTACAGAAAGTGTCACCTTTTTCTAACGAGTGATACTTTATAAGTATCTATAACATCTATCGGAATATTGCTGGGATAACTTTTATGAATTTTTTTTCTTAGATATTGGTGGTTGCGTATACAATGTTTAGCGGAGCTAGATATGTGGGATGAATTAGAAAAGTTGTCCAAAAGTAAGAAATCTCCCATCGGTTACGAGGTATTTCCTTTCGACGTTAAATATTTCTCATGTTACCCCAAGTGGCATGTAATTTCTACTCTTTCTTCGACTGTTTCAGCCGTTCATAGATCAGTGTTTAAAGTATAACAAGGAGAAAGAAGCGAAAAAGTATTTGCCTAAAGTAAAAGATCAACTGCGGGTGAAATACCTGGTGAAGTTAAGGTAAAGTATTACAGTTACAAATAAATTTGCGATACAACGAAATAATGGTTGTGATCTTGCAGAATGTTAAACGATGCAGTTCAGATAGCGATTGAACAGAAAGATGAATCCGCGCTAAATTTTGTGTTAATGCATTGCGACCCATCGGAGAGATTATTGCTTGATGCGTTCATGTCAAGTATTAAAAATTAACATCCTGCCATTAGTAAAATGGTTTTTCCATTGCATCCACTCATTATTCTCTGTGTCTAGCTAAATAAAGATATAATGCCGTAAATTATAATGATAAAATATATTAATATGTAAATATTGCATTATAAAATGGTAGGTACAGATTTTTTACAAATCTCTGAAATATTTCGTTATTGTAATAAATGGAATAATAATTGTCCGTTATTGGGCGAATTTATTTAATATTTCCCAAAACACATCAACTACTTTTTTTGGTCGATTCCATAAAACGTTGATGTCTGGATGTAAGATCGTCGACGATCAATCGTTCGATTTCTTCGCCTTTGTTCAACTGTTCGTCCGTCAGAGATATATCGTAATCGTTTTCGTGACTGACGATCGTTACGTGCTGCTTTCGAGTATGCAGCATATTAGCTATGACCAACTGTGAGAAAAATATTTCAGGTATGTACAAACGATTGAAATATTTCAGGTCTCTAATTAGCTTTTGTTCTTTAAGCCATTGAAATTACTCACATTGTGCTTGTACTTGTTGAGTGCATTTCTCGCTTTTGAAATCAGGAGATTTTCGTCAGTTTCTAATTTAAAAGAGACCACAAACGCTTCCGGAACCCAGAGACTTACCAATGGAGCTAATATTTTCGGCACTAGTTGAAGGGATATTGTTTGTGCATCGTTCGAAGAAATCTTGTGAACTGACTAAAAATATACAAATAATCTTTATACATGATCAAATTACGATTTTTATGAAAGAGTATAGATTTATTAATATTTTGAAAGAATATTCGAATTAGAAATACCAATTCATTAGATGGAATGTAAAAGTCTGAGACTGCAGCTGCAAGGTAAAATATAGCTTTGTTCCCGAGACAAGCTAGCGCTTGACATGCGGATCGAAGTAGCCAAAGATACTCGGAAACGCTCGTAAATGTAAGCTGCAACAATTTGTCTTGACTCAAAGCTTCCTTGTATTTATGTAATATTACTGCTAACTTTTCAGTATACTGTGGTAGTACTAAGAAGAAAGTATCAATTTGTTAAAACAAATACTAATATCAATTTTAAAGATATACATACAATAATTATATCTAATCGTTCGATTTGCATACAAATTAAAAGTATTGCATACTGATATTCCAAATAAAGAACTCGTACCTGTGATGTTATATTTTTCACTCTGTTTATTTGTCTCCAGCATATCTAAAAATTTTTGTCCTACAAAATGTCTTGAAAATGGTTCCAGAGATTTAACCCTGTGAATGGATGAAAATTAGTAAAATTAATGTTGTACAACAATTTTTGGCAAGGCAGTACCTGTTGTATTAATGTTCGTCGTACGGTAATTACCTGTACATAAAAATTACAGAGTAACCTTTTTCTAAAAAATATTCTGCAGAAACAGATCCCCTTGTTCCTGCACTGAAGTTATCTACAAATCTTACTGTATTATGTTCTAAAGGTGTTGTAGTACCACCACTCTGTAAAATGTTTCAACCTTGTAACATCATATATGTATGCAGCATCCAACAATTTGAAAACTTACCGTTACTAGTACAACTTTATTGTTGTTTTTCAGCTGACGTTCTGTAAATTCTTTTAATAGCAATTCACTCTGATCAAAATCCTGAGGTGGTAGGTGTGTATCATAAAACTCTTGCCACGTTGAGTCCATATTTGTATATTGTTAAAAAATATAGTTGGTCAACAGAATGAAAACTAACTATTTAGATGTTCCTTACTACTTTAACCAGTATTTTATACGTACAAATTAAAACTCTGATACTGTTAAGTGTACAGAAAGCGTCACCTTTTTCTAGCGAGTGATACTTTATTAAATAAAGTATTCTAAATAATTTAAACGTCGCACAACTACAAGATCGCTGTTACACGAATCAGGTGACTGTTACGTCGCGTATTTACCTGAAACATGAAATTTGAAAAATCATCGCTGAACATAGGAATTAGAAATATTTAGAGATGGCGTGCAAAATCACTAACGGTGATTTATCACAGTGATCGCAGAATCACGATCACGGTCGTGATTTAACTTCATTCACGACCGTGATTGCGATTTTTTTATCTTGAGTGAATTTGCTGACTGCGATCGTAAGTCCTTGATCTTTAAACAGAAAAACGTATGCATAAACGAATTACATTACTACTTGTGTTTTTAAAAAGCAGTAAAAAAAACAAACTCTAAAAGAATGATTTGCTAAGAAACATGTAGATTATAATTTATAATCATTAAATTATTCATAATTATTCATTGTTCCTAATTATTCCTTCAGTTTATACTATATAACTCGAATTTTTGTTTTAATGTCGTTAATATAAAATATACAGGTTATGTGTCGCGTGTAAAGAACCGTTATGTTTCTCCACCAATCAGAAACAATCGGAAACGATCACGAAAAATCATGAATCACTGTGAAAACTCACCGTGATTGGGAACGAACGTAATCGAATCACTCGTAATTCACAAGTAGCAGTTCACGCCATCTCTAGTTAGAACTGAATTACCTATATACGAACGATATGTGCGCTCCCTGGTGACGTGTTCAATAGTTGATCAGACACAATCGATAAAAATTATCCGTTACGTTAGCAAAACGTATTACATACATTACATACATATATTCCAGAAATATATCACTTTAATTGGACTTGTCTCTGAATTTTAGGCTAAACGTCAACGTAAATTTCTGTAGTCAACGGAATAGTTACCTATGATAATTATTTGTAATAAATACAAAGTACATACAATTTTCTCATTCGATCTTTTTACAATGATGTCACAATGAAAGCAATTCATGCTGATGTTCAAATTTTAATTAATTATTTATTTCTTATATATATATATATATATACTGCATAGATAACAATCAGTAACACGGTATGAGTTCTGTACAATTTGTTGTGATAACCATAATTCATCATTGGTGTAAGCACTGAACGAAGACACTAGTTATACAACAATCGGATCTGACTTCAACTTAACTGACTAAAGTAATACTATTGTATGAAGTTTAGGTTCTAGTATTCTGGAGCTGGAGACTTCATATTCTTGTGGTGGACATTCATGAACTGGAAATAAATTGCACAATTAAGAAAATTAGAAATTATTTTCGCTGAACAGTGTGACTTTAACGATCATTTATATCATCAAATATATCACTTATTTGTTCGCATTACCTTGTAATCCTTATCCTTGTATTCATTCCATGGTTCGGGATTTTTCTTAGTAAACCACGTCACATCGGGGTCACGAAACGCAAGTCGCATTAAATATAACGACGAGCCAACTGCTCCCACTCCAATGCACAAGAATAAGGGTAACAACTGATAAAATAAATTTAGAATTATTATTATATATACGATTCTGATGCGTTATTTTTCTTACCATTGGATTTTTTTTCAAGCTAGCTATAGTAAGACCTTGCATTTTCCCCATTTTTCCGAATCCAAATGTTAAAACAAGTTCCTCCGATACACAATTCAGCTCCTATCTGATGCAAGCTGGTGTCACGTCTGCTAGTGCAACGGGACTAATGTGTGTACCGTTTCTACGCAGTATGTAGATGCGAACGTCTAGTAAAATATTTTCAGTATGCATTCCACACAATTCCACACTACTGCAGCTTCATGTGATACAGTCTACATCTCTCGAATGTCTCCAGGATTGAAAATTTCGACGACAACCTTATGACATCGTTATGAAGCTGTGAAGATCGTACGAAAGATTTACAAGTTACATAAGGGGGAATTATTTGCGATGGATAAGTTACAATATTTTATAAGTTTGAATAATATTTAACATTGCTTACTAGATGGCTAAGAGCTTGGCCATTTTGACGCAGAGATGGATCCACGTAAATATATATTAATTAAAAGCGTCAAGATCAACGATTACCAATTTTACACGATTCTTCTAATACAACAAAGATTCATTTAAATATATGCACAAATATAATTAGGGTATGTGAGAAACGGAAGTGATCCTAGGAATTTTTTAATGCACAGTTTCTTCAATTCCTCGGATTGGCGATTCTGTTAATTTGGTGCGGGAATTACTTCCGGTCATTTCCGTTGAATGGCGACGGCGATGGATGGTTTGTTTCGAAGCGTGTTGTAGTGTCTTCGCAGTCGTGATTTCAAGAAACTTTCCAATTTTTCTTACGTCTTATCGTGATTCCATTATTCTATTGAGTATATGAACGAGAACTCATTCATAATCTGAAACGCGCGGGAGTGATAAATCTCGGAGCATAATCGTGTATTGTGGTGGGCACTTTTTGCCGAAGAATAATGGCCGATATAGATGGAAAAAAGCTGACCGAACTTCGAGTTATAGATCTAAAAACGGAACTCGAACGACGCGGATTGGATAAAAGTGGCAATAAAGCGGCACTCCTAGAGCGTCTTTCCAATGTAAATTTTCTTTTTAATTTAAATTCCGTCTGTTAAAGTATTCATCTGTAATGTCTTTCACTGTTTTGTCGCCATTTTAACCCTATTGATTTCGACGGTAGTTCATTGTAGTGTACTTAGCGATTCTAGCAGTGACGAGGCGAGTTCGATACATTCGAGATCAACATATCATTACAAAACGAACGCCATAAACCGACAGTGTTTACGTATGTACGTACCGTCTGTACGTGACTCATTTACTAAACCAATAGGATATTGCACGACTCACATGCTGGGTCATCGATCTCGAATGTGTCGATCACTAACTTTTTACTGCAGCTCTAAAAATATGTTTTAAGTCTATTGTAACTTTATTTACGATTATCATAATCATATTTTAATACTATAATTCTTACTCTTACTTTTGTATGCAAAGTCCATATCTGACGAAGGGGAAAATCCTGATGAGTATCTCATTGTACCATGTGGAGGAGTATGTAAAGTGAGCCCTAGGAAGAATAGTGGTAGGTTTTTTGTCTAATGCATTCAATAGGAGCTGTAGCAGCTTTGATGACATTTGATCTATGTTTCTTAATTTCTTTTCAGTGACTGGTACAACCAATCCAGAGGAGCCAGCAGAAACTATAGATAACCAAAAAAAAGATGCTATAGACGTGTCGGATGCTATCGAAATGAAAGTGAAGGTGGAAACAAATGTTGTAGAAAAGGAAACATCACCTAAAACAGAGGTTAGAGGTGCATTTATGAGCATTGATACAAGAACTGTTCACAGTTTGTTATGACTAAAACATCGATATTATTTTAGGAACCTCAGAGCGAGGTTCAGAATAATGCCAGCACAGAAACAGAGTCCAAGCAGGAGTTGAAGGTTCAGACGAATAAAGTCAGCGCCGAGAATACACAGGCAGTTGAAGTGAAAGTCGAATCTGAGGCAGTGACTGTAGTCAACGAACCTACAACTAATGCATCTTCAAGTATCGAAGCTAATGGCATCGATAACGAAGATTCGATTAATTTGACTATTGGAGAAGATGAAGAAAATCTCCTTGCCGAGGAGGTAAGGAAACTTACTTAATTCTTAATCGTATTGTTCAGAACAGACAAGCCTTATTGAGAGAATATACTTCGATTATGTTGCAGACCGAGTCTCACGATAGGCACAAGGGTAAGTTGTTGCAAGCCATTGAATCTCATAGCATATCTAGATGTAAGTTTCGAAGGACATAGACATAGCAATACATTTATTTACGATCACGAGTAAGTTATTTGAACCTGCGGCATCAAGATCAAGGGACTGTATTTTCTACGTGCAATACAACCACATCTATCCAGAACCACGATCGTGCGGATCTGTCTGCAATGTCCGTACGTCATGCCTCCATCTTATGGCTGTTCTTCGAGCTTCGTACTTCTGAATAAAAGCACGTGTACAGGATGTGATGCAACCAATTCGGCACACGAACATGGCATGCAACGATTTCAATTACAAACTAATCATGGCACGGCGATCGACGAGGTTTCATCCAAATTGAAACACACATCCGTCGTCTTTACGCTGTCGATCCTCAACCCATGTGTAAAAAAAAAACAAAATCTATCCGATAAGCGTTAGTCTATAAGTTAGTTAACGATAGAGTTTGATATACAGTTACATTAATTCTACCTAACCGCATAGAGCATCGCTGGATCGTTCTGCTTCCAAATTATGTGGACACAAGAAGACTCAAGTGTATTCTCAAGCCATGAACCTTCCCCGTACATAATTACTAGTACGGCGTTGTTCGTTCCACTGAGACTCGAGCAAAATCGATAACTTCGAGCCACGAGAACCATGGACGCCGAAAAATAATATGTATCAAAACAGCCGCCGCGTGTATTTTGACAAAATTTCCTCGTTCCGGCATTACTTCGCCATCGCAATGATCATGATTTATTGGCAGATTCTCATATGACGACACACGGGTGTGTCTTCCTCTTTGTCCGCCATATCGCTTTCCCTCCACCTCTGAATTGGATTCCTCATCTAGCCGTTCGTGTGTTCCAGAGTTTCCACTACGTTTCTTTCTCTCTTTCTCTGTCGAGTCAGAGCTTCGATTCACGGTGTCGCGCAATGGTATTAAAGTAACAACGTTTCGGTTTCGTAATAGAGAGAAAATGAAAATTATAAAAAAAAAAAGAAAGTAAATTAGGGTCACTGGTGGAACACGTAAGCATCGAAGAGCAAATTTGTGATGTTCGCGATCGCGTGTCTTCATCGGTAATATTCAGTGCGCGGCACTTTGTTAGTGGCTCGGAAAACACGAAAAAAAAAACAAACCCCCCGGTGTGTTCCGTACAGGGAACATGTGCAGGTCACTGAGAGAGCAGGAGCGGTTAGGGAGGGAGAAGAAATCTGGCCTCGCAGAAAGTGACTATGCTACCTTGATTGTCTCTGCAGATGGAGGAGAGAAGAAGAAAGTGGAAGAGAACAAGAAGGGAGAGTCTAAAGGGAGCGGTAGAGCGGAAGCCGGCGCCAACAGCAAGGAAGGGACCACATCAGGCGCGAACGTTTTTTAAAAAAAAAAAAAAAAAAAAAAAAAAAAACCGTTCACAGTGGTACGACAACGAAATGTCATCCGACTCTATGATAGTGATGCTCTATCTCTCTTCGGCCGCATACGAGTACAAAGTATCATCAGGATATAAAAATATACACTGTCGGACAAATGGACTTCCCAAGATGAAATTAATTCTCGTCAATGTCTCAAACACGCAAGATATACCCCCCTCCCTAATTTATTCCATTTTTTTGCAATACGAAGTTACTTTCCGCTCGTTCACACATGTGTCAAGGCTGTAATTCTTAACTCTGGGAAGTATGTTAAGAAATCGAGAAATTGGCTAGCAAACTTAAACCGATAAAAAAAAATCTATATATATATATACATATATACATATATATATATATAAAATCGAACCGTATCCTGTACCGCTCCTAGAATTCGTTTAAACGACTATTTTTCCAAATGCTGTCAATCGTGTCCACGATCACGAAGATTCTATATTGTTATTCCCGTTATGTCGAAAAGCCCGGCAGCTTCATCGAGAGCACGATAACGAGACTCCTGTGGGTTAGTGTTGCCTCGAGGGTTTAGAAATTGTACGCAAAACCATCGGCAGAACGTGCGACGTTTTAACGTCGAGAAACGCGAAGGTCAAGAAGCCAAATGTCATTTGTGTCGAGTCACTGGAGGGACCTGCGTCGCCCTTTGATCTCGCGTGCGATACACACCCCTGTTTTCGACTCGACAAGAAGTGCCCTCTACCCGGAAGAACCGCCTAAGGAGACGATCACCGTCTCCCCCCTTTTTTGCTGGATATCTCTGTGAGTTCTGCAGAGGGAGGATGGCTCAAGTACCTTAATCGTCCCCACACCGGGACCTACTTCCGCTTACACACGAGTGACCGATGAGGACTTGGATGCGCAGAGACCACACAACGAAAACATGCATAATAATAACTTAAATAAACTGGTACAATTTTGTGTGTAAGAACATAAAAAAAAAAAAATAAGTGAACGCCACAGTGCATAAAGATCATATTTCGTTATTGTTGTTGCTGTTGATGTTGTTGATGTTGTTGTTGTTATTCTTATTACTGCAACTACTGCTGCTGGCCGCTGCTACTATTACTACTACTACTACTACTACTACTACTACTACTACTACTACTATCACCATCATTACCATCACCAACCACTATTACTACTATTATTATGATTATTACCGTTATTTATTGTTATTTACGAATCGCTGAGAGAGACAAGAACGAAAAAGTTGCTAGCCAAATTTATACGCTTAACATAGTTACAGAGGTTACTTATTAAGCCTCAGAAAAAGTCAGATTAGTTATTAAAATAGTACTTCCTGTACACAACCAGGGTCTGGGTTCGATTGATTTTGTGGATGTAACGTGAACAATGGTTATTTTCAGCACGGAGTCCGGTAACAAGGGTCAGAAACGGGACGACAAAGGTAAACTGGCTTGACACTCTTTTTTTCTTTTCAAAGACACTTATAATTTACGCGCAATAATGTAACTCGATGAATTATGTTTCTACATTGTACGTGTGTTTTTTCCGCAGAGAAAAAGAATTCTCAAGTCAGCCCTGTCAATGCGAGCAGCAGAAACTTATGGGTATCCGGTTTGTCATCGAGCACCCGTGCAACCGACCTGAAACAGATATTCTCGAAATACGGGAAGGTGATCGGCGCGAAAGTGGTGACGAATGCGCGAACGCCTGGCGCAAGGTGTTATGGATATGTGACCATGTCGACCAGCGAGGACGCGGCGAAATGTATCCAGCATTTACACAAAACGGAACTTCACGGACGCGTGATATCCGTCGAAAAGGTGGGTGTAGTCCAGAGGGATGGATAGTAGTACAGTAAATCCTCGATGACTGTTCGAAGGCTCCTACGGCACTGAACATGAAATATTTCATAAACTAATGGTAATTGAAACGTATAAAACGGTATAAAAAATTCGGTTCTTCTTTTCTGTCCGTTTCAAGGCGAAAGGCGATACCCAACAGAGTCACATGCGTAAGCGGGACACCGCGAACGGCAAGTCCGAGAAGAAAGAAGAAAAGGAGAAAGTGAAGGATAATCACGACGTGACCGAGCGGAAGGATAAAGAAGCAAAAAAGGAGAACGACGAGAAGGGAACGGAAGCAAGTGAGTGTGATGGTAAAGATAGGGGGGTCGGAATATTGTACGCGAATGGAGAACGTTGACGATTCGACCGATTAAAAAAAGAACCATTTAAATGTGCGGCAGCGAAAAAATCGGACGAGAAGTCCGAGACGGGCGGTGATACGAAGAAAACCGAGGCCCAAGAGAAAAAGGAGGACGCCGCGAAGGAATCGGACGCCCGATCGACCAAATCGACCAGCAAGAAACCGGAGAGCGAGAGAGGAAGACGGGACGAGAAGAGGATCCGTTCGTGGGATCACCATCGTTCCCACACACGATCGCGTAGCCGCGAACGACGAAGACGCGACGACGTACTAACGTTCGCGAAGATCAGGGTAAACGACGACGGGAGTGCTGCTGATGCTGCGACTGGACGTTGCCCGGACGCAACAACGGCGACGATCGATTATCGATTACTGAGTCGGGCCTGCTTTCAGGAGGAACGGGAGAGGCAAAGATTGCGCGAAAAAGGGCGAATGCTACGGGAGGAGGAACGCAGACGGCGGGAGGAGATGGAGCGGCAACGGGAGATCGAGCGTAGACAGAGGGAAGAGGCGGCACGATTGGAAAGGGAACGGGAGAAGTTGCGCAGGGAACGGGAACGAATTGAGCAGGAGAAGGCGGAACTGCTGCGACTCGAGCGGGAACGTCAGAAGCTCGAGAGGGAGAAGCTGGAACGCGAGAGGCTGGAACTGAAGCGGCAACAGATGCGATTAGAGGAGAGCAGACGGGCACCGCCGCCGCCGTCGATCAAACGATCGTCGAGCGACAGAAGGGATCCAAGGGATATGTACGTGGAGTCCGATAGAAAACGTATGGCGACCGAGCATAGCCGTAGACACAGCCCCGATCGTGTTACCGATCGACGTAGCGAAATTTTGGATCGGGTCTCGGACAGGCGACTGGACACGTCGCCGCCGCCTGCTCGTTACGAATCCAGCAGGTAAGAATTACGCGTCGATTCGGGGTTGCCGCGAGCAATTTTCCCTTCAACTTTCGAACGCTCTTTGCAAGAAAACAAGAGAAAGGATAAATGTACACTGGATACGTTTCCAGATCGACGCAAGAGTTGGGATTAAAGAAGGAATTCAAACGCAGCAGCGATTTCACGTCACGAAGCAGTCGTCCGGAAAGTTTCTCCGACGTGTCCCGCGGAAGAGAAGTTATAGTCCGCCGAGAACCGCTGAGCACAACGTCCTCGTCCATCGATCCACGACAGGTCAAGGAAAGGTAAATTTCTCTAGGTGTATTCTCTATCCGTTATACGGTCGAAAATATGACCCGTTTATCGAAGCTCAATTGAATGACCGACAACTGGGTGCCGTTCGGGAACCTGTTTCAGCAGATACGAACGTCCTAGCACGACCACTTATACCCGTGAACGTGAAGTTCGACGCTCCGAACCGGAAACGCACAGAAGCTCCAGGGAAACTCACACGCGATACAGCGAAGGCTTCAAACCTACTGGTTCGAGCACGCCACGTTAGTATCAACGTTAACAATTTTCTATCTTAAGAAAAAAAAAAAAAAAGAATTTGAAATGACGGTGGCGCGATCCTGTCACAGGTGACAGCCGCTACGTGGAGAGCAACAGAACGACCAGCAGCTGGCACTCGGGACCACCATCCACGAAGTCGTTCAATTCCGTGCCGAGCAGTAGTGGGACTCGCGATCCACGGAACGAACCATCCAGTTGGAGTTCTAGATCATCGGACAATGTGAACAGGTGCGTGTCGCCCGGACAAAGCTATTCGATCGGATCAGCTACAAAAAAATGATAAAGTACCGATACCATAGACCGAAAATTGATCACAATTTTAGATGGAGTAATTCAAGCAGCATGGGAAACACGTTGCGTCACCCAGTACCACCGACATACCAAAGTGGTCCTATCCAGTCGATGGGATTGACAGCGCCTGGAACCGCACCGTCGTACGATCGTTTCGACCCGTACAAGTCGTCTATGCCGAGCATGAGAAAATACTGATCCTCTCTAATAACTGATACGGGCTACCGCAACAAGTGATACCCCCACCAGTCCACCATGATGACGCGTGACAACCGCGTTATTTGTATTTACGTTGAATCACACACATTTCCAGCAGCAGCAGCAGTAGGCGCAGTTTATCGTTCGTGCAGTCGCGATTAGTCTCCCGTTCATACGACGACTACCGTGTAACTTTGAAAAACCTTCAATTCTTGATCGGGGTGAACAGTTCCATTTTTTTTTCTTTTTTTTTTTGTTAATCAGCGAACTGTGTGTGCGTATATTTCGTCGTATTTCCAATTAACGATAAGGGAGCAGAACGCATTGGATATAGTCGCATAAATCACAGCAAGGATCCGGTCGTATCAGACACGCATCCCCGCGATTCGTTCGACCCAGCGTGAACCGTAAATGGATATTTTTTTTTTGTACAGTCATGAAATCGATAGAACACAGAGCACCGTCTCGATCCGCTGAAAACCTTGGAAGAAAAACAAAATAAAGGAACGCCGAATGCATTTCGTCGATTTATCTGCGATTTAGGTCTGTACGGAGTCGCGTTTGTCGTAAATATACACCATCCTAAAAATAAAAAAAAACCAACGAGGATATGACGCGTTCGTTTTACATCGATGAATATATTCTTGTAGGACGTTAAGGTGTCATAATAGAATTACCCCACAGTTTTGTCGTGTACCTTTAACCGATTCTTCGTAAACACACACACGTACATATTCTATAAGGATATGACTGAATTTGTATATTGAATTCCATAAAAATTGTATATCGAGCGACGTTGGAATCTACATTCATACGTGAAGCACACGTATCACGTTTCAGTGTAGCGACAATTATTACGGAATAAATAAATTTATGGCATATTAAAGATCTGTTCTTTACAATACCGCCCAGAATAGATTCTGTCTATTTAGGGGATTTTTTTGTAATACAGCACCACAAAATACAAAAATCTTTAAAAATTGAAATTTACTTTAAATAAAATTAAATAACATTTTTATCATAACGAAATGGAAGGTTCAGAATGGGGCCCGGGGCTACAGCCCTCCATAGACCCCCCTTGATCCGGCGTTGTTCAGTGGTATCTCGATAAATGCGACACCCCACCATTGGGAGAGTTTCCTCTGTGCGACATACTCGGGTCCGCTTTGGAGAATAAATTTCCTTTTTACCCGAAGCTGAGCATCTGCTTAGCCACTGTTTGCTCCTTTCTGATTGGTTCCAGAGAGCTCTCCTTAGTGGTGGAAATATAGCCGTTGGTTATGTCACATTCATCGAGGAATCACTGTATATACCAACGTCGAAGAACAAGAAATCGGAATGCTGATCGTCGATGAATGGACCGAGCCAGTTGACTGACGGACACTGTATGCGTTCCTCCGAAAGTGGAGAGAAAAAGCAACGAGCAGCGGTAACACGTACACAACCGATGTGATTATGGGAGGGAACACTTTCCCTTAGCCCGCGCGAGTTCGACGAGTTAGTCGGGGATGGCGCCTGCCGAGCGAAGAAAGGCACGATGGAAAAGAAAACAGGAGAGAGTGAGGGAACGAGTACGCCGAAAGCAAAGTGTGTCGAGGCCTTTTCACGGACAGTAATCGCACGACTGAGCTTCGGGGTTCCGTGCACTCGCGCGTCGTATGTGCGATTCTTTCTCCGCCTTCGTTCCTCCGTTTCGTTGTATGGTTCCTTCCTTTCTTTTCCACCTCCGCCTCCTGTGCCCTTTCCCCCGCCATTTCCCCTCCGCCCCCTACCATGTTTCCACTATTCGATGTTTCCTTTCTCTCTCTACGACTCTCTGTTTCTCTCTATCTCCCTGTCGTGGCTCAATAGACGATGAACAATTCGCCGGTGCTCCTGCGGACGCGACAACTCTATCGAAATAGTTGGACGCGAAGCCTGTCTGGTCACAGGTATCGGTTCTGGGCGTAACAGCACCACAAGAGCAACTGGGAATGTCCGTGGGCAGGAACCGTTGACGTTTCACTTCGCCAGGATGCTGTCGTCCGTCGCTCTTCTCGGTAAGTAACAATAATTTTGACGATTATCGCGATAGGAAATATTTCGTTGAAATTCGAAGGATCAATCGAAAATGTCTAGACGTCGATATATCGAACATTTAACCGGAAGACACGAAAAAGAATCGTTTACTAAAAGTACGTACTGTAGAACGTTACGCCGTTTGAAATCGCGCGCGAACAATTTTAAATGTCCCGCTTTGCGTTCGTACCTACGGTTCGAGGATTGATAGGGTCGATAGGTTTTTCGTACGGAACGAGACCAACGATAGATCGTTCGTTCACACGGGAAAAAAAATCGTAATAATAACTCATGAACGACATTGAGCCCGCACGATGCGGGTCGAAGGCTGCATCATCGATTTTTCGTTGGTTCGACCTCGAACATATCGGTCTTTGGGAATGATATATACACGGATAGTGTTGCAGTAAATCATAATTGAACGCGATTGCGCGCTTTTCTTCGAATCTCCTTTTTCGCTCGAAAGACACACACACGCGCACAAAAATTAATCTTCTCGCCGCGCGTGCAGTGAGTAGGTACGGTCAGGCGTGAATCGACGAAGGATGAATCAGTGAACGGAAGAAAGAGGCGCGCTTTCTCGTCGAGCAACTTTCACCGTCGATGAAGTCCGTATATACATATACACGTTAATCCGTTCCGAAAAGGTTCGCCTCCGAAGACGAGTCACGCTACGTCAGAATCGATGCACTAGCGCTGCTCTTGGGCCCCCTCTCAACCGTTCCTTTCCGTTTAAATCCCGTAGAGGGCCTCGACACGGTCGCACACACCAACACACCACACGTCACTTGTGCGACTGACAAAAGTACGAAACCGTGAATCACGATAACTCACGATCGTTCGCAAAATGCTTGTTAAATCGATCGCGATCCGCCATCCCGTTTCTAATTGCTCGCGGAAAATCGTAACTGCTCCTTTTTAAATCGCTCGCCCCTTGCTTTTTCATTGGCTTTCGAGCAAAATTCAAGAAATCGTGTTAATAGGTCATGCCTCCGAGAGCAGCGGGCTGCATTACAGCAAGGTCGCGGTATTGCCGATATCTCGACGACGATCGCGACAACAAGGCACCGCTGCGAGATTCGTAAACTTTCGAGATCGCGTTCTTTCTGAACCGTGTCATCGAACGTATTTCCCCCGAAGATTCGAAAGCGGTGTGTGTACCCTTCGAGACGACGTAAAGTTTCCTCGATGTTGCGCAACCGAGATCGGCCGTTGTCGCGCTGGAGGGGGTTGGGGGGGGGGTAGACTATCCCTGACGATCGTCGACCCCACCAACCGCATTCTGAATTTGAAATGCTTTTCAGAACTGTGCATAATATGGAGTTTACTGACGAGTTCCTGGTCTTGCACCGAACAAGCGACGAGATACCGTTACCGTAAGTACAGAAAATACAACTCACACGGGAAAGTGGTTTGCGAAAGCAAGCCAAACTCGAGCAACAGGAAAAAAACGCGTGTGTTTTCAGCGGCGAGATATGGGTACTCGAACTCGGCAGAGTACGCGGGAACGGTCGAGAAATGGCCAGAGACGGAATCGTGGCACACTGGGGATCCCTGTGTCCGGCGTAGAATGATCCCTGGAGTGATCCGAAGGGACACGCGAGATCGAGGTTATGGGAAACTGACGAGAGCGGAGCGACGAGAAGAGTCGGATCCGTTGATCGCGATCAGCGAGACACTGGGCGCCTTGAACACCGTCGGCAGTTACATCGTGAATATGACCAGAGGCGTGGAGAACTCAAATTATCCGCCGAAGGAATTACCATCGGCGATCTACACAATCTCGAAGAATATTCTGGGTACGATGCGTATTAATATTTTAGATTTCCGAATACAGTGGACTCTTGATGTATTGCCGCTGGGAGAGTACGTGTGCAGGGGAAGTAGCTTGCGCGGCAATATAGCAAGCTGCAATATATACCAAGTCCACTGTATGTATGTAGCTCGTTTGGTCTATGCGTTTCCAGGCCGCAACGTAACGGACAGCATAGCGCCACTGGTACGCGGAGTGGCCCTGCCGCCTCTGCGACGAACAACGCCAATTACCGTGCCCGATCAATCGTTCGTCACTTCCGATTCATCGTCCTCGTCTTTGTCTCCGTCGACACCAGCATCCTCCGTGGAGATTCTGGCGAACCGTGAGAAAGATTTGTCCTCATCGGTATCATCCGGCTGCACCACGGCCGATGGCGCTCCAGGGAGCTGTCAGGATCTGAGCAATTGCCCACAGTTGTTGCTCGATTTGACGAAACTCAGGCAATCGTTGTGCTTCAAGAGCTTGTTCGTACCCGGCGTTTGTTGCCCGTTAACCGACAAAACGGAGTTGCCGGCGAGGTAATACAACACTGTCGCCTCGATCGATCAACGCATGTGCTGTAACCTACACATTAAAAAACGGTTGCACTTTTCAGCCAATCGGTGGCCGCAATCGTGACCGGCGTGCAATCACCCAGGCCACCGAACCGACCGACCAAGTTGCAGACACCTCGACCGATTCCGTTGTTCCCAGTCGTGTCGTCGACCACGAACGGGCCACCTATCGGCCCCATCACGGACGCATCACCGGTAGCGGGATCCGATTTATCGACGAACGAACCGACCATCTCGAGCATCGACAACAACTTTATCCAGGACGATGAGGGTAAAGAACGAATCGAACGATCACGTCGATCGGTTCTTTCAAGTTCAGTCTTTCGATGAACCTTTCATGTTGTATAACCGATTACCGTTCTATATTTGTCACTCAGAGTGCGGTGTTAGAAACTCGGGCAAGTATCGAGTGGTCGGTGGCGAGGAAGCTCTACCGGGTCGCTGGCCCTGGATGGCAGCGATATTTCTCCACGGTTCGAAACGCACAGAATTCTGGTGCGGCGGTTCCCTGATCGGTCCACGACATATTCTCACCGCTGCTCACTGTACCCGCGATCAACGCCAACGACCGTGAGTTGCTGCTCTTACTACAGTAAATAATCGATGAATGTTCGAAAACTCCTCGCCAATGAGTGTTCAGACATCATCCCCACCACTGGGCGCTTTCCTGGTTCCACGGGACCCCCCATCCCACTGGTGGGGATGACGTCTAAACACTCAGCGTGAAGGAGCCTTGGAACACTCATCGACGGTTTACTGTATTCTATGCTCCATCATTAACTACAACAGACACACGGCGTAATGTTTTCTAAGATTTTCCAATTATAATATTCCGTTCCGTTTCACAGGTTCGCGGCGAAACAATTTACCGTACGGCTCGGGGACATAGATCTCGAGAGGGACGACGAACCGTCCGCCCCGGAAACGTACGCGGTCAAGCAAATCCACGCGCATCCGAAATTCTCACGGGTCGGCTTTTACAACGACATCGCGGTCCTCGAGCTGACCAGACCGGTACGAAAGTCGCCGTACGTGATACCGATCTGCCTGCCGCAATCGCGTTATCGGAACGAGCGATTCGCCGGCGCTAGACCCACCGTGGTCGGATGGGGCACCACTTATTACGGTAGGTTTCCAACAACACTTTCATTTTCTTGCCATTTACACACGGCTACACACGTGTGTTACATTTACAGACTTCTACATATAATACTAAACTGCTAACTTACATAAAATGTACTCAAAAAGCATCTGATTCTACACGTGCGCAGAAGCAACAATTTATAATAATTAATTTTAATGGATTTCTGTATATATTTTCACAAATTTTATACAAAATTTAGTTAGCAGTCTAGTATTCCAGATAGCACATAACGGCTTGAAGACGTCTATTTTAGGTCTGAGGCGCCTTTAAACCGTCTTCAAGGCGTCATTGGGCGTCACGTGTTATCTAGAATTGTAGAAGTCTGTGGTTCCCTTACGAATATTGATTTTAATGGTGTCTGGTGAACTTGTCAACAGGTGGCAAAGAGAGCACCGTGCAACGGCAAGCGGTGCTCCCGGTATGGCGGAACGAGGACTGCAATTCTGCTTACTTTCAACCGATCACGAGTAACTTTTTATGCGCGGGGTACAGCCAGGGCGGCAAAGACGCCTGTCAAGGCGATTCCGGCGGCCCGTTGATGCTCCGAGCCGACGGCCGATGGATCCAAATCGGTATCGTTTCGTTCGGTAACAAGTGCGGCGAACCTGGATATCCTGGTGTCTACACGCGCGTTACCGAATACACCGATTGGATAAAGGGGAATTTGTGATGATCGAGAGATTAGTTCACGACAACGCAACCGACGACCATCATTCTTACGCTGGGACGTTCCGTTATTTATGTTTTATAGTACCTACGCGTGCCAACGATTATACTACCGTCACTGTGTTGTTGCTGTTCTTGTTATTCTTGTTGTTGCGTTCTTATAGCTCTTATCATTTTAATATTATCAAGACATGCCATTTTATACGATACATATCCGTGTAAGTACTAATGTATATAGACGTAACAGGGGCCGTGGGTTAGATTTACCCAATTACTATGAATTGCTATAAATCTAACTGAACCGATCTGAAATACATGTAAATGTTTAATTTTACGAATAGTGTACATTCCAGTAATTTTTGAAAATATGCGTCATCCACTGTTCGTAACCTAAACCAGGTGTCACCTTGTAGAAATCAGCCTACATTGTGGCTAATTGCGTTCGAGATTTTTCTCGATACGCGCGTCTACTGTTTCATGCTCGACGCATCCGCGTGTCAATCCCGATTCGCTTGTAATTTCGTTCAACCGTCTGTCCACATTCCTGTCGCTTATTTAATTTCTTTGTGCAATCTCCGCAATGTCGTGCAATATTCGCTTGAGAAAACAATATTCTCCGAATCCCTAATTTTAACAAACGTGTGGTTAGCAGCCTTGAATGTCACGGGACAAATATCTCCAAGAGTTTCGATGCATCGGACATGACGAAGATGAAAAGTGCCTCGGTTCAAAATTTAGAAAGTCTTGTCAAACAAGTGGTGAATGGCGCGCTAGAAGACAACGGTTAGCCCACCAATTAGCGAAATTTTTCATGAAACTATCATACATAGGATAGCGTATGGTGACCAGATGTTTTAGGTTGCAATGCAGGACATTTAAAAAAAAAAGGTCACATTTTTGACAGCACCATTTTCTTAGATTCTTACGTCTATCTCTAAAAAAAATCCAATCCAGAACGTCTAGTCACCTTGGGATAGCAATATCTGATTATTTCTCGCCTGAAAATGTACGTTCGCGTTTCTACGTAGAGCAGGTTGGCAAATTTCATCGAATGATTTATGAAGAATGGTATTTCAAGAAATGGCCCGAATTAAAGGTCGAGAATCGCGACGAAAACGAGATAACCCCGTCAGAGGTTCACGACGAACAGGTTTGTTCGTCCGTCTCGTTGCGTCGTTCTTTCCAATTCCCGTAACATTCCCAGTTTATTTTCAGAACGTATCGGGAACCGTTGCTCGTTACCGTAGATTACATCGAAACAGATATAAACGTATAACCAGTCCATCTTCTGAAGGAACGATTAAATCATCGAACGAGGAAAACTTTCGCGAGAGAACACTTTCTTCTGCAAATCGTTCCAAGAAACCGTTCAGCATCGACGACGCTTCGAACCGTACTGCCAAGGTAGACGCGATCGACATAACGTATTTGGTGTTTACGTCAACAGCTGTCGATAATAGATTCATGAATTTCGATATAGCTTCAGCAAACCGACCAAACAACCATACCGAGTGACACGAAAATTATTGAAATTTGGAACAAGTCGCAAAAACGATCGAACCAATCCGATAAACCGAGAAACGGGCCGTACGATGTCTCGGAGAAGAAAATCCGCGCACGCTCTGGCGACGATAGGTTACCGTTTCTGTTTCTCCTGGAACAAATTTGTTTCATTTTCTTAAAGTGTATCGATCAATTCAGATCATCGACACAGCAGCAACACGAGAAGAGAAACTTAACCTTCGAAGCCTGGAAAATGAGAAAAACCCTGGCATATCGGGACGTGCTTAAGCGAAAAGAATACGAACAAAGGTTGCAGCTGTCAACCATTAGGGCGAACACGGAACGTAAACTGCTCTTCCGGCAGGTGCGGGTCGCAGCTATTCTGATTTTCCGAATGGATTTCCATAACTTTTATTCTGATAGTTCTCCTATTTCCGCGGTAAGGAACAAGCGCGCAAAAGACGGCAACAAAAACGTCAGCGATATCGGAAGCCATCCAAAAGGTATCTCGATGCGACCGAACAAGCCGACGCCGCTGTTGAATCCAGTTTCGGTTTGACTACGACACGGAAACACGGGACATTCGATACAGAAGAAAGTAGGAAGTTTACGGCACGGTAACATCTTTGGAATGAATAATTTCTTGAAAGAGCAAGAACGTTTCGAACTATTTTTTTTAGCACAGAGACGAACAACGGGTCACGAAAGGAACAACCAGCTTTCATGAAAACTATGGAACGTGTTTTGTTTGACTCGTGGTTGAATCAATTCAATTCAGTTCTGCACCAGAGACATCTACGAGAACGACGGCATCTCGAATGATCGTTCTGTGGTTTATCTCTTTACATACTACGGTAACGGAATCTTAAGATGAGTATGTATTAATACAAAATTCATTGGTCATGTCTGTTTCTTTCGCGACGCCAAATTGTTTTCACGTACGCGAAATTACTATTTCTAGACTATTCAAATGTAACCCCGACTGCATTCCACAATAAAATACCTTTCCGAGTGATTGTATTACACACTATCTCGAACGTATATTTAATGTGACTAGATAACGCGCGGCCGATGATGCGTCTGTACAAATAGCACCCCGTTGATTACGAATATTTTTACATACGATTAAATTCACATTTTCCCTATATCTGTATCCTTTAAGTTGTTTATCGCTTTCTGAACTAGAACTCCCAAATTTTTTGGAAGGCTCATCTGTATGGAATGCAGTTGTTGCATAACATGACTCTCCGAACTAGGAACGTTGTGTTTTGTACCGTTACTATCGTCGTCGTTGTTTTTGCTGTTTCTAAGACCCCTTTCAATATCACGTATCGTTTTCTCGTTTTCTACACTGTATTCCGATGTCTGCACTATCCCTGCTACATCCGTCTCGCCTTGAACGAACAAAGTACAACTTACGGACGCGTAAAAACCGTGATTGATTTATTTCGTAAAGATGTGAATGATAATACTCACATTTCGCATCGATATTTGCACTTGTGTATCCTTCCAACAATTTCGTTGACGGCGACTCCACCGTGCTGTCTAATTCGCATATTCTCAATGCCAATATTCTGTAATTAACATTATGTACACCATGAATTTTGTGATGTTTGCTGTAGCTCCTATTGAACACGCACGGTCAAAAGATTAAGCAACGATTTACTAACCTGTTTGCTTTCTTTTGATGCACTAAAGCTAACGTTTTATCGTTCAACGCTTCCAACAGGGCTACACATAGGCATCGTAAATCGGACATGGCTGCTGCGGATTTTTGTGGTGGTACGTGAGAGTCGTGATGGAGTAACTGCTCCACTAAAAATTCGTACGGTCGGGTTTCAACATACGATGGTTCATGCGGTGCATTAAAATTTCGAAATACAAACGATCTTGGAACAACGGACCTTGTTTATGAGTCATGATTGTACCCGCAGCTGTATTTGCCCCCAATTTCATGGATCCTTTTACCCGTTTGCTATCCAGCATACTCTAAAAATGTCATTACTCTGTCATGGGCCATAATGGTACGTTATAAGGAAAGAAAATACACAAAATATTGCACGAATTATGCATTGTTACTTTGTACTTTGAGAGCGATTGCCTTGTCAGTTCCTTCTCTTCTAGTAATTGCTGTAATCTTTCTTGAAGATATCTGAAAGATTGCATTACTGACACATCGATGTATACCTTGAAGCAAACATTTTATCTGAATAACTTACCTATTTTCGTTGATAAGAGCATCTAAGTCCACTGGCTTGGATGCACTTAATGCTTTTGACAATTCATGATTTAATCTATGCGCTTTGCATTTAAAAGCATCCCTTTCCATTTCCAATTCATGCTTCTCGTCCAGAACAGTTTGTAAATCAGTTTGCAATTGATTACACTAAAAACAAAAAATTTCATTATTCTCATAATTCACAATCAAATTTACCAAATATCACCTTGAAATTTAGTTTCTCCAACTGCTCTAACATCTCTTCCCTTTGATGAATGGCTGGAGCACACTGTGTATCAGGTGATTCTATGCTAGTCTGTGTATCATTCGCACGAAACACGTCAATATCAGTTCTATTATCCCCTAATTTTTGCCTTAAAGTTAACACTTGCAGCCTGAGGCACTTGTTCTGTTCCCGGGTTTCCACTAGTTGATCCAATGTCTTAAAGTAGTCATCCAAGTTGTAACACCTTTAAAATATTCATATTAATTATAGTTGTGTCTGCTTCTAATAACATAATTCCTCACCCGTTCGAGTCCTGTACACTGTGTAATTGTCGTTTCAATCGTGCAAATCTCTCTTGCATCTGTTCTGCCAAGGACTTAAACTGATCCCTTTGTAATCTGCATTGGATCAATTCCCTATTTAGAGACTGGAAATTGTCAGATTTCATTTGCAACTGCTTTTCCAACGTTTCCTGTAAATGCGATCGTTTTCAAATATAACTGATACAAAAAGAAAGGTATCCTTCCTAATTCAAGTAACCTACTTTCGATCCGTCGTGATCCCCTGTCATTGTAAAATTCACACTTTTTCCGACCGTTCCGTGAATCATAATTAAATGATGAAACTCACGAAATGGATACTGGAAATCACACAACACAATCTATTGCTTCGCCTGAGGGAAAATAGTAAATGGAGATCTTATAGCAAATGACAGAAGGAAGAATGCATCAACAGCCTTTTCGGAATAATCAAACAGTATACACGCACCCAGTAACAAGTAATCAAAATGCACGTAGCATACACACGACGGTCAATATAAATGTCCACCGTTCTCTGCAACACGAGAGTTTTCAATAATCGAATTCGTGAAATTAGAAATTAGTCGTGACATTTCTAATTAGATACTGAATATTTCATTTCTTTTTTATATGCAATGAAAAATACATATGGTAGACAAGACTGGTCGCACCATCTACTACATTCACGTACAAGTTACTAATTATTACTAACCAAGAATATCACAGCAAGGTACATATATTATCTCTGTTCATCCAACTTGAGCGTTTTGCCATAGATTGCGCCATAGTTCCGTTCCTCAACATTTGTAATTCAATAAAATCTCTATTTGGAACGCCACAATCGACCATTATTAATGCATAAAGTCGATTCTATAGAATTCAAAAAAACAATCTTACATCATAGATAAATACTTATTCTTTAATTGCTCGGTTTTTTGTATTCTTACAGACTATGTCTTATACCATTGAGTATCAAAACATAAGAGATAGCCCTTTCTTCAAACGACTCATTACTTTAGTAAACTTTCAGTATTGTTTTTTAATATATAAATAGTTCGTACAGACGTATGTAAAAAATTTAAAAAAAACTTATTCTAGATAAGAAATAGATTGCTTTGTTTTTGGTAAATTCTACAACGTTGCGTCACTTTCTAATAAAATTGGTGCGGTTTTATTTTGACGGATCTACTCTCAAAGTGAAATACCGATAAATTTCGTAGCAATACGGCGAGAATCTAAACTAAAGTGAACATTTTTCTCAGCATATTCAGGGTGCTCGATCTGAATCAATTTTATGAAATAAACGTGAGAATGGCTTTGCGTGTTCCGTGTAACGTGTAAGCGTGTACGTCTGTTGCCGCCAGTCTATTAAAAAATAGTTGATTACGATCAAATTTGAAAATGATAGATTTGCGAGATGAAAGTGAGCAAAATGCAGGGAGCAATAAAAAATATGGTAATCTCAATATACCTGGTAAGTTAATGGTGCATTTAATAATATAAGATTAAGCGTGTTGTTCATGTCTTTGCCGATTTTCTGACTTAGAAAATGTAATTAAATGATTAGTATTATGTAACACCCTGTTAGAATGAGCATTCTGATGTAAAAACACTAATAAAGCGTTCAACATAGGACTGATGCACATAATTACGAATAATTAAATTGAATTTCGTATATGTGATATTTAAAACAATTGTTGTCGTTTATTGAATTATATTTTAACATGTTGTTAACGTAGTGAGAAGAAATAAGTATCGTAAGTTAGGTATCTGAAATTCACACATGTCACTGGTACAAGTAATGTATAAGATTTCAAAACCATCCCATGTTGCCAAAGATAGGTTATGTTATAGCGTTTTATATATCAAATTTATAGTAAGTTAAACAGTGTTACAGAAATTATTTTAAGTTATAGATAGTCTTTAGAATAACACACAACATTTTCTATCTTGTCAACCAGTTACATCTCAGCAAGGATTAATGCCACTCAGTCCTTATTTAAACTTCGACACTGCATATCTTCCACCCAGTCAACCTGAATATATATTTCCGGAGGGTGCGGCAAAACAAAGAGGTAGATTCGAACTAGCTTTTAGTCAAATTGGAGCAGCTTGTATCGTAGGGGCAGGTATCGGTGGTGCAACAGGATTATACAGAGGTATCAAAGCAACGTCGTTAGCTGGTCAAACCGGCAAGCTTAGGAGAACTCAGTATGTAATTTGACTTATTTTTAAGATCTGTCAATTGAAAAGTACGAGAATTGTATTGGTATGACAATCAAGCATAAAAACTTACAATTTCTTGTCAACAGATTAATCAATCATGTAATGAAAAGTGGTTCCTCGTTAGCGAATACATTTGGGATAGTATCTGTGATGTATAGTGGTTTTGGTGTACTTTTGTCTTGGGCAAGAGGTACAGACGATTCTGTAAATACTTTAGCAGCAGCAATGGCCACAGGCATGATGTTCAAGTCTACAAGTATGTTTCATTCGAACACCTCGTGTATACATGCATGCATGTGCAGTATATATAAATTAGTCTGAACAGCACGATTAATTGTTCAACTTTTTTTTCAGCTGGATTGAGAAAATGCGTGGTAGGTGGTTTCATCGGCATAGGATTAGCATCAGCGTATTGTTTATGGAACAATCGAGAAGCTTTATCGGAATTGAGGCATCGCAGCATTAATCCAGCGTAAGACTGTGTGTACCAGTGAAACCTTTAATTACACCACGCATTTTCATGAATAATCTCACTGTGATCATTCGTATTTAAACGATCTGCATATTCATTTTCGGTATAATTTATGAAAAGAAAAATCAAATTATCATCAAAGAGCTAATATAGCTGCAATCTCTGATTAAAACATACATCACCGTAGTTATTGCAGGAATACAAAACAGGAGAGAACAGTCGTACAAAGGTTCATATTAACTTCCATAAAATTCACGATAATGATCCAATACGAGCGGTTGTCTCCTGTTTTTAAATGCTTTCAAACAAATGTATATAATATAGTTGCATGGTTTAGCATTTAATTAGTTTCGTGTATACGAAAATACATTCAGTATGTTCCCTCCATTAATCATAGCGGGAACATTTAATTTCTACGAACAATTAATCACTGATGGTCAATATTACGCAATACGTAATGCAATGAATCCAATGTGACTTATTTAATAAATTTTGGTAGAAGAAAAAAAAGAAAACTATGGAAGAAGGTAGAAACAGGAGTCAGAAAGTTATTTCCTGCAACGAAAATAAATTTTTATTCTATTCGCGGCCACTCGCTGATACAACTTTGATCTCTCGGTGTTATATCAGCGAACAAATACGAATCTCTGTAATTATTCTCATATTGGTTCTCTAATGTTTCTTTCCAGATCGAAATGAGATCTTAAACGTAATTTAATGCTCGATAAAGCAAATTTGACAACGAGTTCGATATAGTATATAATTTGTACATAAAAAAAAACGGAACATCTCGAACGATCCTCGAACTAAAGAAGACGGAACAAAAGGTTTATCGGAACGCACGTAAAATCCAAGTCTGTAAACGAAAATAAAGAAAATTGTGCAAGTTAACAAATCCGTTTGATGTTGTTGCTTTTCTAGCCTGAACAAATTTCTGTATACCATCGAACACCACGAGACAGATCGCAAACAGGGATGCACAGTTCGCGGCACCTGGATCACTATTTCGTCGGTAAAGGGGCATGATAATCTTATCACAGTTTATCTACCTACAGTTAAGTATTCTCGCCGTTTCACGTACGGCCGTGCGCAAGTTTACAATCTAGTCCGATCGGAAAAGGCAGTCGTGACGATATCGTTTTTATTCCGGATTTATACGTGTTACTGTTTAAAAATTTCCAATTTTGTTGTACTTTATATATGTATATATTTTTTTCTGTGTATCGTTTTGGAGTTATAATTACACGTATCCGAATAGATTAATAAAACGGGTAATTGGGACTACTATTTGGTGAACCCTGAACGTTTATCAACAATCTCGAAAATGCAACGAATGACTCGCACTGCAGAAACATCTTATTTCTCCGTTTGATCTCTCTGCGATACTTGACACTGGTAGGTATATTGTGTCGACGGGGTATTAACGAAAATCCCACAGCTTATTTAAACAAGAAGAACACGTTTATGTGTAACTCTGTATGTGTATGTAGTATTTCACGGCCGTATGAACGCACGCGGGCAATCTTACGCGGCAAGCTTCCTCGAATCAAAGTTCTCTAGGATAGTAACCGCATCGGGAAATAGTTTGCTCGGTGTCGTTCGGTCGATAATTTTGAAAAACACATGTGATTAAAGGATTGAAAAAAAAAATAGTTTTCCGAGATTCCGTGAGACGGGTAAGCGATTATGTCACAAAGCTAAATACCCTTTATCGTACGTGTGTGTGTCGACGAATAGGATATACTAAAAATAGGTTATTACCAGCAATTTGGTAATCTTTTTTTCCCCCGACAAGATTCTACTCAAAACGATGGATTATAATTCGAAAATACATAAATCTATCCTTAGTATACAGTTCGTGTTATAGTTGCACTATCTGGCTTAGAGAAACGCAGTGTTCAAGATTACAAACACGCGCGCAAACTCGCACGTGTGTGGCGTGTAACCGCACGCGTATTAACTAATGTTAGCGAATCGCGGCTAAACGATTTTTTTTCCTCTTTCGAACGTACGCCGCAAATTTTCGTTCGTAGACTTGCGGAACTACGTTGTCTGTACCCGAATAATCGGAAAGTTTATCAATGAATCGTTGTCACGAAAATAGTACCCACCTCGAGGAAACAGTAACTACTAAGAAAATATTTATCCGATCGAGATTTACTATCCGTTATACCGTGCGTCTGTGTAGTATGTACCGAAAACTGGAGAACATTTTGTTCGTACCAAATGTTTTCCTTCTGGCGAAAGAAACGTACTGTTTCCTTTGTGTGATCACTAGACTGCAGAAATTTATAAAATTTATGTATTTTGAGTTTTTTTCCTTATATTTACTATATTAGTAGTAACATATGAATAATGTTACATTACAAAAACGAAGAAACATAGTGTAGTGATAAAATGCCTACGATCCTATAGAACTGAAAAATAAGTCGCTGGAAATGTGATGTTTTCTTCGGTCGACTAGCTAACAATAAAGTGGTTTTAATGTAAATGAATCTAATGATTCTACGAGGCCACAAATGATACCTATGATGAAAGGTGAAGAAATATGGATTCTGTCAAGAGCACAGATGTACACAAGATGTATTCGGTTCTCAGGTTTGCGATTTGGAGGGAAGATGATCGATGAAAGACGGGCAGAGTGCACGTTGAGTGTACTCTACGTCTCGTCCGCGATCCTGTCAGTGACATCATTGACCAGCCTGGTCACTGTTTGGCAACATTGGGCATGGACCTTGGATGTTTGCGTCAACGTCGATTGCGGTTGCATACTGCACTGTATCAACACATTTAGCACGTTCACGGGAGGTGACGCGAAGCTCTGCCAGTTCGGTGTGTACGGCACGATACCGGCAATCCTCGTCGGTTTGTGTCTGGGCGGGTACCACGGGTACAGATGTTGCATCGATAGAAATTTAGACAAGCCCGCACGAATCACTGACGACACCACCAGGTACGAAAGGAGCACGAGTCCAATTGCATTTTTAATTGCATATTTTGTCGGGAATACATTGGACACTTGATACAATTACACCTTGCTACATTGCCGCGCGAGAAACGTCCCCTTCGCATGACTTTCACGCGAGACTAACGTCGTTCTCCCGCCACTTTACGTGCGCAATCGCCACCTGCGCGATTCAGCTATTGCACAGGCGCAGGGCCTACAACAACAGAATGTAGCATGGAGGGGGCTCTCGATGTGCTGCCACTTTCGAGATTTTAAGGTAGGTTTTTTATGTGACAGGAAATCGTGACTTTTACGATCATGGTATTGAATGTTATGACTAGATTGCGGATATTTGTGCATTTATAGTGTCCCTTAACTTGGAAAATGCTGACATAGTAAATGCTGCTTTACTTCGATTTTTAGATACTGTTACCTGAAATTATAAATTTGCATAAACTTCCGCAGTCTACCCAGTCAAACCTGCAATAGTGCCACGACAACAAAAGCTATGAGTTTTACTGTCACGTGAAGACGTGCCTTTACTCTTCTATAGCCTCGGCCGCGGCAATATATCAAGAGGTCCGCTATAGTTGTTTCTTTCGTATTTTTTTTTTCGAAAAAACGAGAGAATTCGTCGATTACAACTGAAAAATTTCAAATCTCATTTCTTTGATCGCAGAAATTTGAACGAAAGTGGTGGAGATCGACGAACGGTGGTGATTAGACCAAAAAGAAGAGGCCCGTACAAATACTGGATACCGGTGGTGTTCCTTGCGATTCTACTTTGTTGTTTGTCGCTGGCGCACGCGGTCGTGATGACCGACGGTTACTACAAAACTTGTGACCAGTATAGAAAACGGCTTGTACGGATTCTAGACCTGACGATTGGCGAGGCTGAGGTAATTATCACTAAAATACGAGTATTAATCGAATACTTACTGTATCTGAAACTATGAATTTGCATAAGCTTCCGCAGTCTACTCGTCACCTTTTGAGATCGAAAGAATCACTTGTGGATTCTCTTCGGCTGTAGTTCTTCTACACCCTCGAATTTCTCCCTTTTTTTCTGTCAAAGGCGATACACAACAGACTCTCGTGCGGTGCGATTTTCGACTTTATGGATTATTTGCAGTCAACGGAGAGTAGCTGGCGAAGCGGAAGTCGAATCGATACCGGTTTCGCTCTCAGATTAGCAGTAATATCCACCTGGCTGAATTTCTTCGATTGGGCGTTCGTGTTCCTCTTGAGCGTGATCATGGCAAGACGGAGGTTATTCTCTTGTTGCTGATGAACTGATCGGTTCATAATTTATTATATAATACAGTAAATCATCGATGAGTGTCCGAAGGCTCCTTGGCACTGAGTGTTTTGAAGTCATCTCCACCACTGGGCGCTTGATTGGTTCCACAGGGGACCTTCGAGTGGTGGGTATGACGTCTGAGCACTCAGTGCAGAAGAGCCTTCGAACACTCATCGATGATTTACTGTACTATTCTGCCCTTCTTTCAAGTTTCCATTCATCTGTCTTCCCTTCGTTTACGGACAAAGTAACTGAATCACATATTATACCCAACAATCGTACACTTATGCGTGCGCGCATATATATTTACTCACTTGCATTAAATGCATCAAGAACATTATACATTACATTAACCGTAATGCAATATAATGTAATTTTGTATTACGGCTCCTTATACTGTATACGCCTATTAGGTCACATGTTCTTTCTCTTTTTCGTACATAATGTAATAGTGTGTATGTGTGTATGTATATTGCGTGCGTGTGTGTGTATGCAATGATTGCAACACATTTAACCGAAAGCTTCTGATAATTGGAACACAGGAGAACGTGTGTGTGTGTGTGTGTGTGTGTGTCTCGAGGTAACGGCAAGTCTGTCAGGTGTATCGTTAAAGATAATCCAGAACAGTATTAGTTTTTATCGCAGCGGTGCAGAACTTTGTTTACGCGTTACGTTTCGTCGCACGCTGATTGTTAGAAGAAAAGAAAGAACAAAACGTTGTCGTTTTAAATTATATAAACTAAATACATACACGCGATAATGTGCAAAACAGTAATAACGGAATGTGTAATATTACTATGCTATATCCGTCAAAAGCATGCCACAAAGAGTATCATTTATAGTGTTGTTAACGTACAAATAAATCCTCCTGAAGCACCAATCATTTACACTAACAATACTGAGCGAACAGATATATAACATATACAGATATATATATATATATGTATATATACGGTTCCATTGTCTTTTCCATTCTCGTTTCTTTCATGGTTCGTCACCTTTCAATACAACGCGACAAAAGCACATCAATGAAAGCTTTCCTTTTAACATTCTCGATATCTCTCTACCGCGTATAGGAACTGAAACGACGAACGGAATCTTTACAATTAATAACTGCCGGCGCGAGGTACAGTTGGCGTGACTCTGTTTGTCCTATTGACATCAGCGTTTACCCACATATTATGCTATGCAATAGCACAGAGTTCAAGCATGAAATGCTACGTTACACGTTAAACGAATAAAGGCACCTAATTACGTATTCGCTACTATATACACACTTTCGAACGACACGCATCCCTACGTGCCGTATACATATACATAAGTTTTTTTTGTACACGCCTGCACGATTACATGTCAACAGTCTGGCGGATACATCGATGATATTGTCTGTTTTCTTCTTTTTTCCATTCTGCCATAGAAGCTGGACACAGAGTTTATTGCTAGTTTTTCTTCTAGTTGCAAGAGAACAATTGTTGACACAGAAGAATTCCAAGCAAAATCAACAAAATATGAGAATAGATCACTTCAAGGTTCAGTCCTTTTACCTATCATTTTTTCAGCCTTCCAGGAATTCAATGATAGGAAACTTTTTTTTACAAAAATGAGAATACATTCATTCCACAACTGTTCACCGGTTTGTTTTCTCAGGACACAGTTCACACTCATGACAAATAGGCAACTGGGTAGACTAGGGCGGTAGAAATTTAAAAAATTTTTTAAGTACAACAAAGTACAAACGAGTGTGAAATTCCTTGGCTATTACTTTCCTTAGTTTCTATGTTTGTTTTTTTCTCATCCGTCTTCGGTCCTCCTGCGCACTTCGGTGTGTCTGTGCATTCAGTTTTCATATTACATCGTTCTACGGACTTTGGACATTTCAATCTGTCCGATGAGCTGAGAATAGATTCTAGTTTACATGGAAATACACTACTGGCCAAAAGTATTGGACCAGAGTTCACGATTGATGGAACCAGGAACTCACTGTTCTGTTAGGATATAATAAAAGTTATGAAATCAGTACATATACAAGTTCCAGCAGATTACTTCTATTGAATCATTGTAGAATAGTATTTTTCTCCTTCTTTAATTGTCAGACCTGATCCCACACTTTTGGTCGGTAGTGTACATTGAAAAGGATTGCAGCCAGATTTATAGGATACGTCGACCAGTCAGAGTTAAACTAAGTGAAATATGTACATACATAGCTGCATCTCTCGAGGAGTACCTGGTTCTCCAACTGCTATCTATACTCTATCGTATACACACACTTTCCTAAGTATAAGTGGTTCATAGACATTGGTTCCAGACAATTCTCCATTATACAAAAAGCATCACCTATTCTCTACAATACAAGATACTGTTTCTCAATCAATATTTCTGGTGAACATATCATTCATTTGCTGCAATAACGACATAATTGAAAAGTCACGATTTTAAGGAAAACTGTGTTTGAATATGTCTTATACAAACATCGCATTAAAGTGACTGTCCTGACGTGGTAAGTTTTGGAAGCTTGCTACCAGAATTCAACCGATAAAAAGTACAGACAGCAACCATTTTTTCTACACTGTGTAATAACTTAAAGAACTGGAAATTTTGTGTTCTGTCATTGTTACAGCAAAATGAACGATTGATGACACGGCTCCATTCGATATATCGTACAAGTTATTAAAACTATCCGCATATGCAACACGGAACCGACTTGTACCTTCTACAGGGACGAAAATTACGTTTCGTACAATTGACAAAGTTTACACGCCATAGGCAATTATGCGTGTATTTACCGAATAAATATCATTAAATTGCCATTACCGCTTCAGCAGCGCGTGTATCGCTTTTACACTTTTTCTTTTGGTTTTACTTAGGTGCAAAAAACGACGAGCTAAGAATACAATCACTGGAGAGACATATACATCGAAAATTTCATTAACGACAATCAGGAAAATAATCTCATCATGTCCTGTGTATGCGTGTGTTGTGTGTGTGTGATGTCTCTGTCTATCACTTACTCGATGCACCCATCCATTCGATGGATATTTCCCGCGCAAGCTGCCCAGTCGATAACGTACCCGTGTCTCAAGTGAACGGATTGCTTCGTCTCTTCAACGAACCGTAACGTTTCTCCGGTTCCCTGACTACCTCAAACGGCGCGATTTTCTGCGGTGTCTTGATCTGTCTCTCCTCGTTTTCGTCGCTCGGAAAATCCTCAAAGCTCATGTTACTGAACCCAGCTGTGACAACCACCGAACATTTTTTCGTTTTCGCGGTTTTCTTATTACACGTGGACTTCCCTTTGTACGACAACAAGCTCGATGGTACAACGTTGACAAGCTCACCGTGATTCTCATCGATCAGATGATACTTCGATCCCTCCGATTTAAATTTATCCTTCTTCTGTCTGGACGCCGTTTCCGTGGCCACAAGCGGTTCCGGTGACAACGCCGTGACAGTGTCTGATAACGTGTCGTCCGGTTTCGATACGCTGTTCTGAACGACGATTGCTGTACGTTGACCCGTTTGAATCGCGTACATCGAATCCTGATTGGCGAACGTTGTCGGCCGAACGACACACGACGCGGAGGTCATGTTCGATCGTACAGCTGTCAGTGTGGGCTCCAGGCAACTGGTCATTGGCGGCTGAGAATACGATCTCTCTAAAGCGATTGGCCTGTGTTGTCGTTGAACGTTAGTCGATCCGAGTGGCGCGAACTCGTCGAACGGTATAGATCCGAATAGATCCTGCGAACGTGCGCAGGAATTCAGTGTTCTCGTGGTGGACACGGTTTGTGTTAAAGGACGGACATTCGACAGCGATCGTGACTGATTCGAACCGAACGACTTGTCGTCCTCCCGACTGTCGTATAACGTGCAGCCTCGAGCATCGAATCCCGTGGTTGATAGATTATCGGTCACGCGATGCGATAGCGTTCGACATACGAAAGGATTCGCAAAACCGCACGGACTGAACGGCGAGGAGCCAAACAGATCCTTTTCTTCGTTCTCCTTTTCACGTTGAATGGTCGTTTCCTCTTGCTGAACCTCGGTACGCGGGAGAATCGCTTGAAACGTGATCGATCGTTGCATTTCACCGGACAAAAAATTGATGTCGTCGTAAATTTCTTTGCTCCTGCGCGGCGATAAATCGTACTCGAAGAACGGTCTCGCGTCCTCCGTCGTATCGCTCGAGTCATCCCGATCGATATCCACGGGCCACATCGATTCTTCGTCGATCTCGATGCTCCGTGAGTTCGCGGAATTTCGAAACGGCGCCAACGAAAATACATCCTGCTTCGATCTTTTCAATTGATTTCGCGAGGATTCTGTGATTTCCTTCTCGTCCAACGAACTACGACCGTCGTCGAACGTGGGTCTCGGATCGTACCTTTGATCGACGAATGGATCGCCGTATGATCGTTTCGATCTCGTGATAACATGGTCGTCCAATAACAGAGGCTTTTCTACGTATCGATTATCGACTCTTGGGTCTGCGTTTACACATATTCTTCCGATTTGCTTCGATCCTTCTCACCTAGTGCAGCCATGGATTCACGATGAGTTCGACAATTTTCTGTGATATTTTCATTAAATTTCATGTGTTTTCTCTTGTCGTAGACTTTGTCACAGTCGTTTCCGTTGTTCTTCTCCATTTCCTTCTCCTTATTCGTTTCTTCTTCCACGCCCTCATCTTCCACCCCTACTTCATCTTCGTCCTCGTCGTCGACGTCGTCGTCATCGATGTCATCGTCGATCTCATTTTCAATTCTGTCTGTCATACTTTTATAAACGTCAGTGGGATTCACGTTACCATCGTTATCCTCGCATTCGTTGCTATCGGGGATTCTCAACGCGCTAACAGAACCGACCGTTGGATTATTAGTGTCCTGCGCCATTTTCATTTTTCTTCGTAACGTGTTCTTAGCACGTTTTCGTTTCTGCTTGACACGTGTCTCCGTGACATCCTTATCGCTGTCGCTGGACAGATCGCCGACGTTGAACGTTAACTTCTCGTATTTGGACCGATCCTCCATTGGGACCTGAACGAACTGCGGCGAAACGGGGTTGTTCTCGTACAACAGAGTCGTTTTCTCGTCGTCGACCTCGACCGACTCGATCCCCGTGTTCCATTGATTCAACGGTATTCTCGATCTTTCGTTCGTAGACACGCCTGAAAAAAAAATATAACACGAAATTTGTTGAATTTGCGAAATTGACATTATCGCATATATAGGGTGTCCCATCTAACGGCAGCATCTTAAATATCTCACATACTTTTGATTTTCGGAAAAATTATTTTAACAAATTTTCAAAGTGATGTCCATCACACTTCGACACATTTTTTCACTAATCCCTCTATCGTAGTTTCTTTATCATTTAAATCTACTCCCATACATTTGTGGATGTTTCATACTCAAGGTCAAATGAAGGTCACGCTACTGTAGGTCATTGGATTGATCTCGACCTAAATTATTACACAATTTAAAAACAAGTAAGATATTGAAGGTACTAACGTTAGGTAGGACACCTTGTATACACGGTTTATAGATCATTTTCAACGACCCAAATTACCACGTCGATGGTGACCACCACCATTAAGCCCCACCGTGTTTTTGTCTTTATTTCGAACGAAATCAGATATTGTATATCTGCCAGTTTCTGTGCTCGAGCATTTTTAAATGGAAACAAACGTCCGATACAATTGAATTTCGTTCTACTTACCCAGGATACGTAACTACATCTCGCGATGTTTAATTTACTAGCGAATAAATTACAGTGAATTTTCATTTCTACTTTCGAGTTCACCTTCTACAAGCTTATTAACATTGTAACGTGGCATGTGCAAAAATACAAGTTCGATAATTTTTATAAAGTCGTCGAAAAACAAAAGAAAACGAGTTTTATTTTTAATTCATCTCTGGAAACGCGACCAATTTTACGACTGTATAAACGTTTTCTTTTCTTTCTTTTTCTTTTGGCTTATTATGTTCAGACTGCGGATGTTTATGAATTTATAGTAACTCTAAAAAATCCAATAAAATAAAAGTTTCACTAAACTTCAATACTATGACCTAAAATCATGAATTCCTATAAACTTTCGCAGTCCAATAATCTATGTTACGTTTTCTATTAGGATTATTTTATTCGCAAAACGCCAGTCTCGCTGTTGCATATTACGTGTTTGCAAAGAAAGCGCACATCTATTCGAAAGCAATATAAATATATATCAAAATAAATTAGGACAAACAGGAAACATGTCTGATTAGGTCTGCTGCAGATATCGTGTCTTTAAATATTGTTAGAATCATGTGTATGTACGTTTAACATTACTGCCTTGAAACGTGTTTACCAATCGCATCGACACCCGGCGTCAAAATATTGAAAGATAATCCCCTCTTTTTTTCGTGTCCCCCGTGTCAAAGTTGGTCCACCTATCACCACCACCACCACCACCACCACCACCACCATCCATCATAGCAACTACCACCACCACTACCCACTACCGTCATCGTTTCGTCGCCATAAGAGGTCTGGAACAGTCCTAATCAGATTCAGGGTGAGGACAAAATGCGAGAAAACGCAGGAACGATCTTCGTTTCGATGTATATATAATTTTTTGGGTTCGATCTAGGTAGAGCTTGGTCGATTAATTACAAAGTAACGATCGTATCGATCATCGAACCAAAGGAATCGGCTGCGTTTTTTGTCATTTTGAAGAAAAACAATACTCCATCTGCTATATACTAATGTACACGTTTATTGCTGTAACATTATTATTTCAATACAGCGAGAAAAAGAAGTGATCGCGTTCGCCGGCCTCCTATAGTGCATTCTATGTTTCCTTTTCTCGTTTCGTTTGAAAATGCCCGCCAAATTTATTTCATTTATGCTACACACTCGAAAGGAAATTTTGTTTGACAATTCAAAAATGTCGATGTATCGCCTTGTATAGGGCGAGACGCGCACAATAGGAGGCAAACGACAAAAACGGAACAATATCCATTCGGAGGCCCCCTTTCTTTTTTTTTTTTCTTTTCTTGTACAGAAGACGATCAGAACCGTCGAACCGAACAAAATTCTGCTTCCGTCTCCCAAACTCATTAGGTTGTTCCAGACAGTAAGTAAACCAAACGTAGGATTAATTATTTTACTACCACAAAGGGAGAGAAGGGGGGGGGCGAACAAAATTCGCGGTTAAAGAATGTTCACACGAACACTCTGTAACGCTCAGGGGCGGGGGGAGAAATCGAAAAATCAGAACAAGTTTGCTGGTATAAAATGTAAATTATAACTAGACTGCGGATTTTTATGCAAATTAACATTTTCTAAAGTCGCTTATGAAGACAGGCGGAAATGTAGGAATTTTTTTTTCTCTTAAGTATCTTATTGGGTGAAAGTTTTGTCTTTTATTGTATTTCACAGAGCTCTATGGGTTATAAATGCATACAATCCGCAGTCTAATTGTAGCTAACGAACTGCACTGGTAAATACGAACCGAGTTGAGCAAATACACAATTAAAATAAAAAATTTCGAATAAGAAATAAAAGATAAAAAAATGTACTTCGTCATTTCTACTTGATTGAACGTGGAAATTCCAATGTCATTAACCGTTTGAAGGTCTGGATTAAGCTCTTAGAAATATGTATTATTCGAATAAAATTCTGCCCAACTCTGAATACGAATAATCACAGGGAAACATACACACAGTCGTCCGATAAGAAACGTACGTTTTCTTTTTTTTTTCTTTCTGTTCCGTTAGTTAACAACAAGTAGTGGGAAACGATTATGACAGAGAGAAAAAGAATAGAACGAGTAATTTCGGGTCAACGACCGAAAGTCTGGCCACAGAACTCCAATTCTTGTTAAATATTAAAAGCACTCCACCGGGTAAATTTGTCGAAATGTTGCGAAATTACCACCACGCCATGTACAGTGACGCACACATTCGTTCAGAGACTTTTGAAATAACAAATAGGTGTCAAAAGTTTTCTGCAATTTCTATTTATATAAATATATTCTTCGTGTCATTACTTTGATCGTTCTTTTGTAATAAAATTTTCTGAATGTTCAAATAAAATTTGCATTTTGGTAAATAATTCGGTCAAACAGAAGTGAACAAATTTGTGAGTCACTGTAGGGGAACAAAAAAAACAGAGGAACAGAACATATACGTAAAAAGAGAAGGAAGAGAAAAAAAATGAAAAGAAAGAAGGGAGAACACTTAAAAGAGAGAATGCGTGTAAAACCACGACCAAAAAGAGCCAGCCCGTTAGAGGATATTGTCGACCGTTCGTTTTATAGTAATTATACTCGTTAAATAGATATACGGCGTGATCGTACACGCGCAGAGACAGCAATCTTACTCGGTACAACTGTTCTTCTTTTTTAGCCTACGTGAATAAGCATTAAAACGCTTGTAAGTTTCATACGGCATTTACGAAAACGTGATTTTACATGTGATGAATCAAATTGCTAGCTGAATAAAAATTAGATTTACTCCGTGAACAATTCGCTTATTTATACGCATCATTACTTTTTCTTTTTTCTTTTTACGAATAATCAATTAAGCGTTTCGAGCAGACAATGGCGCTACTGAATCCTGCAGGAAAGCAAGTTCGATTTTTCATTTTTTTTTTTTTTTTTTTTAGAATTTCTTACCTTTTTTTTGTTTACCGAACGCTGTTATTTCATAGCGAAAATACACATACAATACGGATGTAACGATACGATGACCGAAAAAGCTTTTTCGAATAACGATGAATGCTATAATTACTTTCTGTAATCGAATACGATCGAAACTAAACTAAATTAAATTCTATTGTAGAATTCTTTGCCGTTGTTTGTGTTTCTTTTTCTCGATCTATTTCGACCTTTTTCACGAGCGACTATTGCTCGATTTACAAATGTACACACACACAGGCGTGATAGTGACACTCGATATAATTCGTTCCATAGTTATATCGTAACAATAACGGAATTTCAATCTTTTTTCTCTTTACAATTACAGTGTGTTCAATATTTCGTCCACGTGTGTGTATATATATATATATGTATTTATGCGTTTTTTTCCGTTACTCTTTTTTCCTGCTCTCGTTGTCCAACAGTATATTTTGTACTAACGTAAGCTATATGTATATATATAATATACATTTAAGTTTATCGGAATACAACTTTGTATCTTCGATTTTTCTGATATCGAATCGAAACTAATAATGAAAGACACACCTCGCGCGTATTATAACGCTAACCTTTATTATATACGTACGTATATATCGGTGAATTGTATCTAGACTATCGATAACATAATTACAAGCCATGTACACAAGGCGTATATACAAGCCTTATCACTCTGCGATGTCTACGTCTTTCGAATTAAAAGAAGAAAAAAAAAAGAAGAATAACCTTGAATCTTCCTGTACGTGTAGAGTAGAAAAAAATCGGTTCTCCGGTAATATTCGTGTGCCTTCTGACAAAGAAAAACAATATTTTTCGTTTCTTATTTTTTACATTGTCGTAAGGTTAACCCCGACAAACAAGAGTAATCTTTTTTTTTTGCACCCCTACTGGTTTGTTTTTTTTTTTCTCGAAACCACGGACGACAGAACATCAGATATAGAGATCCCTTTGCTGCCCTTCTGTTATTTTCCTTTATCCGTTCTCTTCCGTAACACTTGTCTCTTCTACATCACAGACAATTTGATTACTTCTCGTATGAATGTGTGTAGCATAGCATTCTTAGTTATGTATATATAAGAAATAAACCATACACACACTCGCAATAACGTGATATCGACACATCTATACTTCACCTATACCTGAATAAATCAATGCTTTCTGCTGTAACGTATCCTCGAGTGAATGCAAAAGAAAAGGAAAAAAAACACGCAGATTTGTGCGAAGTCGAATTAGAAAACCCGAAACGTCGAGTTGGTTATCCAGACGGCTCTCTACCCTATTACGAACCCAGGTACGACACATGGTACAAAACGAAGAAGAAAAGAAAAAAGACAGAAAGAAGAGAAGAACAGAAATATACGTATGGCGATTGCGGACATTGTAACACTACTTTATGCCGGTTAAATTTTATTCCCCGCCGTATGGTTTACATATTATTGTTATTAAGGTTAAAGCGTTTTCGTGCTCGATGTTTTGACGTTTTTAACGGTAAACCTCGATCGATGGCCGTGTACACGCTGCCCAACTGATATTCTTTCTTACACGCTCAACCCGAATCAACAAGAAGAGATCCTAACCAAGCTACGATTTTTGTTTGTTCTCGACAGAACGCAATGACACGTATTCGATTATTAACCCGTTAACGAATTCTTTGACGACTTTGCACACCGCAATTACTTCATTATTAATCATTTTCCAGAAGGAAAATCAATTCCATGTTCATCGTAAGTATAGACTCAAACTAAAAGTTAAATATCGAAATCAGCAAAACGAGTATTTTACATTAACTTAAAGAAAACCGATAATACTCAAGGTTCCTAAATTCAGTTTAAAGTCGTCATTATGATGTAAGAGGTGAACAGGTGATCGTAGCCCGACTAAAACCACCTTTATCTCGACTGTTCTTATCCAGAGCAGAAGAAAAAATCACGAGCCAAGCGTGTATGACATTTAAAAAAAAAATTATATATTTATATCCTATATAACGGAATCATTAGTTTGACGACAGGGCTTGTTATCTCGAACGAAAGGTCTCCTCGTTAAGTAAAGTTAGGCTGAATGCACAGCGCGACGTGATGCTAGGATGGGAGGGGGGAGGGAAGCATAGAGCTTTGAGTATTTTACCGAAGGACTACGATCTGAACGGAAATGAGATATGGTAGAGAACATCGACCACGCGGTTTGTTTACATGGCTACCCCGCGGTATTGTGTACAGCTTCGTAAAAGTAGTAGAAGACGAAAATAGAATTAAGAGACAGTATACGAAGAAGTCTATGCATTACCTCCAGCGAGCGCCGCCGTTTTTGATCCAATCTTATTCTTCTTCCCTCCTAAAATCAAGTCCACGTATTAGCAATATTTTTGCAGGCAAAATGGAAAATAACTTTGTGATTTTATTTATACAGACACACAGTCGGGGGATTCAATGAAACTACAGAGCTCTTCGAATGTAAAACAAACGAATAAACTTTTTCAATCAAGTTCGACGAGCTCGGTTTCAGTAACTTACTTGGCAAATTGAAAGGTGCGGATTCGAATGGGTCTTCTGGTAATTCTGTGCACGTCATTACGAGACTCTCGCGGCTCTTTACGCCGCTAATACTTGTGTTACTGCCTCGTCGGATCTTATCGAATTCCGCGCCGAATATATGATCTTCCGTTAACTGATCGAACGGTTGTACGTCCTCGAATGGGTTCCAGGCTGCGACATCCGCGCTTAACGATCTTCCTTCCTTGGTTATTATGCTCGAAAGTTCACCCTAATTCAAGGTACTCGATTGTATTACATCTTATCTCCTATGTGATTTCGAAATCATTGAATTCGCGTGCTTTTTCAAATATTTCAGCACGATTTCCGAATCTCTTTTCCCCCAGAATTCTTAAGACATATTACGATGTCTGCTGTGCACGATTTAATATTATAACCCGACGGAGCGTCACTTAACAAAGGTGTACTGTGCAGATAATTGAGAACCAAAGAGTATACGAGAATTCACAAATTCCAAAATATAATGATAATAACGAAAGTGTGGATGAACGTAGAAAAATATAAACGAACAACCAACATAAAGAGCTTAAGAGAAAATCAGAATACGTGAACAAAGGTAACGATAAACTCAAGAGAGGATTGGCCACGTGTACAGGATTACTGATCTCAATCCCACTTTTTCTGTTGAATAATCAGAGAAAATGAGAGAGTACACATGTCCGAATATTTCATTGTCTGTGCATTGTTCACAGAAAATATTTATCGTTCAACTTCCGATGAGTTAAGAAAACGCCTGAGTAACTATAAGTAAATAAACAACGCTCAACATTCAGGGATAAGGAAGCACTGAATCCAATTTTTTTTTATAGTCACCTTCACTTGTCTTGCTCCTTTTTCTTTCTAAATGCTATTTTTCTCACTTTGTAGACCAGAAAGCAGTAATAGAAATACCGTATGTCATTAAGGTAAACGAGTTATTGTTCAAACGATCGCTCTGTACGCCAAAACTTGAACTTTAAATAAATCAGCAACTAATACACGCATCGAGAAAAACACTCGGACACGTGTTCGCGCATTTTCCGTTCCAGATTGAGCAGAAACGGTTCAACTGACATCCACGATCCTTAAAACGGTGACCTATCCTCTAAACCAAAACATAACTCCGTGCGCATTATGTACTTACAATACGTACATGCGAGGCGCTAGTCCCCAAACAAGGCCTTATATCGGTTATAACCTCAGGAGAGGTGGCGTCCTCCGTGCGTGACTTCACCGAGGCGTCGGTGAACGGTGCCAGAAACTGTGTCGTCTCACTTGCAAACGCTCTGGAACACACACAGCGAAATAGAAACGGGACAGAATTCAATAAAAATGTCTCGTATAACCCGTGAAACAACGTTCTATCGCATACTTGTTGAAAGCACTTGTATCGCTAACGTTTCTCCTGTGACGCACGGAAGACAGTGTCGTTGGACTATCGGGCGGAGAAGTGCTCGAACTGATATTCTGACTCAAGCTCTCGGTCTTGTTCACTGGTTTCGGTAACGTGGGCGGTGCCATGGAGGTCACCCTGTTAGGCCCTATTGGAATGCTCATTTTCGTTGCTAACGTGGTGACCTGCGCGAATTTGGAAGTAGGGCAGCTGCTGCTGGAAATATTAGACGCTTTTGGGAGTGATTTGGTGGGTTTCGGAGCCACAGGAGGCGGTATTTTCGTAGGCGGTGGCATGGTTCGAGTATCGTCTTTGAACGGATCAGGATACCCTGAAAGTGTAATTATAAATTGATCAGCAGCTGAACACATCGACTGGTTCTGTACAAAAGTATATCCTTTTTACCAGATGGCGGGAATAGCGCCTCCAAATTCTCCTGGCCCACGTTTGCGGTCACAGTTTTGGAATCGAAATAATACGCAGCTTTCTCGGGGACAGTCACGGGAGACTGTCTGATCATAGGACTTTGCGTATGATTGTACTGCGACTGTTGGCCCTGTGACTGGCCGAAAGATACATTTTGAGCGGACGGGCAAGCCTGCGAAGCTTGCGGAAATGACGGTTGCTGCGGTGTCACCAATTGATGGTGAGCAGCCGTTTGCGCGTTCACTGGAATCGACTGAACAACGTTCTGTTGCCCGGTTTGACCTATGTATGTCTGGCCGGCGTTCAAAGTGGCAATCGGCTGACCGATCTGTACGTACGGAGTCGTAGCTCCGACAGAATTTTGCGATTGCCCTTGGTTACCTTGGCCAGAGATCTGACTCACTATTTGGCCGCTTAAACTTATGGGACCTGTGCTCACGGCTTGCCCCTTTGGCCGTTGTCGCGGGGTAACCGATGTACCTTCGACGGTAGCAGTTACAGGTGACGGTTTTGGTGTTTTCACCAACGACGATCTTTTCACGTTTTCAGATTCCATTGGTGGGCAGGGTAATGATTCCAAAACTGGGCTTGGAACTTTCTGCGAAGATAACGGAAATATCAGTTCAGTGTCGATTAATGTGACGGTAATACAATCTATATTAAATGAACGTTTTACGTGTCGGCAACGAGCGCAAAGAACCAGATTAGAAATATGTCCTTATAAGTATGTACTCTAGTATCGAATGATTGAACATCCCATACGTACGTGTAAATTCTGTACAGGGCATTCCTTGCCCTGAATTTGGAAAGCAATCACAGAAACTTGGTAAATGTCAGGGCGGCTATCAGGATCCGGCTCAAGCATATAACGAATCAGACAATGAAGGCTTCTACTATATCTATATAAAGTTCAGTGTTGTTCGAACAGTTTTATCATGTAAGGTGTTAAGAAGAAATTGTATTACAAGAAAAAAAAGAAAAAAAAAGAGAAACATACGCGTATGTATATATACACGCGCGCGTGTCGTGTGTGTGCGCGTAATACGACACACAGAGAGTAACCCATAAATGGTACTACAACCGAGAAGCATTATTTCTCGTAATAACGTAAATACATGGGACACACCAGTTTTCCAAGTAATCACTAGCTAGTGCGTTTTTATGCACTATTTCTACTCGTAAAAGACACAGAGTAACAGTACTAAATGAAAACAATCTACACGGAAAAGAATTTTCGTATGAAAAAAATGTTCTATTACATTTTTCTTTTTTTTTTTACGTATACTTGCACAAAGATTCACCTACTTCGCTGTTGTACTACCAGTTACAGAACCGCTTGGGGGTATTCCCTCGAAAATTTCGGAAACTTTCGTTCGAGCTAGTCGAAAACTTTAGAAAGCCGTACACCGTTCCTGATCACTGATCGCATATCGATTCTTTTCTATTATCGGTTCGAATCTCGCCATATGTCTACCAACCGACACAAAGTGATACGCTAGACATTTCGGGAGTGAACAATAGACGGATCCAATTATTTTTTTATTCTTCATTACATCTTCATGAAACTTTCACGATTTACTAGATTTACCTAAAGTGAAATTTTCGAGAGATTACTAAACAATTGGAGAAATAACGCTAAATGTTTTACGATCTAGTATCTCAGAAACTAAATAAACTAAAGCTCTGATTATTGAATACTATTTATTTATTTGTAAGAGCCTTAACTTTTGATATTTCATTTATGTAAAACGTAGTGGATATATCATGTGGATAATTTAAAATTTGTTTATCATATGTATTTTTAAATATTTTCGGTTCTAGCATGTTCTTTACCAGCATAGCAATTGTATTTTACTTAGTTTCGTGGATATCGGTGCACACTACATTTAGCGTTACACTCTGTCTATATTTCATTATTTAAAGATGTATAGATATAGTATATATAGATACATGCGAAGTACAAACCTAGAGTTATCGGGTACTGTGAAATTTCCTGACTGAATAGCGAGCATGCTTTCTCCAAACGGCAATGTGAAGAAACACAGTTTATATAATAAACATCCTAACGCCTAGAATCATGAACATATTTTTCGATCCATTCCACGAGCAAATTTTACGCGTCGAAGATTTACATTACTTTATCATACCCATATATCAGCTTTTGTTGTAATAGATTTTCCACAATACATATCAACCATTTCAGGTGCTCTATAACTAAGGGTCGTATACTTCTTAATTTCTTCCTCAACCACTGCAGCACCCTGTACACTGGGATTAAGAACTTTGGCTGTTGCAGAACCAAAGTCGCACAAAACATAATGACCAGCATCGGAATATAATATATTTTCCACCTAGTGAGCGTAATTCCGGATAAGCTACTAAAAGACATTGCCTCCATAAAATGTACAAAAATTACCATAAAGGACAAACCTTCAAATCCCTATGTATTATAGGGGTTTGACAATGATGCAGTCTAGATACAGCTTCGCAAACGTCACAGAATATTTGTAAGACTTCCGATTCGCTAAAACCAGTCTGTAATCTACAAACATTAAAGCAAAATTTTCAGAACTTTTCTTAGACCTCGTATATATTACACTAGATTTGTTTTGAATTATTATTAACCTATTATTCATTATCTGAAGAACTTGAGACTTGCAATAAGGCATTAAAAGCAACAATTCATGTACACCTCCACCTATATGAGTTATACTAGTATCCACATATCCTATGATGTTTTTATGACCATTCAAGTTACTCTGGAAATAAAACAGTATTTGTAAATATACTTTATACACACAACTAAATATAAGTAACATCGATGTTACAAGCTTAACCAGATGAATCATGTAAATATATATGGAACTCACAGCAATTTGTATCTCTCTCTTACAAACATTGAGGTCATGTTCATTGTTAACATACATGCGCTTGAGTGCATAACGCCCACTTGAAGATTTAACCAGGAACACAATAGCAAATCCTCCTAGATTAGTAGAAGAACATATGTAATTGTACTCATAATTACTTTGCATCTAGCTTTCGTATATCCTCATGGTATTGGTTTCGTTATACAATATGATTTTGTCTTAAATATTAACAAAACACATGAAAAATAAAACTCTCTGTTCCACCTATGTATTATTACACATTAACATACATAATACTAATATATGGTATTGATACATAATATTATATACTGGAGTACGCGCGCGCGTATGAATATGTATGTGTATATAAGCATTGAAAAAAAAAGCACTTACATACTACGTTTAACTTAATTAACCTGTCAACCGATGAGTATTAGAATGGGTACACCTGATTCATTTTACTTAACGTTGTCTCGTCAATATTCCATAAACAATTACTTCAGCATAGAGCACGTGTTAAAAAGAAAAACGATAACCGAACGTGAAAACAGAGTGTAAAATTGATGACGAGTATTCAAGGTTGAAAAAAAAAGGGCAACACGTACATACCTTCCGCCAAAACATCCTCGACAGTCACTGTATAACGTCCCACCACGAAAACTTTTCCTAAATAACTATTTGGTTCCTTCGACGTGTTTTCGATTTTTGAAAAAAGTTTCTTCATATTGGCATACGTCGTCGGTTCTCTCAATACCGAACCGACTTGACATAAGGCCTTTCTGTTACTTAATTTCGGAGGTACGATGCAACAAACACAAATACGTCTAACGATTATATTAATTGTGTCCTTTCCTCTCAACGTTGACAAAATTAAGGCAATTCTCGTGAGAAATTAACGCCAACGTACTTATCTAAAGAAAATACTTCGAATCATGATAACATTTAACGTACTTTACTCAGCCGACATATTCAGGCCGTAGAAACTGCGCATGCACCATTCCGCAGAAGTTACGTCGGAAACATATGTGTACAATTTCCGTTCAAATGTCAAAACTTACTCGTTGATTTTGTTTTTTTTGTTTTTAAGTGTTTCTTACTCTTATGCTGGCCGTCGCCATACGTGTTTGTTGTGCATCTTCTCTGGTAATTGGATACTCATTTTATCCTAATCTGTATCATATTTTAATTCTAAATACTTAACAAGTCGATTAACATCACGATGTTTGTGTGAACGCGATACGAATAAGTACTTATATAATTCTTCTTCAACACTTTATACTGCGTGTGTTTTCATTACCATCGTAATCTCTCCCCGGTTAAAACTTTTCCTCGATCCTAGAAGTCATTTGTAACGTTTCATTTATTTATTTAATGCGTACACGCGTTATTCTTTACGATTTTGCACGATAATCACACAATTTATTTTTCTTTTTTTCCTGTCATCATCGTGTCTCCTCTGTAATTCAGTTCTATTGTTTCACTTTAAAATTGAATAAATTAGACTACCATTTGTCGGCGGCGGACTAGACTACTTGTATGCAAAGGTACATACAGAAATACATCACATGTAGCTTTTTTTCTGTCGATTAATCGATATTGTAACGTGTGCAGCCGTTCGAATGAAGGGGAATAAAAGAGCTTCGGTCAATCATGGACTGATCATGGATGATCTGACGGATGATGATTCAGACGAAGTTTTATTACTGGAGAATGTGTCTTTCAACGAAAAAAACGAAACCAATTTTACATGTACTTCTGCAATTGGAAAATCTATGCTGGTTAATAGCTTGGAAACGTTTGCCGAAGATTCTACGTTACAGAGGAAATCGGAGTATGAAACGGAAAACCGGATCTTGACATGTGATACTGATGATTGCAGCAGTTTGTTGCGTTTTAACGAAGGTATCATTATTTTACTGTTAGATTTGAAAAAACATATAACCTGTACTCTTCAGAAATGTGAAAAAAAATTGACGGTAATCGAAGCAAGCCTACAGAGATTTGCAACTGGAGATACAAAAGTTTTAATCTGTAATGCTGGTATACCATACTTTAAGGACAGGAGTTTTTTTTTCGCTCCTAACAACGAGGATGAAACGTTAAAAGATAATCGTAAAGAATTACAGGTTAGAAATCTGCCTAAAGTAACTCCATGGACGAAAAAAGAGAGGAACACACTTTCTAAAGCAATACAAGAAGATGCAACATATTTGACATTGGTTGAACATATCAGGGATCAGGATTCAATGCCTAAGTCAAACCGTAGGATCAATAAAAAAAGTAAAAAGAGGAGTTTGCAACCCAGAGACTTTATAGAATTGGTTGATTCATTAAGAGGAAGAGACTTTGATTGGTTTAAAATATCATCCGAACATTTTGAGAATGTACACTCGCCACTCGATTGTAAAGTCATGTGGAATGTTTTTCTCCACCCTCGAATCAATAAGAATTCTTGGACAAAATTGGAAGACATTAAACTGGAGGAAATTGCAAAGGGACACCAGTTTCAGGACTGGGATGGAGTTGCTAAAGAATTAAATACAAATCGTACAGCATATCAGTGTTTTATTAGATATAACACAACAAGGAAATTTCCCAAAGCCACAAACTGTGTTTGGGAAAAGGAAGAGGATGATAGGCTTTTAAAATTAGTGAAAATATTTAAAATTGGTAACTTCATTCCATGGGGTGAAATAGGAAGTTGGATGAAAAATAGAACCAAGCAGCAAGTATATTTTAGATGGACATATAGTTTGACACCATGCTTAACAAAAGGTAGATTTAGCAAATCCGAGGATAATATTTTAAGAGACGCTGTTTCTAAATACGGTACAAATTTTCGGAAAATATCCGCTGCTTTGATGCCCCATAGATCAACCGTTCAACTTCACGAACGTTATCAAACGTTAACTATGAACCAAACTGAAAACTGGAATGTATGGACGTTAAAAGAAGATTCAACGCTGTTAAAACTCTTTGAATCTTTTGGTACAAATTGGGCCAGAATAGCTAAAGAATTTTCATGTAAGACAAGAATTCAATTAAGACATAGACATGCTGCTATACAAAGATATGTTAAGAGGGGTATTTCGATTTTTGAGTTACATAACCCCCACTTGAATAGTAGGCGCATAGAGAAGAATCAAGGAAAGAAAAATGAAGAATCCAATCAAAGTAAGCTTAATTATAATAAGAGTGCGTCAGATAGGGATTATAATGTTGACCAGGAATTGATCGAATATTTCCGTAAAGAACAAACAACAGCAAGATCTGTTCGTGAACAGAAGTGTTATACTACGAACGATCTTAACAACAAAACGAAACAATTATACAATATTTTACAGTTACTAAATGCCAATCTTTCTATACCCGATGACATTAACAATTTTAAGTTACACGACAAACACAGACAGCTTCTGTATTCATTAAAAGAATATATAGCTGCAAAGAACGCCGGGAATATGCAGCACAAAGCAGTAGTAGATAAATGTAGTTCCCTTATGTTTGGAATAAGTAACACTACAAAAGAAGGTTCTCGTCCTACACTGCTGGCTTCTTCTGGGTCGCGTGTAAAATTAAAACGCTCGTATAAAACACAGGGCATTGATTACCACCTAAACACAAATAATACCTTTCTAGTCGAGAGGCCAAAAGATTTTCAGAATTTAGATTTTGTAACTTTTCATATCGGTGGCAACGAACAAGAATTGCAATTCGAAAAGTTCAGTCGTTCGTTAGTACTGCACAGTCCAAAAGGCAAGCTATTTGCACAGAATAACGAGGACTCTTTTGCAGTTTCGTTTGGAACGTCTTTAGATCATAATAATGGCGGCATAAATAATTTGAACTACTTCAAAAAAATTCGTTCAAAGAATATCGTCGATTATTCGCCTGTAGAAAGCAGCAGTATTCATGATCGTGTGAACTGTGCAATGCTACCGATCGTAAATTACGGAAAATCACATAAATCATCGACAAAAAATATTACTTCGTCCGACATGCGTAACATTAAAAAAACATCCGACAAACATATAAATTCATCCGCAATTGAAACAACATACGCGACTCTACTGAGTTTAAAAAATTTAATGTATTTCAAGCAACTAAACGAAATATACAATAATCCACGTCAAACTCCCGCGATGTCAAAGAGATTTCAAGAATCGGTCAGATTATTAGAAATGCGATTAGAACTATTGTTCACATATCCGATTGGTCTGTCGAAAACCGTGTTACCTCAGTTTTACGCGATGGATACATTTTCATACGATGACGTTACACCGAAAAGAAAAACCCCTAAAATGCTGAAAAAGCAGAAGACAAAATTGCGATCGCACAATACAAGTGATGAGGACGTAAATCAATAGGTGGTAAATCAAGTGGTCGAATCACCTCGGTTTATCAGGGATTTTGTAAAATCAATTTCAACCGTAAACATAATATGTTCATGGGTACTTTAGTGAAACCAAAAATCGAGCAAACTTAATATTTTATTCGAGATATAGAAAACTATTTCGGGAAATAACTTACTTGAGAAAACTTCTATCTTTCATATTTAAATATCATATTAAATATCATTTATATTTATAACTTTATCATTAATCAATTGAGTATACATACAAGTGGTACACCTAAAAAGTTTTGTTCATCAATGATGTACTGAATCTCAGAATGCAAATTCTATACTTACATATGTCCAACTAGTAATCGTAATGCTCGTATAGTAATAGTCTTATTTATAATTATGATAAATTAATAATATCTATAATTGCAATCAACTTGTACAAAGTGTAGAATGTCGTGAAAGTAGTAAATGTATTTTTCGGTACAACGAAGACCTAAGCAATTTAATGCATGTAAAGCTTGAAATGGTACCGAACAAGCAGAGATGTAGTTCGTAATACTTCGTCAGTTCTATTGTTCACGTGAAAAATCACAAGAACTGATTTGACAGAAACCGAAAGATGTAATCTCGTGAATTCAGTTCAAACATTTTTTCCCCCAGCTGGCTAGTACGAAATGAATGTAGTGTATTTATTCTGTATATTATAAAATATTCCTATAACAGTATTTTCTGTGTGTAAATAGTTATAGCCAATACGGGAACAGAAGCCCAGAGCATTGCATGTTCATAGAATTAAATTGTATGCATAATTTAAAAAATGTTTTGCATAACCAGTACACCCGGTTAATTGCCATACCTGTTGCTCACCCACTGTATCGACGATGGTGTACAGGATTCCATATTACTAATTACTTCCTGTTACTTGAAATAACCATGTAGAGACTACGTAGGTGTAATTAGTTCTTCTTAAAAGTTAAATTATTGTAGCTAGTCATGACAATCGCGCAACCTGCAGTAAAAACACCCCACAAAAGGAGACTGGCTTCTATTCTACTGACCACCGATCTGATACTATCCAGAAGTAATTTCAGTAGTTCGTTTGTAACTTTGAAAGCTGGCTTGTCTTGAATGATTTTCATCTTTGACAAATACTCGATAAGGGGTGGATGATCGTGACTAAATATTGGAAAATATTCATTAACTTTTTCTCTCGTCCACCATGCTTGTTTATTCCACCTAACAAAGAACAATGAGAACATGTAACAGACATTCATTGGCAAGCAATATTAAATTACTAAAGCGGTACGAAGTAATATAATACTCACGATTGGCTCCACGGAGTATAATGGTAACGATAGAGACTAGCTTTAATATATTGCGGTGGTTTCTCACGGAACGGACTTTCTATGTTGTTCATCAAAGCTAGTACTTCTGGTTGACCGCTCAAGAGACGATAAGCCAACGACATTAGCCATGGATTTTGGTGATACGTGCCCAATGCAGCAAACCACATTTGCCAGTCTAGACGCGGTTGATGAGGAGCTAAAGATTTAAGAAGTGATTGGAATATTGAAAGGTTATGAAGTATTATTAGGAAATTAATTTATTACGTAATTTTCATTAATACATATTCTATTAGGAAAGAAAGAAATAATGTAAATAAATTACTATTGAATTCGAATAATGACGTTAATAATTACTCACCGACAAACGGCAACGAGTTATTAACATTTCCTGGCTTATACAAAAATTCATACTCCTTCCACGGCCCATCAACGTTATTGCTTCCTTCAATAATCACTTCCGGTCTACCATCTACTCCGGTCATGCGTCTGAACAATCCGTAACTGTTCACCAGACGAAGGTATTCGACTTTCCCTTGAATCTGTCTTAACTGAGTTGGTATTGTCGAATTATGAGAATGGTGGAGTGTAGCATATGGTACCTGAGAAACGACATCTTTGCATTTCCTTCTGTTCAAATAGATCTTTGCACGATCATGTGCAAATGTAGCTAAATACACTTACAGTACTTATCGCAAAAATGTAACAAACTGCTATCGTGTACAGGCACGTAACAAGCGTCGTAATGATTTTGTTCCGTGCACCTTTCGTTGTTATTAAAGAATTGACTACTGCATCCGCTATGGTGAAACCAAGAGATGCTACGCCGATGTAGATAGATATTGGAATCGCACGCGACAGAACATAGTCAAATTGTTCTTGCGTGAACGCTAAAAACAAAGTTTTATAATCGTTATTCCGAAACAGTTGAACAAGTTTTTAACGCTTACGGACGTTTACGTACCGATGTTGCTTTGGATCGTCCAGTTCTCCGTAATTTTAAGATTATAATACACATATGTCCCATACAATATGCCTGCATAAACTGAAACGCACAATATCGTAGAGAGATATTTTACAATACTGTTGGAATCGTGTTTAGATTTTTTCTTGTAAAAAAATTGATCATCCAGCAAAGAAATGCATAGACAGATAGTCAGAAAGTTGAAGAAGTTATAGTTTCCTGTTGCTATAATATGTATTTGAAGGAACATCTGAAACAGGGAAGTTATTTAATAAACAATTACAATTACATATTATGTAACAGACAATTCTTTAACCATATCTACCTGTGTATAAAAGGCAGTTATTCTCACTTTTCTGTTTGGAAAGAAAAATAAAAATGGAATAACGAGTTCAAAGATATTCACAAGAACGGTGGTACAGCGTAAAAACCATGCTGGCAAATGATGCGCATACCACGCTAATGGAGTAGGTATGCACTGTGATTCAAAGTGTACGTTCAAAGCTGAAACATATGCATAAAGATTCTTACGAATGTATAATAACTTATTTATTCCAAATTTTGATTAGGTAGAAATATCAAATACAACATACCATCTAACTTCCACCATATTGGACAACCAGAAGTGAGTTTCACTACACCACTGGAAAACATTAATCGAAAAAGTAGCCATCTCACAGTCCAAAATGTCACAGCATCACTGGGTTTATTATTTAATTTTGCACGCTTAGAATACCAGAACGGTGCAACGAGTATACACAGAAATCCTGCTTCCAACAGAAGGGCATCCCTATAGATTATACAAGGATCAATATAAAATAAAAGTATAGGACACATATTTTATAAAGAAAAGAAAGTTTCATAAAGTATTAAACGTCGAATACTATTCATTAATTTGTTTATATTTTCAATATTTCAACAAATGTGCTACCACTTTGTCCCTTTGAAATTCTTTAATATTTAAACCTTACAAACTATGTACTTACCATTGAAACCACATAAATATCTGCCCAATTTGGTACAAAGAAAAATATAGTGACCACAGTAATGCAAAAACTAATGAAGTACAAAACCTTTGTGAAATAAATCTGTAAATAATCCCAATCATTATTATTATTATTCATTTATTATTTCAATTGGAATTAATGTCTAAATATTCTTACCCTGCAAACGAAAGTGCAACTCCACAAAGCGATAATATATCTAACATATATTCTGCATTCAATCCAAGATAAGGAGCAAACCATAATAATGTGGGCTTCTGTTTTAATTTATGAAGCAAGGGAGTTCGACTTTTCAGATCTAACTGAGTTCTAGCTGGTAAAATTCCATTATCTCCGTACAATCCTTTGTCCATAACACAAGCATAATTAATACAATTATTATAAGTCATAGATTACAAATGAATAAATTTGAGAATTGTGAAAAACGAGTTTCTATCATTATGTTTTAAATAAAAAGCTTTAGAGACTACGGTATCATAGCATATTTTAATGTGCCAAGAAAACAAATGCAAAGAAGAAACGGCAAGGAAAAAATACTGACCTGGAATTTGTATGTAAAAACTAAGGAATGCGAATAGATATATGATGCACACTCCACGTAAAAATAAATTACGAGTATATCGAACTTGGGCCATATCTTTAATTCGCTGTACTTTCGATGTTACTTAAGAGATTAGTATTCCTTTTATATTCGAAATACGACGTGGTGTATAACGCGCCGACGACACACGAGATATTTGCGTATCCGTATATGTTAAGTACATTTATACATACACAACTGTTCCCCGTACACCGTTTATTTCAGTTTTCAAGTTTTATGATTTTACAATTAACACGAATCCGTATACCTTTAATAGAACTATCATTGGCGATGATTCTCGTAGGCAAATGCTTGATGAAGATCTATTACTGTCTTTAGTCATGAAACAAATATACGGTACAAGGAACAGAGGCAATGAACTTCTCCGTTGGAACGTTGGAAGCCGCACAACCCCCACTATCCGTCAGCCGGTTCACCTACACTACACACGAAGGATACGAAGCTTTTATGCACATTCAGAATACAATCTGTATGTATAGAGTGGATGGTGCTAAAGGGTGATATAATACGCGACAAAGACGGGACGATTAGCAGAATCGAATGGGTATGGACGGAGAAATCGTTCTCCTACGGCCTAGTGGGTCAAAGTAGATAGGGGTGAGAATGGTATGCGGCTTGTAATCCCCTATCTCATCTTTTTCGGCATGGCGAATAAGTGTGCATATACCGTCTAGTGAGGCACAGCGAAGTTATGACCCTTTTTTTAAATATCTACGGAAGCTCGTTTCAGAGTTTGGGGCCAGCCCGTTGACAGAAAATTAAGGAAAAATGGCCTAACAATCTGCTCAGAGCCATAAAGAATATGTCAAGTTTCGTTAATGTTCCACTGTAAAAATGAATGTCCCTAAAATAACTGTAAGAATGTATTCAGTAAGGTAGTTATTTTAAATGAATCAACGATTTAAGATAAAGCTTTTTTTTTATTATATTTATTGTAACCTTTAGGATTAACAGATAGAAAATAATATAGATGAGATAGAAAAGGATAATGAAACAATAAACAAAATAATGTAAAATGTTTCATTCGATCTTTGTATTAAGAAAACACTAAACATACATGCTGCAGGAAATAAATTAAGCAATCTGTTTTCCTCTGGTTTTATAAAGTTGCTCTTCCATTGCCTTTAGCTGATTCAATCGTTTGACTTCATTGAACTCGTGTATGAAGGCCAAAAAATTGGCATGATCCTTCTTCTCTACGGGTATACATTTTTCTCTCTTATCTTGTACCCAGTCGTCGATATTGTCTGTACTATTGAAATAATGAAACATTCCAACTGGAAACGAAATGTACAATATCATTCTTCCAACCTCCATTGTCCAGTTCCCCATTGTAAATCTGTAAACACGATGCTGTCATCTACACTTAACACAACCATGCATTTAATGATTTTTTATCGAGTATAACCAATTACTGTGACTATTTATTATTTATACTTTTAGAAGATATATTGGTAAAGCACGTCAAAAACGGAAATAACTGTCAATAACTGCCACCCATTGAAGTCGAAGTTATAACTATAGAAAGTGTTATTATACAAAGAATACTAACCAAGTGTATATATGTTGTTCGTTTAACGAGAAAAGTCAGTAAAAATAACCAGAGCGTTCGCGTGGGTGCACAAATACGAGGATACGCAACAAATGGATAATGGATACCGGGCTTTAGAATGTATCATCAGTTTATGATGTTGGTAAAATTGCTTTAGAGACTGCATCCTTGTTCAAGAAGCTATTTAAGATTCGCTTCATAGTGTATACATACACATGTTTTTAAAAGCATCTAATTCATTTCGCAGCGATCGAGAATTTTTATGACCTTTCGGTAATGACATCGTACTTTGGAGTTAGACACTATGGAAACGTTATTGCCGTCGGAGATAGCACGACTAGTTCTTGGTAGGAATATTCTACAATAAGCTTTTGAGCTTCTTGTTGTGATAATCTACTCTGTGGCGGGAACGTAAATATTTTCCCAATTTTGAGGATTCGTTTAAACAACTGATTCCAGGGTACCTCGAAGATCAAAACTGTATTGAAGCTGCCAAAATGTTTTTAGAGACATCACCGCATTTGCAAGAATGTCGTACTGTATTGTCGAAAGGAAGACGATTCAGTACCAGAGTAGGTGGAATGACTTTGATAGATGTCATTGAAAAATTTTTTGCGATTAATGCATCAAGTAAGAGTCAATTATATTTCAATTTTACTATACAATTTTTTCACCCAATTGCAATTTGGTTACCAAACCTTATTACATTTATGCAGTTCAAGAACGTCTCAGCAAAATTGCAGATTGCGAGCAGATGAAACATTGCGGGGATTCACTGGAGCAGCTGAGGTTTCTTGTTGAAGAGACCCGAGGTCAACGATTTGTAGTTAATATTAATGTTCCTTCGCAGGTAAATCAAACATAAGCAATTGTTGCAATACTAATATCAGTACTATTTCAATGTTTGTGACAGAAATCTAAAGTGATCAGAAGTCTAGCTTCACTAATGGCTCAACAGAAGATGTTGAGTATGTCATCTCAATATGAATTGATATACCAGATTTTTTCTAAATTTCCAAATATCTCAAAAGCATATTTAATGGCATACACTGCTAATGCTTTTAAGGGTTTAAATATTATAATGATTAAATTGTACAGGCGAATGCTCAAATATGTAATGGATCTCCAATAATATCCAGTAGTGCTCGTAAAAGACGTCATAGTAACAGTGATCGTGAACGATGTAAACGCACAAAAGTAACGTTGAATACGTCACAGTCCTCGGAATTTCCAGTTTCTATTCCAGGTTATTTTGCTGAGCGTATTTTTTCTCTCAATAAATTTTCATGAAAACGAAATCATTTGTGAACTATTGCTTTTTATCATAACATAGGTTTTGACAGCATAGAAGCAACACCATTAGAAAGTTTACCAGGTCATGAAGATAGACAGTGTCAGTCCAAACATGATGCGAAAGTTAAGGAGAAAAACTGCAACACATCTCAACAGGAGGATCAAGGTCCGTTGAGTACGAATTCCAATTGAAAGTGTAGTTTCATCGACATTTGGTATTATTGCGATGTTGGTCATCAAAATGTTATACGTATCTCCGGAAAAAAACATAATAATTTAAGAACTTTAAACCTGTTACTTAATTGTCTGATAATTTTATTAGGTTGCAATGTAGACCAAACAGATGCTGGCATTGATAATACATCGAAGGACAAGAACAAAACAAATGTATGCGTGTTGGAAAAATGTAGCGCAGCTACGAGTACAGACCTGTTGAGTTATGCGTGTGCGGAAGTTCAGACTACCCCATACGATACACCCGAGTCCGAATCCGAGACTAATGACGAGCCTATAGAGAATCTCAGCGTAAGTATTCATATGAAGTAATAATTTTCAATTTCAAATAATAACATGTTTGTTAATCGACTAATTTCTTTTTGTCCCAAGTTACTGACGAAAGAGCTTTTGAATCGCATCGAGTTACAAGAGCGTATCGCTGAAAATATTAATAAAGCTATACTCCCAACAGATACATCTTTAAAAGATGACACCTTAAACGACTCCGTGAACAGCGAAGCGAATACTTCTATTATGTTCGAGTTGAATAACGCGATTAAATCGATAGTAGAGGCAACAGAATCTGATCCGGTATTCGAACAGTTTCTCGATGAAATCATTGGACCGAACACAGAAACCGACACCAGCCCAGATGAAGATGTCGAAGCTAGACCAAAGATAAAGATTCTCAATGATTCCCGTGAAAAGCAACCCGAGACAACGATCCCGAACGTTGAAATTACCTCGTCGGATCCCGTGGTCGCAACAGACCCGAAAGCATCGATCGACGCAACAGCGAATGTTGTGGAAGTGCCATTAAAACACAGACTTCGTAGTTCCTCGAGGCAACAGAATATTCGTGTCGAGGACGAGCAACGAGATCAAGACAAAGACTGCAATGCTTTAGAGGATCAAAATGCTGCCGCTGTATTGAGTATAATAAACGCCACTGTTAAACCTACGAACGAGAAGAGACCCATAAATGCTGTAACAGTGGACGATATATGTTCGGATGTTAATAACGAGAAAAAATTACCAGTTTGCGAATCGCCGCCGAATAAAGATAAGCTACCCGCAAAATTAACGAGTGTCGAGAATGAAAAAGGTCACGGTAATGGCACAACAGTTCTCTGTAACGATACCGAATCGAAAATACGAAAATCGTCGGTTAAACGACCACGTGCTGCGCAACCGAAATGCGAGCCAGAGGATAACTATAAACCTGAACAAGACATAATGACGATGCCGATGTTAATTCTGTGTTCGACGCAGGAAATAAGCAACGTGCTCACCACAAGTTCTACCATAACATCAACCACGAATTCTCGTTTCCTTCCTATTATACCTAAAGATCCGACAGGTACAAATGGCAAAGACTTCGTGGAGAAGGTATATCTGAAAAATATAACTGTCGCTCAAAAATTACAACCACCGCCAATTCTCAAGATTTCGAATCCAACGAAAACAGTGATTCCTTGTGCAACGTTGCAACCGTGTCAAAAAGAGCAGCTCGTCCGAGTGAATTGTAAACCAAAAGATACACCTACTCGGAATGTTGATAATTCGATCGCGAATCTCGTCGTGCCCAATACCAATAAATTCATCACCGACGAATCGATAACTCTTTACGGGAATGAAAACAACGCGAAAACGCTACTGGATAGTTCGACGAGTGTGTCGACAATAAACGTAGAAGACAGCATCAGTCTGTCGGGTACAGGATTGTCGCCGTACATCAAATTTAGTTGTAACAAAACAAACCAGAATCAAAGCTTATCGGATATCGACTTGACGCCTGTTTTACCGAACGCAAAGGTTGCCGATGCACCGGTCAAAACCGTCGTTGTTCACGACCAACAACCATCCACTTCGAGAACAACGGAACACGATGTGATTAACAAACGAACGCCGAGATCGTTGTTAAAGAGTAGGGCAAAAAATCATAGGTTAAGCTTATCGACACCTAGAAGAAGAAGCAGTCACGTGAGAGCGTTGGACTTTAATACTCCAACGAAAATAGTCGTTACGTCGAACAGATTGGTCGGTGAAAACGACAATACGCATTTCCCATCCAGATCGGGGAGATCTGTTAAATCTGTACGTAGAACCTCTCTTTTCAAATCTCCGCCATTCCCCAGTGCTGCCATAGTCGCGCATAAAATCAAGATTCCGTTGAAACTTAGTCGAGCCTCGAAACTTTCCGCAGCAACGAGGTGTCCTGTGCCGAAACTTGTCGACACTCAGAAAAAATGCAGCGAGATCGATGGAATTATAGAAGAAAATGTTACTTCCTCGAAGAAAAATGTTTTCGCGCCTGCAGTAAATAAACCTCAGTCGAAATCGACGAAACCGGGCAAAGATACCTGGGACGCGGATTTACGAAAAGCTTTGCAAGTAGCAGCGGAAAAGGAGTGTCGGAAAACGCAAAAGAACGCCAGCACGAAGTCTGTCTCGTCGAAGAAAGACAAAGGAAGCTCACGCGCTTCGAAAAGGAAAAGTAAAAGTCCTGCAAGGAAAGGTACTTCTGCCGAGAAGAACGTGTGCTTTCGAGAAGAACAGAAACCTACAATACTAATGTCAGTCGGTCAGAATAACGCGTGCGTTGTCTCGTCGATAGAGAAGAACTCAGCAATCATCAATGTTGATCGTGTTTCCCAGAACAGTTGCGACAATGCGATCGCTTTGCAACCAGGTGACGTTACAAAGCCATGCAACATATCCGTACAAACGTACAAAGAAGAGACTAAACGCGACAAAACAGCAGCAAGAGCAAACGACACCGTTAACGCAACAGTTGAAACGAAAAGCGTGAAAAAATATGTCCAGTTGAAAACATTGTCAACTAATATAAGTAAATGTAGTATCGACAAGAAAGAAGGCTTGTCGGAGAAGAACGTGGTTCCTTTGGATACCTTGCACTGTTCCGAAATAACAAAGGCTTCTATAGATATCACGCAGCAGATGTTACATCAGCTGCCGAATGTGGTGGAACTGGAAACGCCGAGAAAATTCGAGACTTCTAGTGGTGTTCCGCCAACTCCAAGATTACTGAGTCCCAGTACAAATGCCAGTCCATTTGCAAAAATTAACGAAGATTCTACTAGACTGCGTAGTTTTATAAGTACACCAGAATTTCCGAGAACACCTTGTATAACGTTAACGCCGAAACTCGCAGACGAGATCACCGCGGACAAAACGCAGAAGGAACCGTTTCATTCCTGTTCCCCTTACTATAAGCCTACGCACGAGCAAGATGACAATTCGGAAAAATTGTCGAAGTCCACGTTAGGTAACAGTTTGCAAAAGTCGACAGTATTAACCTCGCAGGTACAGAATGATCCTGTGTCCCATACTTTCAACGGCGCCACGAATGCCTATCAAACTTGTGTCTCCGAGAAATTAGAAATAACGCAATTCGAAGTGATCAAGGAGAATCTGCCGAAGGAGGAAGCGGTAAAGGAGCTCAAGATATCGACGAATTCTCGTGATTCGACGTTCCTTTATGCGATGTTAAAATCTGACCGTGCCACGGACGTCATTGCGGATATTGCTTTGGATAAAAACGTGGATGATAATGGTAAATCTTTTCTGAACAACGAAGAATCAAACGACAGCGACACGTCCACTTCGTCGTCTTCCTCATCATCCTCTTCATCGTCCTCATCGACGTCCTCCTCCTCGTCGACATTGTCATCATCGTCATCGACATCTTCGGCTCCACTGTTGGCCGCGAACAATGTCAATGTGATTAATTCCTCGGAGAAATCATCTCACGGTAGAAAATGTCATAAAGTTTCCGATCGAATTTCTTCGACAGAGAAAAAACGTCCACTGGATATACCATGTACAGGCTATGTCGACGAAGAAAGTGTCGCTTTAAGGAAATGCGAATCATCGCCAACCAAAGTGTTTTCGATACTGAAAACCGATGAAGATTTAAAGAACGACACGAAAGAAACTCCCGCGAAAGATGAGTCTTTGTTGAACGAAGCGGATATCTCGGAGACCCCGAGCAGTTCGAAGACCGGCGTTGAACACCTGACCACCAATTTGTCCTCGAAAATATCAGCGTTCATCAGTTCAGAGGATCGGAAATTATCAAAATTAGACAAGGAGACGCGCGTGGACAATCGTACCGCGAGAAAAGTGAAGCAGAAACCGACGATCGTGAGTGATCAACGGGTGAAGGGAAATTCATTCCTTAACTTCAGGCCTGCTACCATTAAGCCGGTGAAACGTGCTGTTTTACAGAAAGTACAAACGTCATTGAGTATTGACGAAAAGTTGGTTGTGCAATTGGAAGCGAAACGGCAACGTATGATAGCGAAATTTCGGGAGATCTCCAAACCGAATTCAACCCGTGGGAAAGCTCAACAGGCGTGCACTCTTTTGAAGGGCAAACGGAACTTCAGTCCAAAGAAACGGAATAACCAGTACAAGCGTGTTCCAAAGAACACCGATCAGTTCAGCGAGAAGGGGACGAAGAAAAGAAGCAAGAAACTAGGGAAGTCCAATAATAACAATAATATTGATGGCAGTGATAATCATGATCGCGGCAATACTGGTAACAACAATAGCGGTGGTTGTAATAGAAACGATAATACCGACAGTGGTAACAGTATTAACAGTAAGGGTAATGATCGAATGGAACATTCGTCCACGGATGCCGTATTCGAAATAGAAAAATGTAGCACCGATTATTTAAAGAAGCACAATGAAATGAATTGTAACGAGGAAATTGTACGCGACGAAACATCGGCGTTAAAGGCTACGGAGTATGAAGCTACCAAGACGATAGATGAAGCGAAAAACGTTATCGATGTCTCGGTGAATAAAATTACGAACGACGTTATAGTTAATGTCATCAAAGAGGAAATTCTGAATCCGTTGGAAACGAAAAACAAACGATGCAGCGCGAGTACCGCCGAGAGAAAAGAAATCGCAGGAAAATTGAAGACGATTGAAATTCAAGATACGAAACGTACCACGGTTGGTACGGATGAAAACATTGCACCTGCCTCAATAGAACGTAGTTCGGAAACTAAGAGAACCGAAAATGAGAAAATAATTAACGACGTTAAATCGCAAGAGATCAAGTCTGACATTCCAAAGAACGAAAGTAATTGTAACGAGGAGAACACACGTCGAATGAAGGAATATCCTAGTAACGGCGGTAAAACGAGCGGCGTATTAAAGTCGAAGGTTGATCAGGTGAAACGAGATTTATTCAGCGACGAGGAAAATGATCAGAAAACATTGAATTCGAAGAAAATTCCGACAAGCCAGGAAAAAGATATCGTTGTATTGCCTGTTAAGAATTTCGACACAGAAAATCCCAAAAATTTATCTAGGGTTCTTCAATCCTTACAACTTATTCCTGCGTCCCGAAATGATCAAGAAACGGAAATACCCGAATCAAATCCTGAATACAACCGTGACACTGATCTTAAGCTAACTGGTCTTAATTCGGTGGAATATCATTTCCTTTACGACGATAGTACACCCATGAAGAAAAGGAGACGAAGATACAGTAGTCAAGAGTTGGAATTTCAAATTAACATTGCCTTGAGCGAACAAAGTAGCGACGAATGCATCAAAGTGATGACCGCCACCGATTACGAGGAAATATTTAATCTTCCTCCGAAATCGAGAAGACGATCGGGAAGTAGAAAATCACCTGTTAAAACTGAAAGTTGCTACGAATTAATCAACAAAAGGCCTGCTGCTACATTAACCCTGACAGATATACATGCGAAGCCTTTAGCCACGTCTTCTCCTTTGGATAAGGTGGTTACATCCAAAGTGAAAAAAGTCAGTGGCAAAACTGTGAATACAACGACTGAGACAAAGTACGACACACAGCAAATTAACAAAAAGAAAGGAAAAGTCGAGAAAACTTGTGATGTCGATAAAGGTAATTGTTATAACGGAATAGGTACAAGCATCAATATCGTTCGTTCACATTAGTGCGTTTATTTCAGATAATATTACCGTGAAAGGTCAGCGAAGAAAAGGAACGGAGCCGAAGGAGAGCAAATCGGTATATAAACAACACCATCTATTATCATATATGTATTATTCATTTTGGTTCGTAATAAGGATACCAAAATGTGCAACTGTTTTAGGTGGAGAAACGACAGTATACAACGGACCCACAAACATTACTAAACAACATAGACCTAGATAAATTTTTAACCTCCGTTCACGGACCTGCATGACGGTCGAATTCAGCTCTCTGTGTACAGTTTTTGGAACGTCAATGAACACGTTCACTGGACATTATTTTTATTCACATTTCTACAAGAAATTCCTCTGTTTTTCATTATTTTTTAGACGAACCGTCCATGAATTTCATGAAATTCAGTTTGGTATTCAAAGAAATACAATCAATCGTAGAAGTAGAGAACAGTATTGAAGTAAACGCCATAATCGTTTTGTAATATGTTAGATTAAAATGTGAATTTTTGCATGCTTCGCTACGAAATGAAACGTACTTGTAGAATTGACACGCGAACGCAAGATGCAGTCGGTGGGCTGTAAAGTGTTAATAAATATATAGAATCGTAATTTTTATTAAAAACATTGTGTTTTAACGAATAGAGAATGACTTTACGTTATAGCTATACGAACAAAAAGCTGTATTACCATACATTTTACAAATGATAAACATGTATTAAATTTGCATTAGGTAAATGGTTCTCCCAAAATGCTCAACACTTCGATTTCACCAGTTGGTCTACATCTTCTACAACTGCCAGTAATTTTCGCCATTGTGTCATATTCAAACAGATTCCTGCATAAAAAAATAGAATTCATTGTCTCTTTACTAAAAACTTCTATGACGAGTATGAAGTATTCCAATACCTTTCTTTCCTGGTTTCAAAGTTGCATCCTTATCGTAGTACATTTCTCGGATATCAACATACAGTTTTCCTTTAAAATCGCGTACACTGACTTGGCGATTGCTTCCCAAATCCCATATGGTATCTGCTTCCTCTTTCGATTCCTTTGTCTCCTTTTTCGGTTTCTTTGATGCCTTTTCCTCTTTATCTTCGGCTTCTCTCTTCTGCTTCTTCTTTGGCTTTACTTGCTTATGAGGGAAACGACTTATTACATACCATTTTTACAATGAATATCAAATAACTCGCATACTTCTTTAACAATACAGTTAGCTTTATAAATTCACGGTGTATACGTATGTATATACACCATCAATTTCGTTTGTTATGCAAAAGAAATACCTCTGCTTCGCTGCTACTCTCGTCGTCCGTAGACAAGTATTCCTTTGATTTTGGCATTTTCTGTTAATCTGTTACCTAAAAATGACCGTGGTAATGTAATACCATTTTTATATAAGAAGTCATATAACTTTCACGTTTATATGCTATGAGAAACAATGTCTGAATACGTAAGAATTGTACCAACTAAATCGTTCTAACGTTACATTTTAAATGAAACTGTAACAGATGCTTTTTTTTTTCATTTCTGTAATAACCTTGCAACCGATCACAGCGCACTATTTATACAGTGTACACATACCTAAATAGTAATCTTGTGTAAATGTAAATCACTACGTGGATTATAAATTTGGAAAGTTATACTACAATGATCTCAATAAATAAAGTAAATGACACGTTCAGACGACAATAAGTAATGGTGAAATTATATATTCCGTAAAGCTTGTCGAATATTGTGTTAACCGTTAAACGCAGTTAAACGCGTATGCCGGATTCACCACTGCGAAGTGACGCGCGAGCAGCACGTCCGTTTTAAAGATCCATCGCTAAAAGACACTAGGTAAAAACTCCCTAGATCAGAGTTACTTTAAAAAGTCAAATATCCGTTAAAAAACGTAACAAGCATGATTTGTTCCGATGGGTGTACTCAGATTACCAGTTGAGGGGGCAATTTATTTTTTCTCGGTATATGTTTACGATGTAATTTTATGATACACAAATACAAATACAAGTTATAATACATAACGTTGTAGCAACGCGTTTGACGTAATCATAGGTACACTTCAGTCATTAGCAAGCTTACAAATCATTCCTTTTACTATACATTCCCGAGGCTACAGATTTTAATACGTATGATTGTATCAATACGATCATTCCGTGATTTTATACAAATATTTGTACATTTAAATGTCCATTATTCTCTTACCATACTAAAACACAATGAAATCTATTTAAACGAATGTCAATTTAACTCGATTAAAAGTCATGTTATATATATGATAGCATACTCAAACAAAAGGCGTGTATATATAGCCCCGTTTTCACGAATTAAATAGAAACATTATTCAATAATGCATTATAACGCAACAGTGAATGAAATTTTGCTCGATTTCGTTTAGTACAAATTTTTCGCCTATGTATTTCTTATTTTACAAAATTAAGTTTCCAACAGCGATTCTTTTCGGTTAATCTATCCCTTTGTTGGAAATGTTTCCGCTCCCTTCAATTTATTTATTTAATTGTTATTATTTGTCGATGTTCGAGGTGGTCGAGTTAATGGCCGTCGACTATCCTCGTCCGAACCGTACGCAACTTCTTCGTCCGACCCATAAATAACATCCTCGTCGGAATCGTTGATCATAGAAAACGCCGGGTTGTCTTTCGTTATAGAAGAATCTAAAATCCAACAAAGCGACACTTTCTTCGTGAAACGTGCATACTTTATGAATAATCATCGCTAAACATGTAATTACTCACGTTGACCGTACACTTGCTGATAGGCGGGCGCATATACATAAGCCATTGTGTATAAATAAAAATTCAGAAGGCCATACAAGGCCATAAACTGAGCAGAAGAACGATAATACGTGGTGAGACGAGAAGCAAAACTGTCCTCGAAAATACCAGCACCGAATTGACGGGCTGTCACGCAACCACAAACCGAAGAAACAACCCCAGCAAGCAATGTGAGGAAACGTAAACGAAGATCTGCGGCAAAATAACAGATTATTAAGCGTGTGTAACTGTATTATTTCATATCATATCGGTGAGTGAAATTTGTTATCTTACCAAAATACGGCATCGAGCGCAATTCACTGTATGCCCTTAATATTAAGAGTAGCAGGTAAGCGATGTAAAAACCTCCTACCGTGAAGAAAAACACTTTAAAACCCTGAAATCATAGCACAACTTTAATGCTACCTGTTAAAAATTTCGTTGTTCCCATGCGATATAACCAGAATATCCTTAGATACGAACTTACAAAGTAATTCGACGTATCGAGAACGTAATTGTAAGTTGGATCTTCCAATTCCGTGCAACGGAGCCACGTTGCCAGAATTAAAGCTGAACACCACAGTAAACCCACCACCAAAACTTTGGGTAAATAGAACGTGATAAGGCGTCTCTCGTTCTGCTCGAAACGTACAATTTATATCGATCACCCCCAATATTGTTATGTTACACATAATGTGTAATGATCGTAGGGAAATCATACCTGTCTAAGACCATGATAAACGCATAACCAAAACATGAGAACTGCACAGAGAAATGTCGTTTGGAGAATTGCATCCACCATACCAGGTATCCAAGAGTTAACCAGAAATGTCATAGGAAATAATGGATCTACAAAAAACAGAGTTATGGCGAAAATATAAAAATAAAAATTTCTAATGTACGTCTAATAAGATCAAGAAATCTTACTATTGTATAATATTAGTAACGGCAAGAGTATGGAAATCCATTTTTGCTCTATCGACCAGTCGTGCAACGGATATTTTCGGAGAGAATGTCCGAACCAGCACTAAAAATCAATAGAACTGAATACACTGTGTGTCTTTTTACGCGTGAAACAAAGTACGAACGGGAACGGTTGAATCCTTTACCATAATTCCAAATGCAGTCAGCAAGAACATAAGGCGAAACCATATTTCAAACTCTGTAAACGCTGGGTTGTAGTTCTTGAACTGCGAACAAATGAAAATGTTATCGAGTGCCGTAATTATCATGATTTTCAAAATTACCACGTTTTCAATTTCTTTATTTCGTGTATCTGCTTACTGACGTAGAATGTGAGCTCGCGTATGCTATAGCGCTGGTGGAAATTCTCAAGCCCGTGGAAACGAACGGTAATAATATAGTAACTATAATCGAGGAATCCGAGATGAGCAACTACGAATTCCTCGCACGTTTGCCTTTCGCACTTCAAACGTCTGGTTCTGTGGTATAATAAAAGGAAATGTTAGCACTACCTTCGTTGTAATCGTTTCAATCAATAGAATTTCACTTCTGGAATAGTACCTGTTGTGTCCAGTTTCCGAAGACAGGACTGGTACAAGCTTGCGATCAGCTGTTATACCATCTATAGAAATACTGATTTGAAAACTTTTGTCATACCTTTCATCTGGAAGAATTTAAGTAACCGATTACAATTTGAGTTTCATAATTGAAGTTATATAAAATGTTGTAAAATTATTCGTATCCACAATACCATCATTATTAGATGTCAGTAGCTTTGCAATGACCCATAATTGTTGACTATATGTGGATAACAAAGGCGTTTTCATGATGAAAGGGCCTGTGGCCACTTCACTCCCATTTAAATGAGCTTTTTGTTCGTTCGTGGAAGTGATGGGAGGTCCTGCACAAGGGGATGAACATTTTTATACAATGTATGTGGAATTCATCCGTACGAGAAATTAACGTTAAATTCATTAGCTTACCTGCAAGACCAATAAACACCTCTAACACGACACAGGCAAAGAAGGCAACAAACACCATAACAAACTCTCTCTTGTGCATCGAATATAATCGCATTTGTACCGATCTGCGAATAAAAAAAATTAATATAATCTCGTCGTAATCAGTCGCGTCACGATACTATTGGTTAAATTGTAAGATCTGGGTTTTATTAAATACCTTTCACATCGATCATGGTGATAAGCAGGCGCGATATACTTGTTAAATTCACTGAAGAGATCACTAAACTGAGAGAGAACGTTTCTAACTCTGAGATTCCAGCCTGCGGACGGAAGATGATAAGAGTATCCTAATCCAGGACTGTCCATTTTTACATTTACCCTAATATGCAAGGAAAATATGTTGTAGTTTGTGTTATCCGTGTCAGTGACATCAAAATGACAGATTAAAAAATATATACGTATTTTGACCAGTAAGGAAAACAGTACCATTCAGCAGCGTGTTTCAGTAAACTTTCATCCACGATCACTTTGTCATATGAACATTAAAAAATTTGAAACGAAAAATACGTTATCGAGCATTCGATTGTCAGCAAACGACAAACGTTAAATCCGGAACGACGCACGAAACGACAGAGCGGCGGACATCACGACGTCTACTATTGATTTTTATGACCGCCATGCGATGGTAGGAACAGAGCTGCTACTAACGACTCACGGTCGAACAGGCTACTGTTTATTGTTTCTTTAACTGAATATGCGATTGGACGCAACAATTAGTCTTACAACTTTCATAACGATTCGTCGGTTGGTGTAACGTTTTATTTAAATATAACAGATCTGTAAGCAGGTGTTCAACAGTTCAAGTACTCTTAAAAAATGTACATTTTTATACGAACGGCACGAATAATTTTATCGATATTTAATGCTTTAATCGTCACATAAAAAAAAAACTATGAATTACCGACAAATTAATGAGACAGACCTCTTATAATTTCATTGCTTTATATTTCTAATGGTAAAATTGAAAATTATGTACGTTAAATTAATCTATTCGTCTCGATTAAGTATAAAATACAAGTACACCATTTCGTCCAAAAATACAATCGAAAATATTCTCAATCCCAGTATTTTATTTTTCCATCCCAACCAGCGGTTGCGAGTCTCGAAGGCTCGTGCGGATGCCACAAGACATCGATACATACACCGTCGTGAGCTTTCCACTTTTTGTACAACTTGGTTGTCTTCCAGTCCCAAATGTAGCACTTACCATCTGCATCTCCCGATACAAGGTAGCTGTAGAACAAAAAAAGAAGAAGTAAATCTCAATGTAATATGCGACGTACAATGTACTTAAAACGTCACCGTTCTTACCTCATATCAGGAGAAAAGTCTAAACCGCACGCGTAACCAGCAACCATGTGACCCGTGAATGTCTTTTTACGATTCATTTTGAATCTATTCAACGCAGAGAATATGACGATTTTATTGTCCATACTCTGACATGAGAGCCACTTTTGATTGGGCGATGGTGTGACCGCTGGCATCGAATGCATGGAAGGATCGGCTATGTATTTCATGTCGACTGGTATATCCCTGCACACAAGACAACATTTAGAGAAATCCTACATTCTCACATCAAGGTGTAAACGAATGAAGATTTCTCTGCATTTCTCGATAAATTATGTAACAGACGAACACACTATCGTACCATTCCCAAACTCGCAAACTTTTATCATCGGAAGTAGTCACAAAACGCCGATTTTCATCCACGAATGTTATTGTGTTCACCGCTCCCAAATGCCTATCATATTCTTGCGTTATCTCACCCGAACGAACATCCCACTGTAACACGTGCCTCTTGTTATGTATCGTAAACCTTGGAATTTATGTAATTTCTCAAATAAAATACAGAACGCTTGTGACTCACGCAAATAATCTTCTTGTCGCTAGTGCCTGCTACAAATAAGTGTTGCTTGTCCGGATCCGGATTGAATTTCACACAATACGGGATCTTTCGGTTCGTAAATCGGCTGACGCATGTGCCAGTTTCTGTATCCCAGAGCTTTACATAACGATCGTATCCCGCTGACAGAAATCTTTTCCCGTCGTTATCGAAGCTTATATCTCGGACAGCCTGACGATGACCGTAATAAGTTCGGATACACCGTCTCTCTTTGTACACTTCCCACAACTGTAGTCGAATCAACGGATACAAGAAATTAACTAATCGATGTACTCATCGATTCTCGTATACAATTTCTAACGTATATACCTTTACTCTGCAATCCATACCACAAGACAGTAACAAATGCGCAGTGCGTGGAAACCATCTGATCTGAGAAATACCCTTCGTATGACCTTCCCAACTGTGGATTTGTGCTTTTGGCAGAAAACATCTATCAGGTGGTGATTCAGACCTGAGGTTAACTCCAACATCTTGTGGCGCGTGTAAAAATGATCGTCCTTGGTAGTCCAGACTATCCTTGACTGTAAAATGTTATGTAATTATTTGTGTTAAATATAAATGCAAACATTACATAATTGCTATAATTTTCATACTATGCAACACTGTCTTTTCTTCTAAAGGTTTCTCTTCCATTGGTTTTCCTCTTCTGTTCCTCTTGGCCAATATCTCCTCTAGTTCAGCAGCTTCTTCATCGGTTGGTTTTATCACTCGTTTTTCATCCACATATCCACCCCATGGACCTAAGAATCCTTCGACATCTGCAGGATTATCATTTCTATGGCGCTTTCTTTTATCGGCTGCTCTCAGAGCTGTGCTTTCGAACACAGTTTTGCCACCCAATTCCTCTGCTGTTTCTTTCGCTCCAATTATTGTTCTACCTTCCTCCGCACTGCCATCCACAGTCGGATCCAATGCATAGCCTGTAATACATACACCTTTATGTAATTCAAACATATCTTATTTCGTCTGCACATATATATGGAATACATACATACCATAACTAGCAAAAGTTCTTCTTTGATTTTCAAATTGAAATTCGCTTATGTGAGCTTTCTCTACGTATCCGGAAAGCATGTTTTTCGTGGCACGTTGCTGCTGTGTTTTGAAAGGATTCTCAGGCCCGACATCTGGTGCAAACAGCTCGTCGTACTTGGGATTATGCGTCACTTCATTTACGGTGGAATCTATGTGCCTTACGCATAATTCAGTTCCCTGTGGTACATTCGGTTCAATCGAACGTTAATGATCATGTTGAAACTGTGACGGAAATGTTTGCGAATTATTCGCTAATGTATACGTTACAAGAAAACTCGGTTAATTAATTATTACCGTTGGTACCACTTCTGGCGCCGAACAAATTTGCAGGCTGACGGACGTAGTCTGGGTTTTCAGAGGAAGAAATGGAATACTAGTATCATTTTCAGCATCATGATCACGGTCAACCTCACTCTTTGCATTTTCATTGTCAGATTCTCCCTCGCTATTATCATCGCTACTGCCATAGTTTCTTAGAGCAAGCATATTTTCCGATACTTCTTCGAATGCACTAAGCTCATCAAAGTAATTGCTGATTTTTTAACATCCGTGCGCAGTACTTGTTGTTTACACAAAACACAATATTTTTACAATTAACACGCCCGCAGTCACGCAGTTTTCTGACGGTGCCTACAGCGCATTTCATTACGTCCAGTTACTGCCAGTTACGTCGCTACTGGTCGCTGGACGATGGAATTCAAAATATGCCAATTATGCAGTCACATACATGGGGCGCTCAAAACGCTCAAATACACTCAAATGTAGTTGTCCAATTTAATTTCCTCTGTGACAAGAGCTCCAAAAGCTTTCTTTCTTAAGATATAAGAATACACAATTCAATATGATTATTAAATAATCTAAAATTAGATTTTTTTGTGAACTTCCAAAATGTATGTGGTGTATAATTATCAATTGTAGCATTTTAATTAATATTGCACTTTTACATACAATAAACAACACCGAGGACAAAAAGACACGCAGTTAGGGATGAATCGATACAAGTAAATACGAGTACATTACTCGATACTTTTGTTTTGATACCGAGTACTTTTGGTATCGATTCCTACGGTTGCGATATCAAGTAGGTATCGAACAAAAGTACTCGTATCGAATAGCGAGTATCGACCTGTGTAGTAGCTTGGTAAGAAGGGTCATAGAACCCCCGGAAAACGTAAGAGCCCCGTGTGTGTGAGAAAGTGGGGTCATAGAACCCCTGGAACATGCATAAGAGACCCCTTGTGTGTCAGATGTATGACATATTTATTACCTTGGTGTTATCGATTCAACCCTGATGATACAGCTTTTGTCCTAAATCACACCACCGCCTATTTCATGGAATAATGAAATATTACTGAAAATCTTATTGAACCGTAATAATTGCAGAATAATATCGTTGCAAAAGACTTTAATGAAGATCTCAATGTCAACAGGGGGCTTGTTTTATCGCGTTTAATGTTGAGTTACTTTTTTAAATCATTAATTTTGGCGCCATGGTTTCGCCATCTTACGACAGGAGATGTTATTACTCGGCTAATAACTTGGGAATTTTGACGTAGGAATGTTTCACAATTGCGCAATTTAAAGTAACCAGTGCGAGTCTAGTCTATTAAGTGTTTCGTGTCCATTCTGTCCAATCGTGTCTGATCGTGTCAGCAGCGATGAAAATTGATCTTTCTTCGTAAACGAGGTTAGAACAAACGAATTGTGTTAAATTTTTTTGAGTTGTTATTTTATATCCGTTCTACCTCTCAGAATGCTCAAGAACATTTTACGAAACACATCGACCGTATGTCAGTAGTAACATTTCAACAGAAGGAAAACAAGGATATGTTAAATAAGCAAGATTCGAAGAAAATGAAACGCAGATAATATCGACAGATGGATCTAGACTTGTGATTACGATCGAGCCAGTGTGTCTGGAATTCAGAGCCAAAGAAAAAAAGATCGAGAATGAACAACCTTAGCAGTGTCGCTGGTTTCCTTCCGGATGTCAGATCGACTTTATCCGACGAAAATAATGCTTTCTTCCGAAATCTCTCAGGAATAAATTTGCCCGAGAAAATTTTATTCGTAATCGACACTGTCAGAGAGACGAATTGCACTCCGTTTAAACTTTCCACAGGAGCTAAATACATGCCTCTGTTTATGATGAAACGAGTGGTGGAAAATTTTGTTTGTATAAAATCAACCATTCAACGCAAACACGAATATGCGATCATGACCTTGAATGGCGACAGTGCTAATTGGATTTGTGATTTTACCAACAATACCAAAAACATTGTCGATCACTTGGACGCCATCGACGAAGATTTCCAGGAGGAAGAGCGAAACGCTTACGACCTAGGACAATTATTCGAAAAGATACAATCGAAACTACCTATGCCACCAAAGAAACACAGTACCTTAATTCCAACATTCATTACTCGAGTTATTTTGATGTATTCTCGATCGAACAGTATTCCGAAATTCGATACCAGTAAAAAATTTTTCGACAGTCTCACGGAAAATCCGTACTTTTTCATAGACGTTTTGTATATACATGAACCTCCGTGTTCCGAGAATTTATGTGAAGATATCTATGCTGAGATAGCGAAGTTAGATACAGCAAATTATTCGTACATATTAGAAGTAGGGAAAAATGCTGCAAAATTACACGACAACATGGCAAAATTATTGGCACATCCACTGCAGAGACCATCTCAAAAGGATGTTTGTTATACAATTTATTCGCCGCCCAGTATTCAAGAAACCCATACTAATGTTTAATATTGCAACTGCAAAAGTGAACCATTGTGAAAGTTCGAAGCTTAAACTTTCTACACCATCGATGCTTATTTCGCTGATCGTGATTAATCGATAACAATTTTCGAGCACGTGTAGCCTGTAAACCATAAACTTTCAAGTGAAACATTTAATACCAAGTGCTAATCAGAGGCTGTAGGACATGTTCAATGAGACCAGTTAAATCTGATATTTTCATTCGCCGAGTGCCACTGGAATCGTCAGACATCGCCAAGAGATTTTCTCCTCGTCGTTGTTCCAATATACTTTTCCTCTTACTTTTGGAAACTGGGCGTAACTCAATACTTAGCACGTACGAAGCGCGCTCATATGGAATAGAAATCCGAAGAAACATCATTGCAAAAACTAGCGAATATAAATGTGTAAATAAAACGGAATTTATTTGCGTATAAAAAATATAATCTCGAAAGTGTTATCAATAAGTACATACCCGCGCATCAATGCGTACATAGTCGTTAGACGTTATGTTTATACAACGATTTATACCATTCGAGAATAACATTATACACTATATACACTAGCAACGCGTTTTTAATGGGTTGGAGGGGCGGGGGGGGGGGCGTTACACGCAAAACAGCGTCGCATTTAAAATCGCGATCTCGTTTTCGAACGAACATACGCATACAAAAGGGATATCACAGTGTAGAAGTTATATATATATATATGTGTAAATAAAGTCACCTAACATGTAATTCGATTAAAAAGCAAAATGTATCTTTCTTTCCTACGTGAACGAACAATGCGTTCTTCGTTGGTCACGTGTTTGCGAATTTGTCGACACAAGTTACACTGCGTGTAAAAACTCGGCTTCGGCTAGGGGAAAATGTGGCGTACTGGAAAGGCATCCCACCACTTTGAAATTTATGTTAAATTAATATTCGATTTTACAATTATTTGTGTACTTGAAATAAATTTATCAAGTGGTTGGAGGCTCCTACCCTTACGCCACTTTTTCCCCTAGCGGAAGTCGAGTTTGCTCGCAAGGTTACATACCCGTAAGTCGCGCACAAAATGTTTTTCTTATTCGAAAAACGATAATACTATATTTCGCACCATTCTTTCGTTTCCTACCACCGCAACGATTGAACGAAATGAATTATCATCGGAAGTCTAGGTGTAACGGATATGTGTATGTTACCAAAATGTGGAAACAACCGTAACGAAAATGCAAAAACAAAGCAAAAAGTACGAACTAAGCGAGGTACGCGTAGACGACGAGATTTGCAATGTTCTTAGAATTTGGGCCAACAGTTTTACGACCTGTTGCACACTGTTATCGCTGCTTTCGTCCATCGCGGTGTTCGACGTTTCGTTAGTTCGGTTTTTCGTCGCACTGGAGGAAACACTATTTGGAGATTCAACGTTCTGCGGTGTCTTCGAGCGCCAATCACCGCATGAAGGGAAATCACGTGGTACCGGTGGCATGTCCTCGTGTTCTCCAACCTTGAAGATCAACGACATACCGACCTCAGCGTGAAATTCGATGTGACAATGAAACAACCAATAACCTGGAAGAGTGAATTGTATTTTAGAATGATTCGATTATCATAAAGAATTGTGTGCGTCATATATGTACACATATACAGAAGGATGGTGATTTTGCTAACTTATACCACCTAAATTACTCGTAAATTATTAGCTGTGTGAAAAAATATTTGAAACAAAAGTTGCATGGTATCAAAAGAGACATATAATGGAATAATATGTTTTTTACAGTGTTACATTTTTATCACAACAGAACGGTCAGCTTCAGTTTTTTAAATGGAATGCCTAATATTTCTTCCTGCATTTCGGTAAAGTATCAAATACTGTATAAAACAACTATTACATCATAGAATCTAAAGGGGTATTTGAAGTTGGTGAGTTTGTTCTGATTAAAATGAGACCAAACATGGCATAATTTGGACCATGTTACTTTATTAATATTAAATACTCCAAATTATGTCAAATTATATCATGTTAGAAATATTTTTTCATGCAGCCAATCATTTACAAGTAATTGTGACACTCCCTGTATATGTATAAGAAAAGTGCCCACGTACCTGGATTATTAGCATGAAATCGTACGATCGTGTAACCACCGTCCGGCACAGTCACCGTATCTTTCAGAGGAGCGTGATCAAGGTTTCTGCGTATTTTACCGTCTTTGTCCAACTTTTTCACGCTCTCGACAGTGACGTTTCTGCCGACCCTTTCCATAGCGATCACACGAAATTGATATCCGTGGATATGAAACGGATGATTCGCGTCGTAAGCAAAACCTGAGCGCAACAATTGCCAGTAAAAACATTGATGTTCGACGCAGAGATGTCGTGAGTCTCAACTTGAATGGTATTAAGTGATAAGTATCCTGCAGGAATTTTTTTCCTTTCGAAATTTTCAAGCTCATCGATGTTTTTTTTTTTTTCAAATAACTACATATATTTTTTTCTATTGCATCGCGTAATTCATGAAAAAATACATTCAGATATATATACCATGATATGATCTTGAAAAAATATGTTGCTGCTTAAAAAAAACGACTGCAGGATACTGACCACTTAATACCATTCAAATTACGTTTAAAATATTTGTTGCGTTTTCGTAATTAAAAAAGATATTCGGAGGGTCACACTAAAATGAGACACTCTGTATATAGGATACGAACCTTCGTCCACTAAAACTAGTTCCACCACGCTGCCAAGCTTAACGCGAAGCACGTGGGTACAGGCACAGTAATCCTGTTCGCAACCTTGCACGGTACTCTCGTTGCAGAATTTAGTCTGATCCACGGTGTCCCGTTGGGACAACAATGGTACAGGCGGTAACTTCATCGAGATATGATTCAATTGAGGTGTGAGTACTCGCATGGCCTCTTTAACTGATGGTGTCGAATCGTGTGTGCAAGATACAAGCACAGAAATAATGGAAAAAAAGGGAAGATTACGTTATGCATCTATATACGTAAAAGGGTGATGCAAAAAAAGGTTAATAACTTCTAAGAGTACATACAAGTACTCTTTTGTTTGTATCACGTTGTATAGATATTTTTTCACGTGTAGGAGATGATAAATATTACAAAAATGAAGAAGAACGTGTACCTTGATTGAAGCCGTAATAGTTACTGGGATGAAAGTGTGGATTGTCTTTCTTGTAAAAGTCATAAGACACGTAAAATTGATAATCCGGTTCTATGCTGTTCGACTTATCGTTTTCGTCCATTGCTCTTAACAATGGTACGCTAATACTGTTGTTCGTCTCGGTGCCCTCATTCAAGGCGTTCACTCGCTGCAAAGGTGAACAAAATTAGCTAGGTTACTTTAATTAGAGTGTTTTAGAAACGAGTCACAGCTATTCACACAGCTAAATCGCAGCTTATATACCTTTTCCAGAGGATCCGACTCACGTTCGTAAGTGACGTCACCTTCAGGATCAGCGTCGATCGCCCCTTCGTACCGCAATATGCCCGTTTGAAAAGCTTTCGTGAACCTTTCGTCGCAATCCATTAATCCTCGTATACGTATCCAATAGTTATCTATTCCTTGGTTCGCGGCGACGACGAAATCGAATCGTTCACCGGCGTAACTCACCAAAGTTTTCGCTGAATGAAAAGACCATTTAATTTTTTAGATTTAATAATAGATTAATTAAGCGCGTGTGGAATTCATGCAAAATATATACCTTCGACTGGCTCGATATCACGACCGTCCGAACTGATCACGTGAATTGTGTGATTGTCGATGGACAATTCGACCGGGCAATTGAGAAACTCGGCGTTGATGAGGCGGAATCTGTACCTCATATCCTGTAATTACAAAATCGTGATTGTATATTCGAACGATACAGTTTTTGCACACCAAATTCAACTTTTTGCATATCAAATTCACTCCCTTTTGCAATTTATCGAAATAAAAAATAACGAAAAAAGTTTTGATAAGCTATGGTTTAAAATTTGAGTTCTGAGTGCATTTTTAAAAATAATTTTTTAATATTTTTTATTCTGAAAATTGCAAAGGGTTGAATATGATCTGCCGACAGTTGAACTTCATTTGCAAAAGGATGAATTTGATGGACAAAAGGGTGAATTAAATTAGCAAAAACTTGAATTCGGAATGTAAAAACCTGTTAATATATCTGGAACCGATCTTCGCATCGTCAAAGTGATAAAACTCGACGATATCTCATTCATTTTATCGACATTACCTGCTTAACGACAAACGTTGCGACTGGCATCACAGCGGAAACGTTGCTACCACCACGATCGCTCGAGAAACGACCCACCCCGTTGATCAGTACATTTGGCGGTTTATTGTCACCGCCTGCGTGATGGTGACTCAAAAATTTATCGATTCCCAATTCATGGGTCCAGTCCGCAATCGACACGACATGTTCGTCGACGTCGTACAAGCTGTTATGCCAGTTTTGTTTCGGCGCCGTACGAACGATCAATGGACCGAATACTCCGTCGCCTCGCTGGAAACCTGGACCAAACAGGAAATTTTGATCGAATAAAAATGAAACAAGAGGAGATAGAAAAATCTAAGAATGAGTTTTTCGAATATTATTTTCATGACTCGAAAATCTCGAAACTTTGTATTATTTTCGTGACGAAATTCTCACATACATATATGCCGATGATGCAAATGGATTAAAACAGAATACATATTCCTCTTGCAAAATAAAATTAGCACTTCAAGTTTCGAGAGTTTCGAGAGTATCGAAATCTTACAAAGTTTCCGATTCAACTTTCGAGAATTTAAAAGTTTAGTTCCAACCCACCCCTAGAAGAATCAGATTGATTTTATATATAATCAATCGCTTGTAAATTGCCCCTACCTAGATGGGAATGCCAGAAATGCGTGCCCGCTTCAGTCGCGACGTAATCGTAACGAAAACTCGATCCCGGTAGAATTGGGCATTGAGACACGTACGGTACACCGTCCATATACGGTGTTTTCACGTGATGTTGCCCGTGCCAGTGCATCGTGGTGCTTTCGGAATGCAGTAAGTTTATAACGTCGACTATTATCCGGTCGCCTTGACACACCTATATGGGACGAACAAGTAGGTACTTAAAAAAATTATACAGTCTATCATTTCCGTGTGATAAAAGGATTTTCAACGCGACGAGATCGTGTCGTGTATGTACACTGACGTGCAAACTCGGCTTCCGCTAGGGAAAAAAGCGGCGTAGAAGAAAAGTCTTCTACCACTTGGTAAATTTATTCCAGGTAGTGAAATAAATGTTAAATCGAATATTAATCTGGCATACATTTCAGTAATTCCCAATACCAAGTATGTCACTTTTTCCACTATTGGAAGCAGAGTTTGCTCGTGCGGGTACATGCAACAGCAACGAGAATCGACGCGTGATTCGATCAAGTGCCACAGTCATTCAATTACATTTCAAACGATATGGTTAAGAAACCAACAGTTACAAAGTCCTTGGCTCGAAACCGTTACAACACTATGTAAAAACGAGGCGAGTAACTATACACGTTCATCGACGAATACTGACGCATCCGCGAATAAGTATGTACAATCTACCAGGGTCCTTCCACGTTGCGCTTCTCCCCCCTACGTTACAACTATTTCCTTCGTGCGTACGTTCGATGACCGAAATCGGCAAACACGGTAGAAGAAGGTGACAGAGGGGGAAAGAAGGAAGAAAGACCGAGAATAGAATTGCAACGTGAATTTTCCATTCCATTTTTGAGATATGTGCCCTCACGAACAAACAGCTTCCGCTAGGGGAAGGTCCTTCTACCCACTTGGTCTCAGCGGTTACGAAAATTTATGCCATTTAACATGTGGTAGGAACCCCTACGGAAGCAGAGTTTGCTCGTCAAACGGCGATCCCTTTATAACACGGTTGGAGTATTGAAAAACCCTCGATATAATACGGTATTCCCACAAAACAAGTTCATACCAAATGTGTAGAAGTTTTGTCAGTTTTCAGAACCTAAACCTGTTTGTTCGTATGTATGTATGTTAATTTAATAGAAACCTAACCCACCGTGTTATATCGGGAGTGACCCTGTACGTATATAAATTTATAAAGAAATTATTTTCGTACACATTCGGCGTATATTTACCTCGATAGACGGTCCAGGCATCTGTCGATTAACCACCAAGATCGACCTCCCAATACCATCGGTAGGAATACAATCCGTTCGAAAGCAATCCGTGATATTGAACGGGCAATCGTAACACGCTTTGCTCATCGTATGATAAGACTCCAGTTTAAACACGTAATGACATTCCATCGGTTGATCATCATCTTTGCAATTCCGACGACAAGCGTGATTTCTCCAGTCGAATTCGTCGACTGTTTCCGGGTCAACATGCTCGAACCGCGAAGCATAGGGTGCCGTTACGACTATTTCTGAAATTGAACAATTTAATGTCGGGCCTGCCTGGCGTATTGGCCGAGAATCAGTCCGTGTTTCTTGTAGGGATGTTCGATTCCGATTCGATTCTTCAGAAGATCGATTCCCTTCGGTAACACGTCACTGCCATCTATAACAAATACACTAACGGCCAAAAGTATGGGACCAGAGTTCATGACTGATGCAACATCAACTGATTATTCTATTATGATAAAATAAAAGTTCAGGAATCAAAACATATTATACAAATCACTTCCCATCAGTTTTAACACGTTGGCTTCCTTAACTACTTGTAGAATAATATTTTCCTCCTTTAACCCTTGCGTAGGCAACCAAAATATTCACGGTTATTGTGCAATCGGAATGCTTCTATTCTGACAGATTAGATAAAAATAGATAATTTTACTTTCATAGTTTTCTGAAACTGTTAGTGTTCCTTTCCAATAATATACCAAGTGCTGTTTTAGACAAGAACATAAAAAATTGTAAAAGGAAATTTAGAAATGAGTATCTGGGTACCCGGTTGTCTACACAAGGGTTAATTATCCAGTCCTGAATTCCATACTTTTGGCCATTAGTGTATGTGTTATATATGGCAGTGACGTGTTACCGAAGGGGATCGATCTTCGGAAGAATCAAATCGAAATCGAACATCCCCGTCTCCTGTTCCGTGAAACAAGGATCGAACGAGCTCTGTCGCGATATATTTCGACTTTGTCTTCTCTTGCGAGTACACTCACCGGTAGAACAGACCCGAAACAACAGGTTAATTTCAATGAAGAGTAGCACGATGTTCCGACGCAACATCCTTGATCTGCAAAACCGTCGCAAAAATGTTTCACAACAATCGCGCCGAATTCCGTTTCGCGAAAAACGCGTGCCCGTTTATCCTGGAGATCAATCGAGAAAATGCAGGCGTCGTGCACAGCCAACCTTGGTGTACGAACGGTGAAAATTGTTCCGCCGACGAAGAAGAAAATTGTACAAACATCGCGTGTACGTGTGTGTGTGTGTGTGTGTGCAAGTGAAGTGACACGGTTAGGCAATAAAGGAGAGATTAATGCATGCCAATAGCTGGGACAGATGCGATATTCCTGTCTTATCTAATCTGGATATCATGATGAGAGAGTACCGAGCCTGAGAGAAGGAGAATTCAAGGTCCGAACAAAATTTCGAACTATGTCTCGTAACGTGGGTCCGTGAATTTTACTTATGTAAACGAAATATCGTTGTTCGTGTGAAATTGCACGACAGCGCCGGATAGAGAAACACGACAACTGAGGACGTGAAACGACAATCCATCATCCTATATATGGAACTTCTAATCGATGTGATCTCACAGAAATGTACGAGATTCCGGTGTTTCTTATTATACCGTCCGTTTATAGTTATAAATTATCTCTGAACACTCACAAGTAATGGTAATCTGTTCAATAAACAGTTCAATCCACGTGTAGCCGGATAAGTGATACAAATTTTATTTTTCTTCCGTTTATCTCTGTCAGTCGCCGACAGGTGTTGAAAATATTTTCTCGAAGTAATACACGTGCATGATCCTGCTCGATGTTTCCCCGTAAATACGAACGGACAGCCCGACAACGATCAAAGGGAATAAGACGGAACACGAGTCTTGACACGTTAAATCATTCTCTTAGTTTCTTAGGTTCAGACACGGTGTTCGTTCTCTGGTCCGCCGTTGATCGGTCCTAGCCATACGGGCGACGTAAATTCAACGATGTTTTACGAAAGACTGGACCAATGCAGCGCCATCCGTTTCTCTATAGAGGAATTCGCTGGAGGTCACGCGTACCCCACGGAATCGACAGAGCACAGGTCCTCTTACTTCGCCTGATTAACGTGCGCCAAGGAACGATACAAATAACGTCACACACCGTGGACACGTGTGTAACGTAACGTCACTCTCCTATAGTAACCTCAACGGGAATTCCCATTGCGGTGAGGCAGGACACTCGAATGTCCCCTGTTGATTCCCCCATTTGTTTTTTTTTCTCAACGTATATATACATATTCGCACGAACGGGGTACGGATATTGGAATTCTCGTTGATTCACAGCGGTTTCTCGCGGATCGAGATGATAAAATACAGTTGAAATTTTATACAAGTGAATCGTGTGACGTACGTTCAACGCAAGAATGATAACGAAACGGTCCGTCGTCGTCACGAATTTATCGTCGGACGGAAGAGATTCTTTGAAAGTCTCGATATTTGTATTCATCGTGTGACGTGTGTCTTCTTCACGATATCTGATTTCATGACAACCAACATTTTTAAACGTATACATTTTTGGGAAACAGATATATGCAGTGAGTATCGTACTTCCACTTCGTATATCGCAGCGCTCGAATTAGGGATGGTCTATTCCGATTCGATTCTTCGGAAGATCGATTCTTCTGGGTATATGTCACAGCTTCTATATTAGAATCTGTGCACGTACACTAACGGCCAAAATTATGGGGACCAGAATCGATCTTCCGAAGAATCGAATCGGAATCGAACAACCCTAGCTCGAATCTCGCACACGACATCGGATACGGAAGCAAAGACGCGGAAAATCTTCGTTCCTGCGGATACGAGCCACATGATAATCCAAGTACGTGGAAAATCACGCATATACGTCCTCAACGTTGCGTCGTCATCGAATGAAGTTGAGGACGGGACTTTTTTTGCAAGAAACTCGCCATGACAAATGCGTCACGGGTTTTCCGGTACGGGTACACGTGACACGACGGATCGTTACTCGATTCTCAATTTCCACGATGCATAATTAATAATCCCATGTTTCGATCAAGAAATACAGATCGTGCATACATATACCCTGCGTGTACAGCTATTAAGTTTGCAAAAATACTATTACGCGTTCTTGTAGCACGGAGATCAAAGAAGCGCGTTGAAGTAGTAGTAAGATTGTGATGGATCGTACGACAAAAGCAACGATTTTTCGTAATTGTTACCTCAGTGCCGGATGAAGGGGGGCTGCAGCCCTGAGCCCTATTTTGCAGGGGGCCCATCGAAGTCCTCCATTTGTGTAAAAAATAATTGAATGAAATTTCAACTGTATCCTTTTGGAAAAAAATAAGAATAAAATTTTTTTTAAATTCAAATAAGCGAATCACAGTTATGAAAATATAACAAAGTATTGAACAAAGTAACTCAAGCGTTCTTTATGAGTAAATGTTATTTGATTTTATTTAGAATAAATTTCAATTTTCGAAGATTACTTTTTATTAAAATACTTAAAATTTAATACGGAATAATTTCACGGAATTAATGTACTTTATATTGTATGCTTTATTACAAAAAATGTTTGTTCCCCCTCACCCTCAATTAAGGGGATCCTCGAAAGTTTTATAGTCCCGGGCCCCAAAAAATCTTAATTCGTTCCTGTGTTACCCGACTGTGTTGTAACAAACATTTTTTTTGTTTTCTTCTCAAGAATCCTCTGAAATTGTTATTGCGCCGGTTTCTTTTCATCGTGCGTATTTCTAAAAACAATGTGAAACATAGAAAGATTCGTATTACATCGATGGAAGTTTTTGGACGTAAAATCACTCGTCAAACTAGTTCTGGATGTTTACCGCAACGTACATTAATTGATACGGAGAAATCGAGAGGTCGACGGAAACTAGATCGTAACGAGCGAAAGGGAAATCCGAAAAGGGACGAATAAAAAACCAGACTGGAGAGAAGCGATACGTACGATAGAAAAAAAAGGACGAACGAAAGAAAGAAAAAGAAACGAGAAAGTTTACGTAAGATCATTAACCTTCGCGTAATAACGGTGTCGACGAAGATAACAACGCAACAGTGTCGTGCAAGCCACGTGCAAGGACGCGCGAGAACGTTCCCCTCGATCTCACTTTTAGTTAGTGGCTTCTCCATTCCATCGTGTTTGACACGCGTATATATATGTATATAAGTATACATATAATATGTATATATATGGGTTCACGGTTTACCTCTCCCCTTGCAAGGAGTAAGTAAAGATGTATATGTATACATGTGGAACTATTCGTGAGTACTATTTCGCGGTGGCGTCACTGCGGGTGCGTGTGTTCGTCGTCTCAAGTTTCTACGAATCAAGGCACCTGTCGTCAATGAAAACGATGCTAACCGCTCTATAATACGAACGTAATAAGTAGGTGACGCGATCTTTATTTCGAAGGAAAGCAGTTTCTTCGTTAATCTTCTACGATTATAATTTTCAGTTCTTGCGTATAACTTACTGTTGAAATATTTATTGTATATTATGCATATAACAATCGTACGTCTAACTACATGTTTCTACAATGGAAATAAACGTATCGTAAGTTTGTGCAAAGTAACTCGTCCGTATCTCCATTAAGCGTAATTACGAGTTGCGGCGTGTATCGTTAATATTCAGGTTTTTTTAATGAAGCTAGCGCTAAAATGAGTGTTACAACGCAGTCTAGCCGCAGACGAGGTATAAGAATAGATCTAACGTCAAATCACTGTTCATATTTATCCTATTATAACTGTTTTATACAAAGGGGCTATGCCTGTTTATTTATATTAAATAAATGAATAAATAATTATCGATAAAGCCGGAATTTTGGGTATTATGGCAGACGAGGTATAGAATATAGTAAAAGCTCCATAATTGTTCACTTCGGGGCTGTAGGGGACCGAAGAATAGTTGGCGCGGAAGATTAGTACAGTAAAACCTGTTTTTATGCGGTAGATAGGGACCGCATAAAAGAAACCGCACAAAAAAATATTCGGAAATTTCATAAATACTACATATAATAAACAACTTTGTACGACATACTACAGAAATTTTTTTTTATGCGGCGGAGAGGGACCGCATAAAAAAAGTCGCACTTAGAAAATACGTCAATTATTTACGAAATACATGAGAAAGTGCTTCCAAACAAAATAAATAATTAAATTACACATTATAAAAGCATTTAATTTTTCATTGTATACATGGAGAAGTTTTCAAAATGCACATTACATAATTCACTGTTAGTCGTCGTAATCCTTAACGCGCATCTTCTTGTGATGAATTGGTTCACCATCTGCTAGTCTATTTAATATTAGATTTTTTGTTTCTAATGGAATTGTCTTTCTTTTCACTTTTTTTTGGCTACAATTATTCATTTTAAGGGAGTACATATGTTTAAAAATAAAATGAAAATCATAAAAACTATATACAAATAGAAACAAAAGTAATTAATTTATTTACCTTTAATCTCACTATAAAATGAATCCTTAATCACGTGAGTCGTGGATAAAACTCGGAATACGAAGCGTATGCTGCTAGCGCGTCGAGCGAAAATAATTGAATGTACATTGTCGGGAAACTGTTTAAACCAAATGAACAGAGCGTCTTGAAGTGTATATTTATATGTACACTGATAGAAAACATTACAGTAATGCCAACGCCGTTGAAATTCATATACCGCATAAAAAAAAATCGCACAAAAAAAATCGCACAAAAATAAAATCGCACAAAACAAATCGCATAAAAATAAAATCGCATAAAAAAGGACCGCACAAAAACAGGTTTTACTGTACATGCCTTTTTACCTGAAGAGTCTGACAAAAGAAATAATCCGCCCCCGGGTGGGTTCGAACCACCAACCTTTCGGTTAACAGCCGAACGCGCTACCATCTGCGCCACGGAGGCGACTCGCTTGACTCTTCTTTCATTGCGAAACTCGTAGTACCGTCAAAGGCCCTGGGGCAAACGGCGGAAACGATAACAAGAAATTATTCAAACGCAGTCTTTGTCACCATAGATTATCTTGAAAAATTGCTTCCAATTTGCTCCCTCGGAATCTAAAATTGCTCCCATCGAACTAGTAAGGGGGCTACGTAGCCCCCTTTTATTAGCACGAATGGGCCACTATGGTTCGTTTATATTACGTGCATCTAATAGGATTTGGCGGGAGGATATACGTTGCTTCAGTATAAAATAAGAACACGACATAACACAATGCAAGTGGACTTCTTTCTAATACGTTTACAGCAAATGGACAGAAGACGATCCGTTTGCGACAGCAGTCTCTTCGACGATTTTCACATATATTTAGCTAACATTCATAATTCATAATATGGCATTTTATACTTTGCACTTGTCAATACTGTCGAAGTGTGATTAGCTGACAATGAGATAGACTTTCGAATGAATATACTAATTGTATATTTGTATGTAATTCCCGAATGTACTGTTCTCATAACGTAGAGGACGCTACAATCAGCTAGAATCAGAAGCTTTCGATGTGTCGACATTACGAGAAAAAAATCTTTTCTACGTGCAACTAACAAACACCATTGTTCTGAGTTTAGCCCGCAACGTTTGAGATTAAAATGACACTTGGTGTAACCAAGTATAATTTAAAAGAACTTGTACATTTTCCTTATCCGAAACCTAACCTTGTTTCTTTTGTTTCTGAAACATCATTACATTAATAATACTTTCGGTAGATTCCTGTCTGTATATCTACATTTAATAGGGTTAATAAAACTCACAATGACCGAAATCATACAAGGAACATGTTTATCGATGTGCCCAGAAAAAGAACGTTGGATGTAAGTTATAACCGTCACCACGGTATAAAAGTTTGTAGTTGCAAATTTAAAAAATTCTTTCTAAATTCAAAAACTGTATTAACCTATTGATCGTCCTACGCATAAAGGAGAGAAAGGAAGTGTTTGCTGCATAATTTCGAAATTGACGAGAGTACGAAAGGTTCGAAGCGACCAAAAGCTGATCCAATGAAAGTCGTGAAAAGCTTCGGACGTCCGGCAGCTGGTTTGAATATGACAGATCCGAATCAATTACGCCCTGCATCTATATTATTAGCAACCATTAGATATTTATTTACCAAGTATGCTTCAAATAACAATATTTCGTTGTACGCTGTATTATTCTACAAATTGCATAACTGAACTTTGTTCTAGAATAACCACGCGAACCGACGTTGATTGGACGGTGACATATGATTTTGTGTTTGACCGTTTAAGAGCTGTGAGACAAGATGTTGTGATTCAAAGGATCGATGTTTCTGCAAGCATTTCAATTTTTGAACCTATCGTTCGATTTTTGATTTATTCCGCGCAAAGGTATAGACGTGTTTTCCATTTGCCTTCAGTATCGTGATTTACCATTTCTTTCGAAGTAACAATTACAGATTATGCACTCGGACTATATCCGAATTTGATGCAACACTTAACAATAAACACATTTCCGAATGTATATCGCATTTACTAGCTCTGTACGACGAATGGGATAAAGTCGATGGTTCAAAACTTGACAAACTTGTGGAAAAACTGAAATTGAGCGACGATCGTCAGCAAATGGAAGCGTTGTATATTATTTTGAACATGGGAAATACTGAAGCTTTAACTAGGGCATTGACTCTTCCACTCACTTTAAGGTATGTGGACAATGTAATTGAGGTTTCATCCAGCTGCATAACCAGTTTTTCTTTTTCTTTCATACAGACGGTCTTCGGATGTTCAATTAGCAATGAAAATATCATTCGCCTGGTATCTGAGAAATTACGCACGCGTTTGCAGTTTAATTCAACAACTCTCCCCAATACTTGTATGCGCTGCCATGATTAATATATCAAACATTAGAAGGTACATTATCTTTATTTCGATCAAATATCGAGCATTATCTATAATACAAACAAATTTTAGGACAGCTTTGAGAATTATGAGCTCCGGATATAATAGCAAAGTATTCACGTTTCCGGGAATGAAATTACAAGAACTTCTATTGTACAAAGACATACAGATTGTTGAAAAGGATTGCAAATTGTATGGACTAGAATTCACTGAACAGAATATTTTGTTGGAAAAAGCTAAATTCAAAGGGGACGTACAATCGGTAGGTAAAGGGATTTTACGAAAAGTTCATTCGTGAACGAAGAGTTGATACGAAAAAATTGTTTCGCATTTCAGGTGAATTCAGAAATGTATTTCACTGAGAAAACACTGCACGATTATCTGCCTCGTATTCTTCTCGAGTATTTGTAACGTTTTGTAGCACGAAAACTACATACACGACGTACAACGTGTTACGGAATGTACAGACGTCGATAAATTAAGCCTGACGAAGTTGAAAGTATTTCGTAAAAAATTTATATCACCCGTTGAATAAAAATATATTTCTAGAATAACACAGTTCTGCACTCATTGCGAATCACTGGACGAACTACTCGACGAGTCCGTGGACATAACTTCTACATCTTCCGTTTCCTGTTTATGCGTGTTCATGGCAACGCTACCTTGTCCGCTCACCGACATGTGAATTTCACCGGTCGGGTGCCACGCGAACTGATTAGCCTGCGACACTGGTGGTTCTGAAACAATAACAAAAACTCGAATTATAATATCAGTAACAAACTTAAGGCTGGTTAAGTTGATTTCGTTGCACATACCACCCACAGGATGTCCAGTTCTATGTAGATCCGTCGATATTCCGGGATGGGATCCTAACATTTGACCGTTTAACGGAAGGTCGCTTAATCGTCCAAGATAACCTAACCTCATTTCGATATCTGAAACAAAAACGATCAAGTATATATTGAAAAATACACATCTACAAAATTATTACCTGTGGGATATGGTCTCCTAGGATCTCCTTGTTGCCACGTTAATGGCGCGCAAATAGCATTCGATGCACTTATTCTATGTGCATACTTAATTAGTTCCTCAGATGGTACAGGCTTTTTATTGGCACGAGCAATTGATTGTAACTTTTGTTTCGCTTGATAAATAGCTGTGGCTAATATTTGCTCAGCTTCTTTCAACTGTCGTTGTAATTGCCTAATGTCTTGATCTTGCCTTTCAACCTCAGCTTTGAGAGCTTCCATCTTCAAATTTATCTTTGCTTGTTCTGCTGCACGATTTAACGTCGCTTTTAATTCATTGTCTTTAGTAATCAACAATTCAGTTAACTGAGCATGCTCTTCGCTAGATAATTTCAATGGTTTTTGAGCAATTGTGTTTTCTATCATTTCCCTAAAACAATGGTGATATATAAAACGACATTTTCATTATGCTAATTAATTTAAAATATAATTTGTTTATGTCTTACCTCGCTATTAGTTCGATGTCATCTACGAGGGACAACAAAACCTCTCTGGTACTCTTACCAGATGCCATTTCTTTTGACACAAACGTACGACACACTATTTCCTCAATAAGACCAAATCGTTTAACTTATTTTTAACATCGCATCGTACATTAACAGTTATATTTTACAGTATGTAATTCGGAAAGTGGTCGTTCTTAATTCTTAACTTCATCAGTTAAGACACTCTGTCAACAACATTACATTCTTCAGACTTGTCAATTAGAGATGGCGTGCAAAATCACTAACGGTCATTTATCACAGTGATCGCCGAATCACGATCACGATCGTGATTTAACTTCATTCACGACCGTGATTGCGATTTTTTTATATTTTTTTATCTTATTCATTATTCTTCATTGTTTCTAATTATTCTTATAGGCGCCATTGATCACGTGGGGTGAGAGCGTGGGGTCGCGGAGCCCCGGTGGAGGCGCCATTGATCACGTGGGGTCGCGGAGCCCCGGTGGAGGCGCCATTGATCACGTGGGGTGAGAATGTGGGGCCACGGAGCCCCCGAAGCATGCTGAAGAGACCCCGTGTGTGTGAGTTGTATGATGTACAATTAGAATTTCAACGATTTATAAATAAAAGTACACACGGCTGAACTTAACGATAAATTTATTAATAAAATTATTTACAAAACTTAGGATCGATAAATTAAACATCAAAACTGAACATCTGAAATAATCAATAAATTATTAATAAACTTCAATATTCAGAATTAACGCGCAAAACTACAATCAAGTCCCGACATACATATTTATTTATCGTGTATATCTTATATGACGGATATTGTTTGGAATTTATACATATGTTTATGTGTATACATTTTAAATTTTATATTAAGTATTTAAATAAATAGATAAAGTATAGCATTGTATTTTATTGTCTCTCAACGCAGAAACAACTTGTGTGTAAATTTGTGTAAATCTATTCTATACCTCGTCTGTGATGATATATACATTAGGAACAAGTGTATAAAAAAAATGTCTTTATATTTATCCATAAGATACATGTTTAAATATGTTTAAGTTTAAAATAACAACTCATCTTAGAGTTTATGTTCTTAAAGGAATAACAGGCCAATACTGAGGTTTTGCTTTATCTTTGTGCCTGTCAACAGTTGTTTGAAGGGCAGTTTCCATTGCTAATATCGTGGGACTGGCTTCACCATACAGTAATTTTGCATTGCTATTTCTTGCATTTATCCAAGCGGCTCCACCTTGAATACCATTATCTTCATCTTTCTCCTCCTCCTTTCTAGCAGATGATTCAGCTTCACGCTTCTGTTTTAATTCAAATTTATGCCTCAGACTCTGCTCTAAGAAGACCATCATATCTTCATTCACTTGAAACTCTAGATTCTCTTGGTCTTCTGTGCATCCTGTTTCATCCTCCTCTTCTGCTGCCTCTTGATCTTTATGGTTCTGACTCTTTTTTACATAATCTGAACATGGTTGAGCATTTTGACGGGTCAATGATCTCAGTTTATCTTTCAATATTTGATTCTCATATTCTAATGCAAAGCAGCGCGTCCTCCACCAAGTAACACTGTGTCTGTAAATAATTAGGTGTTTTTTGCAGTTCTAATCGCATAACTATTTCCCCTAATAAAATCCTATTTGTGCAAACTAAATCGCAAATAGTAAACAATTCGGGGAAAAATCGTAACTAACCTTTTCTGCCACTCTTGAGCTGCCGTATAATTATTCCAAAAAGAATTAGCTTGCATAGTGCTGGACATTAGATCTTCTTTAACCATAAATTCGTTTTTTTAGATGCCGTCTCTTTCTTCGACCTCTGTTACGTTTTACAGGAGCGAATTCCATACCTCGTAGTGGGACCTCGGCAAGGAGGAAAATTTACGTCACTAAAAAGCACATTGTTTATATTTTCATATTCGGGTATCCATAACAAAATGTAGCATCCGACGCGACATCCGCAACATGGAGTGTAGAATCAGGCAACTAAAATTGATCTACCACGCAGACGTAGTGAAAATATTGAACAAGGTAACAGCGCGGTGAATTTGGAACATCATTCACAGATGCGTTCCAAATTTTACATTCATCTTATCGAACACTAGTAAAACAAATAATGCATATATATCAGAGATAAAACAGATGATTTTTTTTTATTAGAAATATACAGTAGTGTTATGATGTTTTATACAAGTCTGAAAAAGATATTTTGACCATAAGTGAAAATGACACGAGCTCGTAACATCGATTACAATGAAAATACCACATGAACTGTCACAGCACGTTATTTCAAATTCAACGTGCATCGAAGGTATGGTTAAGCAAATATGATTTGTACGAAACTACCCCTTATTTCCTAAGTATGCGTGTCTATAATCTCTTCGTAATTACAGTGAATTTCATAAATATCTCAAAATTCAACGCTATTAACCGTAGTTCTCGCTGTAACTTCGTAAATTCGAGGTAATATTTGACGTTTACACAACGAAGTTCCAAGTACAATGATCAAGACATTCCGATCCAAAACAATTCGTTCGGTATACAGTATACGAGACATCATTATAAAATACGCCTATTTCATACAAAGTTGCCGTTTGCACACGGCAATGTTCAATGGGAGCCGAAATACGCTTCACTGTATTGTTCTAACGAAAAACGCGCACGTTCTCCGTGAAAAGCAGAACTACAAACGTCCGTTAAGAGTGTAAGTCTTGCAAAATTGACTGCGGTGCACAACACGGTTCTCAAATCATGATAAACGATTGCTCCTGGTCTCACATGTACGATAAATTTAATCCACGTTCAAAGGACACCTCATTGTTTCCTAACTTAACGTTGTCACTCTCTGTACTGTTCCTTCTGGAATTGCTATTAGCTCCATTAGCCACGACGTTGGTGCCAGAAGCTTCGCTGCTGTCTTCTGTATCGCTAGTTAACGTTTTATTTAAAGGTTCGAGTCCAATTATTGTGCGGATGTTATCAGGTAACTGGTCTGCCACCAACAATAGTTGATAATAAATACCCTCCGCTTTGGATAATGTCCAAGGTAACTCGATGTGAAGCGAAAGATCGTTTATGTGCTGCAAAGCATATTATGAATTAATTATTGAAAAACTGTTTCGAAAACTGTCTCCATTTTATATGCTTGCCTTCAGTATTTCTGTGAACCCATAGCGATTCTCCATAAGCATACTTCTTTCTGTGTCCAATATGGCCGCGCATAAGAGCAGGTGAAAATTTTTGCAGGGTAGGTCAGTCCATAATATTTCCCATAATTTCATTATGTCGACCGCGTTGAACTCTCGTTTAAATAGAACCAAGAGCCAACGGAAACAAAAGAACATGTTTCCTGAATCGTGCTTACTCAAGTAAGTCGCTAATTGCGGATCTGTAGTACTCAATAATGCATACAATTGGCATAACTGAGCTTTCATTCCAGCCTGGTCTATTTCGAAATTGCTACTCTGTTTTACACATAACAATCCCATTTGTTAATATACCTTATGAATTGTACATTTCGAAATATCAATGTAAAACATACCACTTTATCCATGAATCCAACAAAACACCAAAATGCGTCTACTTCACTTTCCATTAAACATAAAATAGGACTTAGAAGATCACTCATTCCTTGAACATACCCTAAATCGAAATTGTACATCACGTACGTCATGAGAATATCGTATAATTGTGCTAAATGTGGGTTGTTATCGCCCGTATAGTATGGATGCGTTCGATCCGTTCTATTAACATCCTTTTCTGAAATTTATGTTGTATGTAACAGCTGCCGTTAAATCTGAGTTACATTGTGATATAAGTGAACTTATTTAATTTTATCACTTGCATGCGTTACCTATTAAACTTTTTCGGTCCCGATAATCGGAAAAATTTTTCTCTTGCACGGGAGTCATAGACCTCCATTGCAATTTCATCATGAAATACGCATCAGTCTTTTTTTTCTTTAATTCTAATCTTTCAATATGCGTCGAATTCCATGGATAATAATTTAATAAAAACTTCCATACTTCAAATCGCAACGACGGTGCAATACCCTACAAATTTTTAACCATTGCTTCAATTTCCAATTAGTCGTATTAATTTCTTAATGACATTTTATTCTATTGTTTTAATAAATTCCTATCTACGATAATAAAATTAAAATTTAAATCTTATGTACAAACCCCGCGAAAAATAACTTGTTTTACTTCCTGAGGATTTGAAATCCTCCCCTCTGGGTCCTTATATTTGTTCCATTGTTCTTGTGACAGTGGTGTGCCTATCATAATGACATAGATTTATATATTTTCATATAAAATTATTTTCAGCAAAACTATCCCTATTATACCTCTCGGACAAGCTGGTCGTGGTGGTAATACCACTCCTAATCCATGCTCTCCTATTACTTCGTATTCATCCCCAGAACCCACAGACAGTGGTGGATGGGGTACATCGATTGACAATGAACTGTTTAATATATCTGCAACAGCTTCCTCAACAGGACGTTTAGCTGTTTCTTTGTATACTATAATTTAAATTTGGTATAAAATGTTTTAAAACATCAGGTACCATGTTACAATATATCGATTTTAGACACTCACACCAAATATCTGCTAGTTTACTAAATGCTTCCATTGTTGTTTCATACGGATGGTCATGTAGATTCTTTACAAATTTCCAAACATAATCTGAAGTATTTTCTTGAAATATATCTAACTCAGCGAATGATTTACTCAATACAGACTGAACTTCGTCTACTACAAGGTATAAATTTTTATTCGTACGAGATTTTACGAATTTAATGAATCCTTTTAAAGAATTTACAAAACTTTCTGCATTAGATAGTTGAAAGAAGGCAACATATGTGGTACCATCCTTTTGCATAAATATAAGCTGTTGTCCTCCATGATTTATACGAAAGGAATTTAAATCAGAAAACAAAATTCTGACTATCCTTGTACGTCCAAGGGAATCCGGTCCTTCGGATGAGGTACGAGTACGTCTGGTGTGTGTATTTACCAAAGACCACTCTGGATCTTGATCTTGGCTTTCAGAAACTACAGAATCCTCTATAGGCTTCCATTCTATGCATTTACCAAAACTCTGCAATTTTAAGAGTGGATATTCCAGACTGTCTATGGCAACTGATACTACTAAATGTTGTACAAATAGCTTACGTATTCAACAATATTTAATGTTCCCAGACTGTGAACCTCATCTTCCCTTGCATTTGCTCCCCGGAGTACAACTCCAGTATGGATACACAAATCCTAAGTAGAATCAACAAGTAAAATTATTTCACTAGAATACGCGACTGATCATAAATGAATTAAAAAACGAAGTAAAAGGAACCTAATGTGCAGCTCATGCGAATATGAAATAATATAAATACCACCAACCTAACCTCACTGACGTCATTTAACGAATGGAATAGAGCAATTTTATCCAATCGTGAGATGACAATGACGTATAACTAATTCAACGATAAAAACGAATAATTTTTAGTCGTTCGTAGATCTGCATAGAACATATTATTGAGATTTTGTTGACATACCACAAGTATTGCATGTGGATGGGATGTTTGAAGTACGTCATTCTCAAAAACGACAAAGCATGGACATTCGATTCAGGCAATTTTACGAGAAGGAAAATAATTGCACGATTGATAATTGCATACAAAAGGTTCTCACCTTTCCCTGTTCCGTGGGCTCAAACATTGCGAATATGTATTTCTGCGTAAATTAGCAGGCTGATCGAGTTACGGCCGATTTCGACGCATCCCTTCTATGTACTGTCCTGCAAGTTTACCTTTGCTCTCTCTGTCTCTCTCTCTCTCTATCTTTCACTCTGTTGTATTGTCTTGCTTTACTCGTGCAATCATCTATCTGCGTGCTACCGTTCACGAGTACCTATAGCTGCTTTTTTCTCGTCTCGTCACGCTCGTAGCCAAAGAACGGACGAATTTTCCTATTGGCTTCCGTCTATCTTCGATGACCCATAATCACGAGGCATTTCCCGATACCTTATTAAATCATTCGTTGCGAACCCCCATAAACACTCTTTTCAATGGACACGGTACTGAACGCCAAAGTCCGTAGCGCCTACTACGTATGAGTAAGCGTTTAATCGCGACCTCTGTCACGAAACTTTACTCTTTCTCTCTTCCGTCGCTCATTCATTTCAACGTGAATCGTCAACAGAACGATACCACGAGTCTGCGAATCGCTCGAAACTATGTTGATAAGAGTTTAACCAAAATTTACATTATAGATATCTCAATGCGAATAATATATTACGGGGCGTAAAATTACACGATAGATTCAGCGAAAGAATTCCCATGTTTGTAAGTAACTCTAGATTACCTTGAAAACACCTGGAAAATGGGTATCTCTAAATAAATTCTTCTGTTGTTTGAACGCCGGGTGATTCTAATCACTGATAAATATCATTGATAGAAAGATCACTCCGCGTCAACATACTTAGTTCACGATTAAGGACACCTGGTGACAATATCGTTATCTCCGATTGAACCAAATATTAACGTGATTTTAGCGGACAGTATAAAAGGGGTTGCTACTGTTCGTGTATGTATGCTATACATAGCATATAGGCACAGTTATATGTTGCCATCTTTTGTTTAAAATCCTAAGCTACTCTGTATCAATCCAATGGTTACAACGCTTATTTATTTATAACGGGTCGCGCAAGTCAACAATATAGAGCAATCTTCCCAATCTACTACTTGCATGTTGCAAGACGGGTGAGTCAGGTTATGTCAGTGGACTAGAAACTATTTTCGTTTAGAACAACATCGCGTAGCCGTACGGAAGAAACAAGCATTACGAATTGCGATAAAAGAATGAAACATCACAGATGAGATGAATTTCTTTGCCTCACGGACTTTGTGGCACACGGTTCGTGATTTCATGACGCAACCATGCTCCGAGAAAACATAGCATTAGTCCAGTCATAGCCAGTTGCATACTGCATTTTTATGTACTTCAGATTATCTTGGATATTATAACGACGATGCATCTCGTTGCGTCTTGGTTGCAAAACTCTCGATGTTAAGCGTATACAAGATTAAGCGTTACGTATCCGTCAAACAGGACTGAACAGACACAGTATCTATCGTCTCTCGCCCCGATCTGATGCCAGATTCCTTTGTTCTAATGCATCTAATTGAAGTGGGGTATTCGCCTTTCGCGATGCGGACGTTAAGCCGAGTGCAGCTGCACCAAACCATGCGACACGAATAATGAGCCCTGGTAATCAGACCGACACCGATAGACGCCAGATCACGGTATGTATAGAGTATAGGCGATATAGGGGATTTCATCGAGGAGCCCATGAGAAGCCAATGTTCCCTTTAACGTACATGCGTCGAAATGACTTCGATGCGGAATCGAAATCGGCTGCGTCGAAAATCGACGTATCGCGTGACATTGTGCCACTGAGTAAGAAAACAACAAAAGAAATCGCAAATACGAACAACCTTTAAACGAAAATTATACTTGCTCGAAACGAGCTTCAATTCGCGAGCATGTAAAAACAAGTACAACCCTGTGGAAACCAGTGTAGCAGACCTTTACAGTTTCGGCGTTCCCTTGCATTTTTGCCTACCAGGCTATAACATCTGCATGGCAGAGGTTCAGGGTAGGTTCGAATTACGTCGCCGTCTTCCCAAGTGCTTGAAGGAGAACTTTCTCTTTTTCGGGAAAGTCCTGGGAAAACGAGACATGTGTTTTCTCGGGTAACCATGGGAAGACGGTGGAAACGGACAGTTTGGGACAGAACATCGTCAACCGTTGAACTGTTAACAACGTCCCATACCTCATAATTTCATTATTTTTGTATTACTTATTTTTTATCAACTGTTTGGTTTTGTTATAGTTTCGTTATTGTTTGTGATTGTTTAGTTCTTGTTTTTGTTTGAATAAAAACTTTATTCTTGTTAGTTGGTGCACATTTATTTCAAAGACACACTCGTGGCTATCCTAAACCAGTTTGGAGATTTTCTTCGACGGTGAAACAGCAGAAAGGGTAAATAAAAATCATTGGAGATAATGTTCTGCTGGATCTGATTTTATATAGAACACGCGAACAGATATAGATACACAGAGGAGGATGGAACAAGATCATTGAAAATTACGGTGGAAGATTATAGCGCGCCGCGTACATTCCGTTGGTTTTTCAGTGAAACTCAGCGAAACACGAGCAAAATGAACGAACCTTATCCGCGTTAGGTTAATATCCAGTCTACAAGTCAGCGAATTACACGCGGGGGGGCACACGGGGGTTTCAAGGGATAGGATGTGTTTTCATATGCCACGCATAGTCGGTTAATTTTGGCAAAGCTACGTGAAATACGGAAAAGTATTTTACTCTTCGAATCGAGCGTTTTCACTGCTATTTTCGCCCATTGTACGATCTGGGTGCACGCGGGTTACGATGAGATTTTGGCGACGATTTTAACCCAGAGACGGTTAAACTCCCGAAATAGATCACCAGGTGGCAGGCAAACACACGCGCGTTTGGATTACGCAAAAATTGGCCGGAACGAGTGTTACACCCGTCGCTTTTACCGGAATCCGTTTTCTGTACAAACTCGGGATGTTCGATTTCGATTCGATTCTTGAGAAGATCGATTCTCTTGTGTAACACGTGACTACCATATATAGGACATATATTAACGGCCAAATGTATGGGACCAGGTCTGGTAATTAAAGAAAGAGGAAAATATTATTCTACAAGAAATTAATGAAATGTTAAAACTGATGGGAAGTAATTTATATATGTGATTCAGTATTTGACTACTACTGACACAGTAACTTCAATTCATTTTTAATAATGAGTTACTGTTCCATCGATCATGAACCCTGGTCCCATTTTGTTGGCCGTTAGTGTATGTGTTATACACGGCAGTGGCGTGTTACCGAAGAGAATCGATCTTCTGAAGAATCGAATCGGAATCGAACATTCCTAAATACAAATCCGAGAGTCGACATGTGAAGTCGGATCGATACACGTCCTCTTTCTCACGTGGTCGCGACACGCGACGTTAAACCGGAACATTTAAGTAATTCAATTTACAACTTATTTATCGGATCATCGTAAATATGATGCTGTTTGGTGCGCGTGCACTGCCTTTAGTATCGAGACTTCCGTCACCGATAGCCAGAGACGCGAAAGGAAACGTGACACTATCGAGATGACTCAGGAAAAGGATGCATTCGCTTGTCGAACTTCGACCGGGGCTATTATAAATTGATAAAGAAAAACAGCTTGTCTAAGTAGAACGATCGAAAACATCGCGCAAGCCGTCTTTATATCATTAAATGATTAGAACTGTTTTTCATCATTTAACGAGTACTATCTATCCTGAATGTTATGAACCCTTTTTTTGGTTCACCCTATATATCTGGAACGACAAATGTATTAGCCACTCAGGCTACACACGTTGGTTATAAATTTTACATAGAAGTTCACGGTGTCGATGCCTGATTCAGCAGACATTAGGCACACTGGGTGAACAGCTTCTACGAAATACATACACACGCATACTATACGCCTTTCCAGGGAATATTCAATTGCATTTTTATTGTCATTCGTACAGTCTCACAGTTTTGCTACCGATCGTGAGTCAGTTAGATGAATTCTTTGAGCGCGAGAAAGAGACAGACAGTCCACAGTTGGAATTCTATCGACACGCAAGGCTGAAGACACTTCGAATCAGACAGAAAATTCCTCTCGGAATGATTTCCACGGTTTTTTCCCCGATCTCCTTAATTGCATTTCCCCGTTATCTTGTGGCGAGAATTCGAAATTTCGAGTCAAAGCTCACGAGAAATTTGCAAGATCGAATTCCAATCAAAGTTCTGGCATACACTCGCAGACTCCCTCTTGTTGCCTTGGTTTTACGCAGAATGGTCGAAATAAAGCGCAGAACAAAGAAAAATTCTACGCGTTGTTGCCCGAGTATTATGGGCGTGTAAGCAGAAACCGAAGAGTTCTGCGATAAAATTCAACTCGATTTTATTTTAACGTTTTACAACTAGCTCAAGTATGCGGTTTTTGTCGGTGCAATTTCATTTCGTTTCCCCGAGAAACTGCAACGTACTTTCATCGCGAAAGAGTAGAAAACGTCGATTATTATCTCGCCAGTGGCCGTGCAATTTGACTCTAACCGAGAAATCTCTATTGATATCTATATGTATACAGTTCTTGCTCCGTTACTTGCGTTCGTATATCTTTGCAATATTCTTGATGGTTCACTGAATTCCAGACACAAGACCAACCAGAGAGCAACTGGATTTTTCCTCGTGTATTTGGTAAAGAATAAAAGAAATCATGCTGAAGCAATTTGAATTCTGGCCTTGGAGTCCAGAAGAAGGTAACTCTTTTCCAAAAACAAGTGAAAAACGTAGAAAATAACATTATTTCACATAAATAGTAAACTGCAGTACAATATCAATCCCACTGCTCGAAATCATTCCATACAAATTCGATAAATAGACGACTAATAAGATGGTTATGAACATAGGTAAGTAACGAACAGCCCATCTGTGCCTGTTTACAAATAGAATTAGCGAGTGGGTAACAGACATCGTATTCCAGATATAAGCGTATTCTAATTCCCAAAATTCTGTCCACCAACAATTTTCGAATATATCTACGTGTATCCCAGATGGCAATCAGCCTCCCGTCACGATCCAATCGTACAAGGAACCAGCACGTAAATATACATACACCCGTAAGCTCATGTGGACATCCAGTAGCCGCGTACATGTACCTGGAAAACGCGACGTGGAATAGATAGTGCATGCGTCAGAACCCCACAGTAGTCAGGCTAAAGTTCGATCTTCATTCACAAGTGCACCGCGTCGCGCTTTGTCCTACCGCTCGCCGTGTGTTTCGTGTTCGCTCGGTCTCTCTCTTCGCACCCAGAGGGGTGAGTCAAGCAAGACAGTTCCCTCGGTGCTAACGTACTCACCGGTGCCTTTGCACCGAGCGTCGAGTGGCTGGTGCTAGAGTATCGACCCGCAGCATGTGGTAAACTTATTCCTCCTTTCTCCATCGCCCCCGTTTC